CCAACCTGTAGCTGTGCCTGGGATTGCTCTGACCCAGGTGCAGGACCTTGCACTTGGCATGGTTAAACTTCATGAGGTTGGCATCAGCCCACCTCACAAGTGTGTCAAGGTCCCTCTGGATGGCATTCCTTCCCTCCAGTGTATCAACCGAACCACACAGCTTGGTGTCATCGGCAAACTTGCTGAGGGCACACTCAGTCCCACTGTCCATGTCAGCGACGAAGATCTTAAACAAGACCGGTCCCAACACTGATCCCTGAGGGACACCACTTGTAACTGGTCTCCAGCTGGACATTGAGCCATTGACCACAATTCTTTGTGTGTGGCCATCCAGCCAGTTCTTTATCCACCCAGTGGTCCATTCATCAAATTGATGTCTCTCCAATTTAGAGACAAGAATGTCATGTGGGACAGTGTCGAACGCTTTACACAAGTCCAGGTAGATGACATCAACTGCTTTACTGCTGTCCCTCAGTTCTGTAGCCCCATCATAGAAGGCCACCAAACTGGTCAGGCAGGATTTCCCCTTGGTGAAGCCATGCTGGCTGTCACCAATCACCTTGTTGTTTTTCATGTGCCTTAGCATGCCTTCCAGGAGAATCTGCTCGAAGATTTTGCCAGGCACAGAGGTGAGACTGACTGGTCTGCTAATTGCCTGGGTTATCCATTTTCCCCTTCTTGAAAATGGGGGTTATATTTCCCTTTTTCCAGTCATCAGGAACTTCACCTGACTGCCACGAGTTTTCAAATATGATGGCCAGCGGCTTAGCAACTTCATTCGCCAGCTCCTTCATGACCCGCAGATGGATTTCATCAGGTCTCATGGACTTGTGCACATTCATATTTTTAAGATGGTCTCGAACCAATTCCTCTCCTACAGTGGGCCCAAGGTCTCCATTCTCACAGTTCCTGTGTCTGCCTTCCAAGACCTGGGTGGTGCGGTCAGAGCCTTTGCTAGAGAAGACCGAGGCAAAGAAGTCATTCAGAACCTCAGCCTTCTCCAAATCCTGTGTAGCTAGTTCACCCGAGAGCTTCCTGAGGGGCCTACGTTCTCCCTAGTCTGTTTTTTATTTGCTATGTACCTGTAGAATCCCTTCCTGTTATCCTTAATATCCCTAGCCAAGTTTAATTCTAACCGGGCCTTACCTTTCCTAACCTGGTCCCTAGCTTCCCGGACAATAACCCTGTACTCTTCCCAGGCTGCCTGTCCTTGCTTCCACTTTCTATAAAGCTCTTTTTTCATTTGAATTTTCCTCAGGAGCTCCTTATCCATCCAAGGAGGTCTCCTGGCCCTCCTGCTGCACTTCCTTGATACAATACACAAAACAATCCTATGTAGGATCCCTAATAACTAACCATTTCTTAACAAGTTCAGCTTAAACTGCATAAAATGAAAGAGGGCTGGAATGACAATGTTTTCATGAGGTGTATGTGTGCCCAGGGTTAGTGGTTGCTTGGATTCTTGCACCTTCCTGTGCAAATGTGTGTATTAAAAATCAGGTTAGATTTTTTCTTAATTTTAACTTTAAAGGTAAAATTGGTTATCACAGTTATGTTCCTCAAACACCTTTTGTTTTTAAGATTCACCTGAGAGTAGTTCAGAGCTATAAAAATTGAGAGAAATTGCTAAACAGATAAAAGCAACCGCTGGTGATTCAGAGTAATAAACACAAACTGAAAGAGAGACTTGGGAGGTTTACAGGCTGGGTCTGCTTTTCTGAAGACACTTTTAAGAAATGCTGCAGTGTTACCAGGATCCTGAGGTTTACCACATTCACCAGAGGCAAAGCCTTCCCAGTGTGCCTATTTACCAGAAACATTCCATGTAAGCATACAGGACATTAGAGAAGGAGGAAGTATGTTACCAAGCATGGTAACTATGGTTTGTCTATTATAAAATCACAAAGACTCTTAATTGCTTAAAAATTCCCTGAGAAACAAAGACCTGGAGTAACAGAAGTGCAGTTATAAAAATGTGTCAGTAACAGAAACATTTAGAATATCGAAAAACATACAAGAACTATGCTGTAGGGTGCTATTCTCATGCTAAAGGGTGTAGGAGTTAAGGGCTAATGTAAAGATGTGAAAAGTCACAGCAGGAACAGCCAACATACTTTCAAGTAAAACATTAAACACTACGTGTAGGAAATTATGTAATAGTTTTCTACATCCTGGCTGATTCTTGGATATATTTTACACTTGGTCTGGCCTGTCTTTTAGCAGAAGCAACTAGCTGACAATCATCAGATGTTCAAGGCCTAGGACTTTTGCTTCTCACTGTGAAGAAGCCAGTAAAATGGTCACAGAGTTTTCTCTTTTCTTAGGTTACACAGCTATATGCATCTTTTTTACAGTAAAGGCCTACAACAGCAGCTGTTTTCAACATGTTTAGGTGCTCTGTATTCAGACTTGATTGTACCTGCCATTTGTAATATGGAGTGAAGTTAATTTAGACCTATTATATGGAGTACATAACAGTAATTAATCTGGTCAGTGTTTCTGAACCGTGTCCCACAGAACATTTTGCTGGAAAAGGTCTTTAGCAAGTTTCAGTATTTATTAGTTCTGTGGTTTAGGGCTAATTTACAAGAGATGAGGTTACACTTCAGCCCCCCATAGTATTTTGTAGCAAACACACTGTAACCTTGAGAAAAAGACAACCAAAATAATGTTGAGTACAAGTATGCATATAGAGCGTAAAGGTAATGATTAAGCAGCTTTACACTGTTGTGCAAACAGAATAGGCAACTAATGACCCTGCAAGTCTTTGTGGTTTACCTGCAGCTGTGGCAGGTGCCTAACTGTAAACTCACCCACCCCAGCTTTCTCCAGAGTCACTTTAATAATCTGTCTTTGTACTTTCATGACTTTTTCCTCTGTTTCTCTGGCACTTCTGCTTCTCAGTCATACCTATTCAGACACATCTCTGCTGAGCAGTATGTGAGGACAACTTCTCCCAGGTGTCTGGCAGTTCTTTTAAACTCCATGTGTTTATTTAGGCTTTCAAAACATGCTTGTGTTATAGTTTGAAGCCATACAAAGTATTGGTTTTTACAATCACTAGCTTTAGAGAGGTTTACTCTATCAATACCAATATAACTGTGGGGGCTGATATTTATTTTCTGTTAAATTCAGGTTCTTTTTGGTCTGCCTTAAGGCTAGATTAAATACTATTCTAAAATGAAGATGTTCCATTTTTCTGTGAGCAGAAACTCCTACTGTGGTATGCTCTCTTGGTTTTGCTGGTCTGCCATCATTGTATCCTACTGTATAGATCAAATGCTATTGCTTTATTTTTTATCAGCTATACATGTGGCACCCCAAGTAAAATAAAAATACAGTGAAAGGCATTCCTACACATGTATGTGTCATGAAGCACCTTGTAAGCATTGACTTTTGTATATAAATCTTTCTGATTTCAAAACACATTACACCCGAAAACTCCCTCCTCTTGTGCTCTGATGCTTACCTGTGTTACAACTCTATGGAGATAACTTGAATACAACTTTGTTATATTTGAAGCCAGATTCAGTAGTTATTAAGAATGTGTGAGAAAGCACCCAGAATACAACGGCTGTATTTGTCAGGAATTGCATTATTTTCATTGCATTACAAGGTTAATGGAATGCCCCACTAGCGTATCAGGTTCTGTTCCAGTCCTGCCTAGTTTTACAGCAACTCCACCTCTGAACGATGATGCAAGTTACTGCAATTACATAAAGTGTTGCAAAATTGTTTCAGATATATACTGGGTGAATACATCCTGTGAGCCTCGCACTCTTGCCACACAGCTAGAAAAGCTGCCATGTTCTGGGTTTACTTTGGCCAAGGATCTCATCTTACAAGTTCCGTTCGTGTCACGCCACAGCAAGATGAAATGCAAGTCATCACTTGCATAACCCTAAACCAGTTAGAGGTGAACTTCGTGATTATTTTGCTATGACTTTTAAATGAAGAAAGATGCCTTCAGTGACATGGAACTTGGCGAGAAGAGAAAGGAGGTCATTAAACCTATGCGACTCATTCTTCCTCCTCTAGAGAGGTTGTCTTTTCCATTAAAACACTTCAATTCTTTTGTGGACATTTGAAACGTAGTATGTTTCAAATAGCAGCCAAAATTCAGCAGAGTTTTTATAGCTAGACAAACCCCATTATATTGCCGAGTAAATTAATTACTTGTTTGTGAGGCTATTGAGACAAACTTTAGCTCAGTACTGTGTCCACAAAACTGTTTTGACAGAATTTATTGCTTGTAATAGCCCCATGTAATAATGGTTAACCACCATGTATTTATACTACCAGCAAGTAAGTGGGTCAGCTCTTTTCCCCATCAGCCTATGGGATTATGACCTTTGGTGCAACTATCCAGCGGACAAGTGCTCCTTTGGTAACACAGCAGCAAAGAGGTGAGATTTACTCACCGTTCCTTGTTGTGAAGAATAAACTCTGTCCATAGAGGCTGACCTCCATGGAATGCCTGGTTTAACTGAGCACCTCTCCACAGTCACCACCACGCCATCCTCTCCAGCCGCAGTGCCGCCTCGGTGCGGGCTCAGGCACCTCTGTGACCACACACGTACCGGCTCCTGCTCCGCAGCCACCCTGCAGGCTTGGGAGAGAGGTTATTCCTCTCCCTCGGCAGCCCAAGCACAAGAATTAAAGCGAAACTCGGTCCCCAGCAGTTACAGACCTGAGGGAGCCGCCATTTCTGTCAGCGACGGCGCACGGGCCAAGGCTGGTGGGTTGAATGGTGGCCGTTTAGCGAAGTCCCTCGCACCGCGCAGGCCCGCACCACGCCATCGCCCCTGCCTGGCGGCCTATCCCCTGCCCCTCCTTGGGGCCGCACAACCCCACAGCTCCGGGCCGGGCAGCACCGCCCCAGCCCCGCTGAAGCGGCTCCGCCTAGACGGCGCTGGGGCGCGCTACGGCCGCGTGCCGGGCGGGCTCAGTGACGACACGGACGGGCGGCTGCGCCGCGTCTTGCCGGGCACTCGGTACCGAGCCGAACCGAGCCGAGCCGTGGAGCCATGTTCCACCTGTGGAAGGCCGTTCTCGCGGAGAGCCTCCTGGGTAGGTGGTGGCGGTATCGCCCGACGAGGATGGGGCAGGAGTCTGTGAGGGGCCGCGGCCGGCGGAGAGGCGGTCAGCGGCAGCATGCTTCATCCCCGCCTGGGAGCCCTGGGGTGTCTAATGGGAACGGCCGGCGGCTGTAGCGGAGCAGCCCCGCAGTGTGTCGTGCAGGTTACCGTTCGCGGGTGTTGTTGGTGGTGGAAAGTCCCTCCGCTGATTATGAGCGGAGGCTGGTCACTGATGAGTGTTCTCCTTCGGGTTCTTTTTTTTCCTTCTGCCTGCTGGGATGCCTTTTGTCCTGGGATCAGCCGAGGGTTTACGCGCGCCCTCAGCTAGGTGTGTGTGCGGGTACGCGCACAGCCCGTGCGGCGCTTTGCGGTGCTGCCCGGGCAAGGCGCGATGTGGCGCGGGGCGCTCGGACCGGCGCTCTCGGAGCATCCCCTGCGCAGCGCTGGACCCTGGCGAAGGTGTTTTCAGGAGAGAGCTGCGCAGCGGGTTACTGCACGAATTCGTTTAGCCACCGACCGGTGCTCGAGGAGCCCTGAGGCTGTGGGTGGACTCCTCGTTTAGCCAGCGTTGTTCCCTCTGAACGCTAACCCTCTGAGCACTCCTGCGCTGTGGATCGAAGCAGGAGCTACTGTCAGAGTGGACTACTAGAGTTTTCTGCTCATCGTTCTCTTTTCCTGGGAAAATGCGTTCGTTTAACTTGAAATAGCCACTTTCTGTGAAGAAATACTTGCTGTTATTAATTGTACTACTTTCTAATACATGTGATATTCTGCATTTGGAAGTATAAACCAGTATGCCCTTAAGGACTCTCCAGAATAGGCTGTTGAAAATGACATTTTTCTCTTTTTCCCTTCTCTTTTTGTTTTTAGGCTATATTTCTTGGTCTCTTTACCATGCCCTGCCACCAATGATTTATTACTTCCCCCTTCAGACACTGGCACTCACAGGTCTGGAAAGTTTTGCTGTTGCCTTCTTTTCTCCAGTATTCTTGATAATTGGCCCTTTTTGGAGGTGGGCTAACAATAAGTACATCCTAGCCCTTCTGAGACTCGCTACGGTTGGTAAGTATGCTCTGTAGTGAGTTATAGATTACATGCTGGTATCAAGGAATAAGAATAAACATTTAAAATTGCCTCAAAAGTCACATGATTCTGAAAAGAGATACCAATAAGTTTTGTTCTCCCAAACTCATGCTTTTCTTTTTGTCTCATGCTTTTAGATATGGTCAGAGGAATATTGTTTGCAGCCATTGGTCTTTGGACCAATGCGGTACTAGTTTTTGGAGCAGTACTGCATGATTAAAGACAAATCTCATTTCAGTTTTATTGCTAGAAGCTTTCAAATTAGTACAAGTCATGCCCAATAGGAAAATGTTTTTGGTAATGCAGAGATTGGCAGAACAGGGTTGTTGTTTTTTTTTATAGCTGTGCTGTTCCAGTAACAATGGGTAGGGATGAGGTGTTACAGAACAGCTTGGGGCTATTATAAAAGTAATCTGCTCTGTGTGGAATGTTTCTGAGTCAGTTATTTTTACAGGTTTCATATATACATATATACACACATACACTATGTAGCATATTGATGAGGTTGTGGGCTCATCCTAGATGTGACTCTCATATTGATAATTTCATGGGAAGAAGATTTGATCTTAAATTCAAGATAAAACTGCCCCACTACCTATCCCACATGCTCCTCCATAAACCAAGACTTGCTGGGATTCCCTCTTTGGTCTTTAGCTAACTGGAACAAGCCTTAGCTCTTGTTGATGTTCTGAAATTTTGTTGGGAGAAGGTTTGGCAGCTACAGCCACATTCAGAAGCAAGTTATTGCGAACGAGTTTGCAACACCTGGCAGAACTCAGAGGAGACAAGGGTCTCCATCCTGCGTAGAGGGAAAATACTGCTGCTAAGTGGTGTGTTTTGGAAACAGTGGTGCCTGGCTCCTCATTTATCAGTATGAGATTATACTCAGGGAATCACTTTCCATATAAATGTCCTCTTCTACTGTTACAAGACAGAACAGGATCATCTTATTTACTTATTTCCTTGCAATTTTTTTTTTTCAGAATTCGTCTTCTTTTTCTCTTAAAAGATGCTAGAACTGAACAGTTTCTTGGTGTCATCAGTGTAGCTAGAGCATAGTCTTACCGTGTTCGTTTCTTTTTCTACTTTTCACATCATACCTATCCTATTTTTTTTAATTTTGTTTTTAGTAAGCTTTTCAGTGAGCAGCATTTTCAGCTTCCTGCACTTGTGGTCACTGTATTTTCTACATCTGATAATTTAGAAACTAGTAGTGAGTGTAAGCATTTCAAATTGCACTCTGCTTTTCTTCAGATAACCACAGTAACGCAAAATTTACCATGATTATTTAAGATTAGTCCTTCAGATCATAGAATCACAGAATAGTTAGGGTTGGAAAGGACCTTAACATCACCTAGTTCCAGCCCCCCTGCCATGGGCAGGGACACCTCACACTAAACCGTGTCACCCAAGGCTCTGTCCAACCTGGCCTTGAACACTGCCAGGGGTGGAGCATTCACAGCCTCCTTGGGCAACCCATTCCAGTGCCTCACCACCCTTACAGTAAAAAATTTCTTCCTTATATCCAATCTAAACTTCCCCTGTTAAAGTTTAAACCCATCACCCCTTGTTCTATCGCTACAGTCCCTGATGAAGAGTGCCTCTCTGGCATCCCTATAGGCCCCCTTCAGATACTGGAAGGCTGCTCTGAGGTCTCCACACAGCCTCCTCTTCTCCAGGCTGAACAGCCCCGACTTTCTCAGCCTGTCTTCATACGGGAGGTGCTCCAGTCCCCTGATCATCCTCCTGGTCCTCCTTTGGACTTGTTCCAGCATATCCATGTCCTTTTTATATTGAGGACACCAGAACTGAACACAATACTCCAAGCGCACACTGAAGCCGGCTCATGTTCATTTTCTCATCGACCAACACCCCCAGGTCCTTCTCCGCAGGGCTGCTCTGAATCTGTTCTCCACCCAACCTGTAGCTCTGCCTGGAATTGCTGTGTTTACCAGTTCATATTACCAGAAGAGGTGGAAATGGCTTAAATGTGTCTAATTTTTGTTCTGCTAAGTAAAAAGCAGTGACAGGTCTATAGTGCTTTATAAACTGTTGGTTTATAAGCCTGTTTGCTTTCGCTGCTTTGCAAGCTTCTGAAGATACTAACTACAGACAAAAAGCTAGAACCTTCAGGAGTGATCTGGAGAAAGGATGTGTTAATGGATGTGGCCACAGAGGGACTCGGAGCATGGGGAGACTTGAAGTTGTACACATCCTCAGCGTGGGCAAACCTGAGCATTGCTGTATGCAGATATGATCTCCCCTTCATTCCTGCCTGAACAGGAACTGTTCCCTCAGTGATTCATATCACCCTGATGTTTCCCTCTCCTAAGCACTCTTAATATTGTCCACCCCTTGGCAAGTCTACACTGTATTCTTTCCCAGGTGCTTGCTCTGCATACTCCTTACCTGTTGCCCTGCAGTGAGCATTAGCATTTGAGGAAGATGTAAGAGCATCTTCCTCACTCTTTGTCTCCATCAAGGAGTTTAGCCAATGGTAACTCACTTTATGCTTGCCTCCCTACTGCAGGTTCTCAAGTTATCTAGGTTATTTCTGTCCTATTGTGCTGTGCTGCTGTTTCACCTGTTCCTCAGTTCTTACTTCTTCCTTTCCTTCTTCGTACCTAGAGACCTCTTCTTTCTTTCTTTCTTTCTCCTTTTGCCTTTTTTTTTTTTTTTATATCCTTCTCAGGCAGGCCACAGCCTTCCTCTGGGGTTTGTTGAGCAGAGTCATGTAGAACGATCTACCCTGTGAATGCTCCACCCCATTCCACTGGAAATATTCAGTCTTCAATTTCACAATCAAAAACTCTGGAAATTATTCATGCTTTGCTAAACTTGAATATTTAGAGAATTGGGTTTTTTGCTTTTGATGGAAAATACTCTTCCCTTATTGGTCATATTATTTTTGTCTTTTCAGAAAGCTTTATTTTCTCTGAAACTTTTGGTTTAATTTTTGTATCCTTTCATGCTACTTGGTTTCATGTTCTGCTTAAAAAAAAACCCAGACCAAAACCAGCAATGAGCTACCCTAGTGGTGGTGTCTTCCGACAACAGTAAATCTGTTTGCTCGGATAGATATATTTACATTCCGGGTGTATGTGTTCAGCAACAAAAGGTGTGTCTGCTGTAAGCAGGCAAACCCACAGTAGTTTTAATCTAGCTAGCGCAAGTGATGAAAGGTGTGAAGAGGCAGAGCTGCAGATTTCAGCCCAGTTCAGTGACAGACGTCTGTGTGCATTGTGCATGCAGCCCTCTGCTAAAGTCCATACAAGCTTATCTTCACATTAATTTTACCATCTTTGCCCTAAACTTTGCATCTTTTACTCTGAGCAGAATAAGCAAATAGACAATTGGAGGATTCCTAGCATGCAGTGTCAGAATCAGCAGCATTATGTCTGGCCTTTCTTGTTTAATGTCTCTTCAAGTTTGACTCTTACTCACTTAGCAAATGGCTGGTAGGAAAACAGCATTGCTTCTTCTGCTGTTTGTCACTGGTCCAGGGACAGAATTTGCCACAATGATGTTATGAAAATGTGTGACCCATAGTAAGTTGAATTTGAAACCTGCTGGCAGAGTTTAGAACTGCTGATAAAAGGTGAGGTCACTGTGTCCTGCGAAGTGGCGGAGATGTGTGTGCAGTCTTGTTGAGTGACCGGGAGAGTGACCGTTTCCAGTAAGAAGATGACACAGGCGGTTAATGGCAGCTCTTGAGACCAGAGAAAGCCTTGTTCACATCTGCTAAGGCAATTGCTTACTAATCCTTGTGCAATGTATGGTAACTGCTCCTTTCTAAAAAGGATATGGCTTGTGCTATAGCACACTTACATAACTCAAAAGCAGTAAACGTAAATGCACTGTTGCATTTTGGCTTTTGAATTATGTAAGTGCACTGCTCAGGAATATCTGTATGCTTAGATATTTTATCCATATATCCTATTTATGGAATTAATGACCATACGTACTTAAATTAAGGCAATTGCTGCAGTTTTAGGTAATTGCTTCATGTTATTTTTTTTTCCTGAAAATGGTAATTGCTATAGTGTCACATATACCCAGTTTCTATCTATACCTGCATTCCTTTGGTTTGTTTAAAAATGTGTAGTGCCATGTGTTTTCAGATGAATGGTTTAGCCATCCAAATTGCAGACAAGATTGAACTAATACCCAGGAAATCCTTATTACCTGATTTTTGCTGCCCATTAAAGCAATCTCTATGTGTGTGTTTGTTTGTAGGAAGCTTAGCATCATACCAGGCACCAAATGCTCCAATTAGACTAGTCATCTTGGCTGCAGGTGTTTCCTCCTCATTGCTGGTTCAAACAGTAACATGGTGGTCAGGAAACAGTTTACAAAGGTATTTTATTATACTGATGGGATTGTAGCAGACATTGCTTTATATTAAAAGGTGGTTGGTTCTTTTTGAAGAGGTTGTTTTGCTTTGTTTTTTCTCAAGTGCATCACTGTTGCTAAAACTGATTGTTACAGGTTCATCAGGATATGGGGCTTCATGCTAGGCAAAATAATGCTCCTTGTTCTTCGCATCTGGTATACATCACTAAACCCGGTGTGGAGCTCACAAGCTGCCAATACTGTCATAATGGCAATTGGTTTTATAGCAGCAGTGGAGCGAATTTATTCAGGTGAGTGTATTGCAGCAAATATGGCAGTTATGAAAACGTCTTAAGGTATACGTATCTATGTGCCACTGGGTTTTGATACTTTGGGGTTTTTTATCCCCAGTACAGTCTAGTTTTAGACCTAATGCATGAGCACTGCAGACTTTGGAAACCATGGCAGAATTTGCTATCACAGTTCATACAAGCTGTAGTAAGTTGTGTTGGAACTGACAGCTAATCGCAGTATCAATATTGTGACAGTCGTGCAAACAACAGTGTAGTCTAGACCAGTAAAACCAGAATGGGTTATCCTCATTCCAGCATGAAACATCTGTGGTATTTCTGTATTTTCTTAATTCTGTCTGCTCTTTGTGTTTCTCTGCCAGTGCCCATCCTTTGACAGGGAAGGGAGGCAGGACAAAGCCAGGGAACAGCTGATGTGGCAAAATAAACCGAAAGCATTGGAAGAGTGGACACGTTGTCCTAGTCAAAATATGACTGAGCTCTTGGAGCATCTGGACAGAGTCCACAGCAGTGGGGGCTGGCATAGGCTAAGCACACTTGAAAACTGTGAAGATAGTATTGCCAAGCAAGACAGCGAAGTTGGGTTGCTTAGTTAAGGCAGCTCATGTTAAATCCTCAGGAGTTCCTTTCTTCTCAGTATAACCTAAATGAATTAATTGAAAGATAAGACCTTACCTGTGTGTAAGTGGGCATAAATTGGCATAATGTGTACTGTTTGTAGACTTGCTGACCTAAGTAAAGCCTGAGCATTCATCACAATTTAGAAAGGGAATCTGCTGCAGGAGAGTAGGAAGGGAATCTGTCTTCCTAGGTGGCAAAGGAATATGTCTATGCAATTACAGGTACTTTCTCCTGAGATGAGAGAGGATCTAAAGTGAGTGGAAAACGGAGAAGGAAGGGGGTTTAATTCTGTCTTCTTTGGAAGTGTCAGGTTTTGTTCGTGTCAGAGTTTAGAATTTCAGAGAACAGAATCCTCTGAACAAATTCTAGTAACTTTTCTGCTGACTGTCAAAGCCAATTTAATGATTTAAATTCCAGCAGTATGAAGAATAATCATATGGACAGGTTGCCGTTTTTGTACACTTAAGGTGAGGAGCTTTCTCTTACAAACCTAGGAATGTTATTGGAGATTTTGTTGTCTTACCAATTTCCATGAATGATCAGATAAGCTAGCTTCGTGTCTGAGCCAGTAATTTAATCTGGTAATTTTGTGATCTTGGGTATTTCTTTTCCTCAGTTACCCTTTCTAATAGGATTTGACAGTTTGCTCAGCTATATTCTATTCTTATTCTAGATGGAGACAAGAGGAAACAAGAAGCAAAGAAAACTGGTAATGCAGTTAGAGAGACAGTTTCCCACCCTCGTTGGCTGTTGTCAGGGATTGCTTTTGGCAGTCTCATGTTCCTCACCCTGTGGATATTTGGGGAGGTCTCATTAATTTCTAGATGGGCAGTAAGTGGACATCCACATGCAGGTCCAGATCCTAATCCATATGGGTAAGTGGGTTTTTATTATTATTTAAACAAAATAGTAATCAAAAGCCAATGCTGTAGTAGGTGATAAATTGAAACTCATCTAAGAACATACAGAGAGTAAAATGGTACAAAGTACCTTGCACAGAGGATTTATAGATTCATTCTTGCCTTCAGATACCTCTGAGCATTGTGTCTATACCAGTAAATCTTAAAATTTTCTAAGACAGAATTATTTTTATTTCAGTAATAAAAAACCTTCATTTGCCACACTGCAGAGCAATTTTTAAATTAAGACTGAGGTTCAAGGACTTATGAATGAAGTGCATCTGTAATATGCAGTAAATGAATCTGGTAGTTGATTTCAGAGAGGAGATGGTAGGAAATAGTGTTTGTCAGAGATATATGCAGGTAACAAAAAGGGAGCTGTGCAATATTAAAACACATACTTCTCTAGAAGTTTTGGTTAGTAAGAATTTAGTGTTAATGCTGTGTGTTGCTCATCTAGGTTTCAAAATCTAGAAAGAGACTAGCTTAGTTATTCTGAGTCAACTACATGTAGAGGCAGGCAAGGTAGTTACTCATTTGCAGTTAGTACACATAAGAGCTACCTAAGATTGATAGTGATGTTAGGTACTGTGGGATTCCCTATGTGATGTGAAGAAAATACTTCTCTTTGAGTAGATTCCTCTCATTTTCTCCGAGTTCTCATTGCTTTTTATATTCAGTGTTTTGGTGTAGTGTTTCTGCTGCTGAACCTAGCTCATTTCTACGTTATGATAAACTGCCATTATTTTGGATTGATGTTTATGTCCAATAAAAGGGATAAAATGTAGCAGGGTGTGAAATGAAGATTATTTTTTGATCAAATTGAGCTCTACTTCAAATAAAAAATATTATAAAATATTACCAAGCAACCTTGTCTACATGTTTAGAAGTTTCTTTTTCAATGCCAGGTGTTCATAGAATTATATTAATGTATGATTCCCCTTTCTTTATCATTTTATTAGAGGTACAGTTCTGTTGGGCCTGGCTCATGGGCTGATGCTTTCATTTTGGAGCTGGTCTTCTGCCACCAGTTTTGCTTGGTTTCTTGTAGGTAAGTGCAAAGCCTGAGCAGAACTTTTGTTTCTATTACCTTATTCCCTTTACTCAAGCCCTCTGACCCTACACCACTTCTCAGAAAAATCAATTGCTAATCAAAGCATCTATTTCTCTGTCGCTGTCTATGCACATGTCTAACCAGCTAACTAACGGTGAAATGTCCAGGCCATTGCAGAGCATTGCTGTTCTCTTCAGAAGCCCCTGTTGAGGTTCTTTACCCATGAGTAGCATCTTAGTTCTTTCTGTCTGCATTCTGTATGGCTTCATCTAGGGTTATGGGGTTAAGATGACACAAGCCTCTCTGTTCTGCAGGCGACACAATAACTTGTAATTTAATGAGCAGTTCACCTGGAGGCAAACTCACCTCCTGTCTCCTTAGTTGCCAACATCTCCAGGCAGTAAAATCTTATGAACATCAAAGCAGTTCTGCTGGAGCAAAGTGTTTGTGAATAAGTCTGCATACAGTAGGTCTTGGGTAGTCAGAAGAGAGATTCAAGTCCTGGATCTGGACAACCATTTTCATAAGGATGGTATAGCTATGCTGTGGAGCAAGTTATGCATAGAGCAAGTAGGGGAAGATGGAAATAATTCTGCTCTTGAACTGTGAGGGGCGGTGTGTTTTGCACATGTCAGAATGGATGGATGCAGCCTGGTTTAATTTGTAGGCTCATCTGCATGAAATCTAGTGGTATAAATACTATTTAAAAAACATAAATCCGCTTCTTTTTTGTCCTGAGCTAATTGTTTGTAGGTGTTTATATCAAGAAGACAGAACAGTACTTCATACAAATGTTTCATAATAAACTGGGACATATCAAAATACAGGGACCAAAGGAAATGATGAATTATGTTTTACTTCTTTCTTATTCGCCTTTTCTTTTGGAGCACTTAAGAGCTGCAAAAAACAAGAGGCTGTCTTTGAGTATTGGGAATAACTGTCCTAGTGATGCAGTTCTCATGGCTGCAAAGCACAGTAATATTTCCCAGACTCTCTTAGACAGAATGTGAAAAAGATAATATACCTGATGGACTTACTTTATTATTTTCTATCCCTTCACAGGTTTAGCATCTTCAGCTGGTCTTCTTTATTTACACACCTGGAGTGCTGCTGTTGCAGGCAACATTCTTGCTGTCTTTACTATGTGCGTGTGGCCTCAACTGGCTGGCCACTTTGCTAGCTGTCTGCACCCTGGGAAAGCCATGACTACTGCTATGTTTGCCTACGTTCTTGAATTATTCTTTTGTGTATGGTGTACAGCTTATAAATTTGTACCTGGAGGAATTTATGCTAGAGAAAGCTCCCATCTTCTTTTAGGTATATTTATGACAATGAACAAATACAAATATACTTGCTTTAGCCTCAACCAGATGTTTAAAATGAACCTAGTGTATAAACAGTCTTTCAAATGCTCAGCTGCTGTCTGATTTACTATGGTAAGAGTTTCTATGAGAAAACTAATCTACTTGTTTCTTTACTGTTAGAAATAGTATAAAATGTGGACAGAAAATGGAATTCAGTTGAGGGAAAATGACAAAGTGAAACAAAGCCTGATAACTCAGTACGCAGCTGAGGAACAGATCTCTTAATCAGTCACCCTAAAAATGTAGCTGCAATCCAGGGTGTGAATGCACCTACATGCCTAAGGTAGCTGTATGGTACCTCAGGTAACAATCTAGTTTCTGGAAACTCAGGGGTTTGTGAAGGCTGTGTTACTGGGACTATAATATAATGTCATAATTTAAGCACAGCCAGTAACTCAGCACTATGCAGCTGCTCACTCACTCCCTGTCTTCTTCCTCCCCCTGCTCCCAGCGGGATAGGGAGGAGAATCGAAAGAATGTTACTCCCACGAGTTGAGATAAAAACAGTCCAGTAACCGATGTATAACACAAACCACTGCTGCTGCCACCAATAACAATGATAAGGGAAATAACAAGGGAAGAGAATACAGCCACTCACCACCTGCTGACCGATACCCAGCCCGACCCAAGCAGCAATCCGGGCCTTCTGGGTAGCTGCCCCCAGTTTACATCCTGGGCATGATGTGCTGTGGTATGGAATACCTCTTTGGCTAGCCCAGGTCAGTTGTCCTGTCTCTGATTCCTCCTGGCTTCCCATATTCCTCCTCACTGGCAGAGCATGAGACACTGAAGTCCTTGATCAGAGTAAGCATTACTTAGCAGCAACTAAAACCACTGGTGTGTTATCAGCATTGTTCTCAAACTAAAGCAGAAAACACAGCACTACACCAGCTACTAGGAAGGAAAAAAATAACTCTTACAGCTGAAATCAGGACATGTAACTCAGTGCGTTATTTAGCCCTGCTCTGAGAAGCGAAGTGCAGCATCCTCCCAATGCAGCTAGTCTGCATTTGAGACCTGAGCTTCATTTCCATGCAGCTTTACCTTGTGCTTTGTGGACACACCAGCACGTTTGGAAGAATGTCAGTAAGCTGCAGTGTCACAAATATGCAAAAAGGAGAGAAAGAAAATAAATTGTCAGGTATTTGTCAGTGAGGAAGAACTGAGGTGAGCAAATGCAAAGGTTTTAGCAAAATGATCCCTCGAAGGGATCTCACCTTGAAGTTTGGGAGGTGGAAATGAAACCGACCCTTTGTGGTTTGTTTCCACAACTGGGTTTTTTTTTTTTGTTTTGTTTGTTTGTTTGTATTTTAATAGGAACTAATGTGTTTCACTGGCATATTTCACTAATTACATTTAACAGTGCCAAATACTGTCCAGGGCCAAGTTTGTGAGCCTATGACACGTTTTAAAATGTGGCACATTATCCTGTATTTTGTTTGAAAAGGATTACTGACTGCTGTGCTTGGCTTGTTGCTCCACATCTCTTTGCAACCACCTTCTGTCACTCCAGTTTCTCACTCTCCATGTGTTTCATACATCACAGCAATCACATGCAGGGTTTCAGTTTGTTATGTTTTGAGGAGAGTTCCCTTACATTTATTGCAGTTTTATTTGTTTTGCAGGCACTCTGGGGGGCTGTAGAAACAGTTGTCTCACTCCATTTAACTTTGTGTTGAAGCTGTACGAAGAAAGCATGTGGTAGAGGAGTGTGAAATGCTTTCTTGATTAATACCTTGTCAAAAGAATAGCTGTTACGTGAAATCCCTTTCTGACACTTCCTTTCACAGACACACTTGTGATTAATTCACCTGTCATGATCACTAGATAGTAACACAGAGATGGCACTTTGGTAAGATGAAAACTGTGAACTAAACCCATCTCAGCTGATGGCACCACATGAGCTTATATTGCATCTGAGAATGCAGTTTCTGTCTTTCTGAAGCCACCCATTGTTTATCAAAGATTTGCAGATTATACCATGAGATTGTGTATTTGTTGCTGCACTTCTACTCTTGCAGCTTGGTGTTCTGGCAAACTGCTTGTTTTCTTCTGGTTTCTTTCAGGTGCAAGTGCTATTTCTTGCTTTCTCCTCCTGTCCAATATCCTGGCTTTCTCTTGCCGCAGTTTGGGTAGGGAACTGCTCCAGGAAAAGTGGCAATGAAAGTAAGATTATTATATTCAACATTTCTGTGCTGCTTCACTGTGATGTAACATAATTTGGAGGGGTCAGATCCCTGCTCTTCCAGCAACTTTAATGGCTGGAATCAGTGTCCCTTTGAGAAAGGATTGGCGTGTGCCACCTTCTTCATTGCACTAGACCCAGCTTCCTGGTTTGCAGGCTTTCACTACAGCTCATGTAACAAGTAAGGGCAATAAGGAAATACTGAGTAATGGTTATTTCATCTTCAGCTATAGCTCTGAAAAAAACACAACTTCTATAGATAATTAAGTATTCCACAAAGATATCTGGGACGTATACCTTCTCCAGCAGAGCTCTTATCCAATTCATTATGCTCCCACATTTTCTGTGGAGCTAATTGGATTCTTTAGCTCATAAAGGATGGGAAAAGAGCTTGTACTGTTAGTCTGAGCTACCTTTTCAATTAAAAGATACCATCAAAGTCCCTTGCAACAGGTAATGCACTGAAATCACTTACTAGCTTTTGTAATGTATCTGTAGCTGTGTTTAATTGTCTATTCTTAAAAAGCACAGCTGCTTCTGTTGGCTCTGGAGCACAACAATAGAAGATGCTGCCATGTCAAATTGGCCTCCCAGCCTGCTGCAGCCTGCTTAGCGCTGTTTTAGATCAAACTGTTGAGCAATTATTGTTGTGGTTCCGATTTAAAAATTATTATTTGTTTCTTTGTGACAGAGCAGTTCATTTGAAAAGATAACAGACACCTACAATCAACAATATATTTTCTTCATCAAGCTGTTATTTTAAGGTTCTGTAATGTGTAGGTGTAATTTAATTGCTCTTGTCCAGGTTAATTCCAGTAAACTTTGAAAGCACTGGGCTGAGCTGGGAGTTGTAGCTGTCAGTAGGGGCCTGGAAGCATTTTAGTATGATCTATCTACCATGTTCTAGCCTTTCTGACATAATACCCCAGAACTGTACTGCAGATCAGTCTTTGCTTGAGAGTGCTGGGTAAGTGTGCTTGACGTTCTGTGGAAGCTGGTGTTAGGATACACAAAGGTAGGGAGGTCTGCTGAAAGAGTCTCTGCTTTGCCCCAGATGAAAGGATTTAAATGTTTTTGTTTTTATTGTTCTGTCAATTGGTATGTGAATGGAAGAAGGGAAAACATGGCTTTAAACAGATATTTCACCAACAGAAGAAACATAATGTGCAGTAGTGGGACCCAGCCTTAGTAGCAGCTTATTTTGGGGGGCAAAAAAGTGAATAACCCCAAACAATGTAATTTTGAAGTTAATTATTTTTGTGTGAAACAGGTGTTCAGTAACATTTAAAATCATCGTTTAGCTTTGATTTCTTACTCCAATACTACTACTTTGAAATATTTTTTGGAAATACTTATCATTAGTGGCATGTTTAATGTCACTGCCTCATTTTGCTGGAAGCAGTGCTCATGTCAACAAGTACAACAATGTAAATTAAACATCTTTGAAGTGCTGCAGGCATAGTTGAGGTGAATGTTGTGACAATGATAAGTAGAATCTCTCTCAGTCTCATATTGCCTTCGTTATTGCACTGGATGTGGCATTTATCTGCATTTGTGCATTGAATTGTCTTTGTTGTTGGAGTCATGAACTTGAATATAATGCAACAGCTGGAAGTTTAGAAGTGGGTCACTTATGGCACATTTTTAATACGTTAAAGCTCTATGACAAAACTGATGACTTCTATTTTTACAGGGTTTATAATGTTATGTATTGGGATAGACTTTCTAACAGTACCCAAGAAAGATCTCAGCTCTATCTTTGAAGTGAAAAGCAGCCAAAAGCCACTATTCAGAAAGAGTAAAACCTTTATTAAAATATGTGAGTATGATTTTATTTCCTTTCTTCCATGAATCTTAAATTGATTTATTACATGTGTATACAAAAGATAAGAATGACTTTTCAGCCCACTCGGTATATTGACTTTGAAGTAGATGGAAAGGAAAAAATTGGTAACCATTAAGGCATGCTATAACCCTACAAAGATCAGGTTACTCATCATTATAATGTATTCTACAGTAGGTATCATTTTTACATAAATATTCCAAGGAGTTTTGGTATATTTTATCTGCTCATCCTGGTATGTTTTGAAGAATATAATTATATCTGCACACAAAGAGATACTCTGCACACATAGGGATACTCTTAAGTACGCTATTTTGGAATGGTATTATTACTGGCATATGTGGAAATGTAAATATATACATTTCCCATTCTATGAGTAATACACCTTAGAATGACAGTGCAATAATAATGTTATTTTCTCTTGGTTTAAAAGTAGCTTTTCTGTGTTTTTGCTGTTTCCAGTATTGTGGCTGTTTGTTGGTGTTGGTTTGCTAGGATTGGGTCTGCGTTATAAAACTTACCAGAAGAAGCTGGGCCAAGGGGTGAGTCATGTGTTTGTGAAAATGGCAAATTTTAAATATACAGTAAAATCTGCATGTGATATGTTAGGTGCTGAAGAAGTTTGTATACCAGTGTCCGAGTATTCAACAAAACTAAAGCAGAAATGAAGATGTAAAAAGTGTAGTTTTTAAATTCATGTTGAGCACAGAAATGCCTGGGCCTCTGGAGGTTCATAGTGCTGCTAAGAAAGAAAAAAATACTCTGAAAACCAGAGATTCTTGCTGCATATTCAATTTGAATGTTACTTTTATAAATGAGTTTATGTGAATTATATTCAAAACTTGACCATACTGTTAGCAGCCTGATCTTATATCAGGGAAGTTTGAACAGATAACCTTCTGAGGTTCCTTCCAGCTGAAGGAATTCTATGCTTCTATATTTATATGCGTAACTCTGAATTTAACTTCTCTGAAAAGATGTCAGACTTAGATTAGCCTTAGACTACTTATGGAACTTGGATAAAGATAGGAAGATTCCAGATTTTTTATCTAATATAAATGAGGTATTGCAATGATAGTGACAATTGCTTAATGACCACAAAGTTTAGTCCAAGTGTGTTGCTTGCCTATTCAGTAATTTAAATTTAAAATTAGAGCTGATTTGATCAGATATAACTTAACTTGTTTCCATTCTATGATTTAATTCATTACCAGAATAAAATTGGATTTTTGATGCAGTTGGTTGCAATTATGAATTAGACTTCTTTTTTTCTTTTGATGGCAATTTAGAAATAGCATTTTGAAACTTGCTCTTGACATGTATTCCTGTGGGTAATGTTTCTGTTAGGTAAGTCACTGGTGATGAATGGAGGAAAAGGTGCAGAAAAGGTGATGAGAGCTAAGTAGAAATTGTGTGTGTGTGGATGCACCTGTCTGCACATACATATTCATATATATGCACACAGACATACAATTGGCTTTCTTCCTGGAACTCATTTGGGTTTGTAGTACCTTTATAATGTGGAAAAAAACCCAGGTAGTTCCTCTTAAAAAGATGAAAAGATTGGTATTCTCTTTCATGTTCATTTATTACTGTTAGTTGCACAAATTAATTTTTACTCTTGTTAGAGCAGTTTTTTCGCAAAATACCTGTTTTTTGTATTTCTAACAGCTTTATTTGGAAAATATATTGGTTAAAACATCCCTTCTTGTGTGTATTTTAGGGCATGATGTAGCTGATGTTGCTGACTGCAAAGGTATAATACATTAAAGTCAAACTGCACTTGACTTCTTTTCCATTTTATTTTTTGAGGTTCCCAAAAGAGACTTCTCTGCTATGATCTGGCCTTTTAGATTTGCATATAACAATGAAGGATGGTCTAATTTGGAAGGATCAGCTGATCTGCTTAATCAGACAGGTAACCTTTTTTCTTCCATTTCATGTCTATATGAGAGTGTTCATCTGAAGAGGCAGAAGCAAGAACACCTGCCGGGTAACTGGGTCTGTTCTTGCGTTATCTCAAGAATCTGTCTAGTTTCTTCCTTCTGAGCTATTCCAGTACAATCACTTCTGTTAAAAAAAATCTGTTTGGAAAGGTGATAAATTTTTAAATTGTACTTTAAATAGGTTTCTGGTTGGAGGAAATACTTTGTTATTTATTTGGATTTTTTCTTATATTGCTGATGAGTTACTTGTCTATAGAGAAATTATTTGCATAAATGAATAATGAGAAGTGTCCTTTTAGATAAAATTTAATGTTTGAGAACTTCTCTGTGTTTGGTTTTCGGTTTGTTTTTTTCTGATGTGAAGCATTATATAATTCCTAAAGGGTCTGAAATTAGTATGCCCTAAATAAGGTACATTAATGCATTCAGAGTTAAGCTGGAGATTCTTAAACAATTTGTTCACTAAAGTAGATTAACTGATTTTGAGAACCACAGAGAAAAGAGTGGCTAACTTCAGAGTACGGGTTATTTTTAAAGGTGTGGTGGTGTGCATTCATTGGGCTCATCTTCTCTCTGTTGGCTTGGAATAGTAAAGATGCAACATGTAATGGCTTGTGTCTGCCCTGAAGGAAACTAACATCAACCCCATTCAGTGGTTTCAGACATTGTTTCTGTGGCCAACATGTATGCATGCTAATGATGTAGAAGCAGAAGGCCACGTAGCTCTTGCTGTATCCTCCAGCTAAAATATAAGGGAACCTCTCTTGTTCCCCTGACACAAAACCACACCTCAGCATGTAAACAGGGAGGAGCCACAGTGTCCTGAGAAAGCGAAGTGGCTGCAGATGGCAAACAGTTCTCTAGAGCTGAGAACCCTTCTGTTACCCTGCTAGCGGGCTGATGGCAGGTTGCTATGGGTTGACTAACTGGTTTGGCAGCAGACCCTGCTCCCTCTTCACAGGACCTTTTGGAGCAGGATAGGATTTGGTAGATGAAGGTAAGTGCAGATGTGCTGTGTAGTGCTTGTTCATCAAGTTGAAAGCAGTAGACTTGCTATGGGGCTGGTAATCTGTTTGCGCACATGATGTCTAATGCTTTTGAAATGGTCTGCACTAGGTATGTGTAGGCCAGCTGTGCTGTGCATCTGGTCATGCACCAGGGAGGACCTGTGGCAACCACTCATTAAGTGTTGTTCAGTCAGGGGCTGTGTGGCTTACAGTGACCAAATGTTTGGGCACAACTTTGTTGCCAGCATTAAGATTTGCCCTGATTGACTCCTGGAGGGCTTGTGCCTAACCCTGTGTAATCGAAAGGGAAATAACAACATTATGTAGTCATTTATAAATCACATTTATAGATCACAGTTATAACTTAGAAATATTTTCTTTTTTCTTCCCCATTTTAGGTGCTGATTTTATCACTATTATAGAGAGTGATGCCTCCAAACCATTCATTGGGAACAATGATCCAACAATGTGGCTGGGAGAAAGGCTAGGATTTTACACAGACTTTGGTCCAAGCACAAGAGATCACACTTGGGGGTGAGTCATCTTTACATGCACAGTGACACAAAATAACTGTAAATACACAAACCAATACTAACTCCACCAAAACATGGACAAAGAATAATTAGAATGATAATCACCATAATCACTTGTTGGAGCTTGTCTTTAAGAACAATCTTTGATTCCTTAGCATTACAATGCAATGCAATGCAATGATCAGGTTTTGGTGCCTGCATCTGTAAGCTACTTTGGCTTTGGTGATGTAGAGAATGGCATCCTGCTCCTTAATGTACAGATTTGGAAGTTTGGCATTTGAAGTACTGTATCTGATTCCCTTTTCTCATTATTCTGTTTTGTGCTATGAGAACTTTAGATTTCAGACTTAAAAATGTGATAGCAGTTGGAAAATCTAACTGCAACCTGAAGTTATTAGAAATTTTGAATTCATTAAACCCACCTTGGGCTGTATAGTGGGAAATGGGCATATAAGTGCACATATCTATTTGACCAGTATTTTTGTGTCTGATTTTACTTTAATGCTTGACCAACTACCAGTTGCGTATCTTTGTAGTCTGGAAAATAGCAGCTTATGAAGTGGGTTTTTTTTAGGTGGATATGCAGGTATCTGTGGCAGATGGAACTTCCTAGTGCTGATGTACCGCTATTGAAATTTTTCTGTATGTGAGAGGAATTTAGTAACTTTCCTCTTCCAGAGCCTGTGTCTTTTAAGTGGTGCAGAATGGGCTTGTGAGCAACAACAAAGTAACTGTTTCCTTCTTCTCATGTAGGATTATGGCGCTGTCACGGTATCCAATTGTAAAATCTACCCATCACCTCCTTCCGTCTCCAGAGGGAGAGATTGCACCCGCCATCTCCATGACTGTCAACTTCACAGGGAAACTGGTTGATTTTGTTGTCGCCCACTTTGGAAATGAAGAGTGAGTATTTTATTTGCTGTTACATGTCATGCAAAATCGTGCAACATAATGGTCATTTGTGAGCTTCTGCAATTTCTTTTGGACCCTTCAGTATCTGCTGCTGTAATACTGATTCTAACAAGGCATACTGGAGGAAATACTGTGGTACAGCTATTGGTTTAAATTTTGAAGCGTTTTTTAAAAGGCACAGTTGTGTCATGGAAAACTCAGCTGAGCCTAATATCTGAGTTACTAGAGAGAAAAAGATGTAGTTATGCAAAACCACGAGAAACAGGGCTACAGATACATCTAAGTGCAGGATAGCATCCTTCTGACTTCTTGCATGTGGAATAGATTTATTATGTACCACAGTGAGTGCACATAGATAGCATTAATGGCCAACTGATGTTTATTAAAATAGAAAGTAACAATTCTGAAATTCTGAATTCTCCAAGAAAGGACAGTGTTGAAACAGCAACAAAAATAGCCATTCAGTGTCCTTCTGACTATATGAAACTTGAAATAAGAAATCTGATCTCTGGGTTCTTAAAGGAAGAATTATACCAGTAACTAAAATATAGGATGGGAAAGATTGAGGTATATATTTTAGTTCTTTACTTTAAAACAGTATCTTGATAACTTGTGTGTAATGAATATTATTAATAAGTGGTAGCTTTGTAGTGCTCCATGTAGCTGTTTCTGTTCTATCTGCTGCAATATCTAATATGTTTGTGGTTATGTAGTAAGATTTGGGCTTTTCAAAATATTTATTATAATTCACGAAGAAGCAAATTTATGGATTGGATGCAGAATATAATATACAAAGCTGTTATTCAGAAAGCAATAGAGTTCTCATTATCCCATACTGAGCTTCCCTATTTTCTTTACATGCGTAGAAGCTGTGCTCCGAGCATACAAATCATTTGTAGTTTTCCCTTTTATTAAACACATATAGTTGTCAGAAACTACTCCCAGTCTGAACACAAGAAAGGAATTTTCTGTGCCTCACACAGATGGTTAGGCTTGCCTCTCTTAGAAACTCTTTGTCAAAGTAGGAGAAAATAGCAGTGTATTCCCCCTTCACAGTGAGATGAGATAAAGATGAAGGAGAAAATAGGAGGAGACGCCTGGGAAATGAGTACAAATTCAATTTTGTTTTGAGGTGAATGAATTTGTAATTAAATGGCACACATAATTGGTTGTTTTTCATCTTTTTTCATCTGCTGCTTTGGATGACATAAACTATAGAATATTGGATAAGTAGGGATTTCTTTTAACACTGTTTTTAAAACATGGGAATATAACAATGTCTCGTGTCATTTAAAAGAACCTGTCTTCTGCAGAAGTGTAATTCTGGAAAGAGCAGCTAGTTCACCTGGCAACTTCACATATACCAGGCTTCTATTCCAGTGGTTTGGGGTTTTCATCTCCTGTTTGTGTGCTCTTTCTTCTTAATGCATTTACTTCAGTCAGAAGTACTGCTATTTAGAAAGTGTAGCGGCATTGAAGTTCTTGTCCCCTTTTAGGATTACAGATTCCAAAATCAGTTCCCTATCTCACTGGTATTTGGCCCAGTCTAGCAAAATACAGAGGAGACCATGCTTTATACAACTGAAGTTATTAACATGAAGAATCACAGGAGAAACCCCTTACATTATTTTATGACAAATCTGAAGGACAGGGTATGGGATCCAATGCAGTATTTTAACAGGCTTCACTTATGCTATCTGGTCATATTGGAGCTGTTGTGTAAATCTGGTTAAAGAGTACCTGCCAAATGTTGTTAAGTAGTGTTATGGGATGACATAGATTTTAAGTCACATTTCATAAACTACGTGACCCAGACATTAAGACTATATTTATCATATGTCCATCTTGTTAGCATGTGAGCTCTTTGTTACTCACCACACTGTGCTAGCACAACTGAATTTCAAGTGCAGGCAGAGATAGCCTCAGATAACTGAAACGCTTACATTCACATTTCCGAGTGATGAGATCAGTATTAAAAACAAAACAGTAAGAGAAAAAGTTGTTCCTGTGGTGGTTAGAAAGAGAACCCTAATTACATCTACCACGACCATGTGGCTTTTATTGAACACAGTGATCATTTTGAATCACTGAGCTTTTGTAAACTTGCATGCTCTCTAATACTGAGCAATAAAAAGGGTACCAGATTTGTTTGTGGTTCACTATGTTATAACACAAAGATTCTGAGCTAAAATATATATATGTTCAAGTCTTTCCCATTTCTTTCAGGGAGGACTTAGACAGGAAACTCCAGGCTATAGCTGTTTCAAATATATTGAAGACTAGCTCTAAGCAAGTAGTTTTTCTAGGATACATCACTTCAGCTCCTGGATCCAGAGATTATACTGAATTAATAGAAAATGGAAATGTCCAGGTAAGGCAAAAATACTGATTCTTTTAGCAGTTGGAGATAATTCAGTATTTCAAACTGGTAACTTAGGAATAGACATAAAATACATGCACATTTTCAAACACTGTCTTCAGCTGCTTCACGGTATGTTACAGAGAAGGTGAAGTTACACAGTGAAAGAACAAGAAGCACTGGACAGCAGTTGCCAGAAGAGAAATGCCAGTTGGATAGCAGAACACCAAAAATAATGGATCACAATTATTTAGGGTTGTTAAACAGTAGTGCCTAGAGAAGTTGTGAAATCTCCATCCTTGGAGATACTCAAAAGTTGGTTGCATAAGACCCTGAGCAACCTGCTTGAAGTTACTTTGAGCATGGGATTGGGAGTGGGTGACCTCCAGACATCCCTTCCAACCTCTAATTCTGTGATTCTTTTGTTTTAAAACCAAGTTCTGCAGTTTGGCTTTCTGTCAGGAGATGTCAAAAAGCTGTCTGATTTGTGTCCAACAGTGGGGTTTCTTCTTTCTACCTTATTTCAATATTTAAAGCAAAACATTTTTTCTGCAGCATGTTTATACATTGGTTTGTTAGTGATTCAAATGCTACCCTTGAGGAAAGCTTACCTTATTTGTTTGACTTTTTTTTACCCTTTTCACTTGTAGGATATTGACAGTACAGATCATGACAGATGGTGTAGCTATATTATGTATCGAGGAGTAATAAGGTATGTTAAAGTGGATCATTTATTCACTGATTTTAATTATTTTAATGACTGTCAATTTTACACCCTTCTGTAGGTAACTGTGGAAAAGTCTTGCATCCCTAAACAATGGTGTATGGGCAGTGAGGTATATCATAAAGAAATGTGGAACATCAATCTCAGGATGGATGATTGTATTTCTGAGTATAATTTACAAAGACAGTATTACAGGTTTCATCCTTCTGTGTCAAAAGCCTTCAGATCTAATCTGCTTTGCTAACATAAAACTACTTTTTTTCCAAAGCTCTGTCTTTGCAGTATCATTCTAAAATGTGAAGGCTAAGCCCTAATCTGTGTGTGACACAGAAGATACGATTTTTGAACTATGATTGTAGGGTTTCTTGAAGCAAAATGCTGATCTAATACAGACAAGCTTTATGCTGGGAATTAGCGGAAACTTTAAGCCCATATTGAAGCACTTTCTTCTGCTGGGACCTATGAACTCCATGACTTTTTATATCAGATTGCTTCTAAATCATTCCCTTAGTGTTGTATGAACCAGAATGGAATTCAGGTTAAACTGTGCAAGTTCTGCGGTGTTCACAGGAGTAAACCGAGTAAACTAGACATCTGTCTTACGTAGCACTACTTAAGTAACAAAGGTTTGGTTTGGTTTTTTTTAAAGGCAACAAAACCCCCTTTTGCAGTCTAATTTTTCTCATTGTTCATTCCATTGCTGCTTGAGTTCCTTTCTTGAATTTCAAAATCTCTTAAGTGAAAAAAGCTGGTGTGCTTCTGCCAGGATGCATAAACTAAAACTATTAATTTTAAAAATAAGTTTATATGTGTTAAACTTTTTCTGTTGTCACTTAAGTTTTCTTGGTTTTTCTTGGTTTTTCTACTTACAGCACTGTGTTATGGTGCTTGTGTTTATATAGCACACTAAGTTTTTTGAAGTGAGGTTTACAGAAATGGAAAGTTATGTTGATAGCTTAAATAGTAACTCTTGAGAAAAAGAGACATGAATTAAGAATGCGATGAAACTGCCTTGAGTTATTTCTTCAAACTAACTCTTTTGGTATCTGATAGGTTGGGCTATGCCCGCATATCTCATGCTGGTTTAAGTGATTCAGAAGTCCAGATGGCCAAATTTAGGATCCCAGATCACTTGGATAGCTATGTTGACAATGACAGAATCGTCACTGATCCTAGCCAAGTTCCTGAGGACATCCATTTCAATCCTAGGTCAGTGTATCTCATAGTAAATTAATATGTGACATCTTGTAACTTATAGTGGGAGGCACTGATCAGTACCAAACTAAGCAGAAGATTAGGAGGCAAGAACTTCTGATATATAATTCAATTTTTTCTACTGACTTGGCCTATGCCTTGGGAAAATCAGCCTACTGTGTTGTAGCATAAATTGAAGGTAATGTTTATTTCACCCAGGTGATTAATTTGTGAGACTGTTTGACAGGGATGTTTGCCAAGTGAAGTGGTGACTCATTTTATAGATGATGAGAGATCCATGTTTCTCAGCAGTTTTGAGGACTGGGGTCTTTATGTACTGTTACTTCGAACACAAAATACAATATATACGTTAAATACTCTTGGCATAAGCATTTAAAAACATACTGTATAACTGGAGTTATGAAAATTAAGGAGGCAGTATGTTGCATATGTAAAGAAGAAAAAGGGTTAGATTTTTATATTTAAAGTTATTTATTTCTAGAATGGTGTCACTTTTCCACTGACACTGCATAAGGAACAGAAATACAGAGAAAGGTGTTTATTCTACACTGAATGTCAGTGAAAGAATTATGAAGTCCGAAATAAATGTTGTCGCAGAGAGACAATTTCCAGCAATGCTGTATTTACTACTTCTAACATGCCTAATACAGGATATTTCTTCTCTACACCTAACAGTTGAGCTTACGTACTTTTTATCATTGGCTTCCTGTCTAACCAGGAGTTTGCCCAGTCTTTTCCACATGATGAAACTTGCCTGAATTTAGCATTCACATTCAGATTTCTTCTCAGCTGATTTCAGCACAGAATATTTTTCTTGTCCTTATTTTTTACGTGTGCCTGTAAGCAGAAGATTTATACCCTTTAGGAATTTGGATACTCTGGGGAGTTAAATTATACCTCCACTGAATTCAGTAGAAAAACTGACTTCAAATAGCATGAGGTTTAACTAGATAAATGCACCACACCTTTATCAGCTGGAGTTCCAATTATAGAGTGTCTATGGCATTAATCCCATCAGTGTAATTAAATGTCTCCATTATACTCAAAGACCTCTTGTTAGATAGCATGAGTGCATCGTGATTTATATGTAAGTAGGGTTGTGGCCTGTTTCTGAGATAAGCTATCTAGAACAGTCAGAGGAGTGATAATTATACTATAGGAAGTGTATGATTTAGTTGCATGGGTTAAATCATGTTGTAATGGTTTTGCTTTGTTGAATATTTTTTGTAGGTTTGGATCTTATAAAGATGGACATAATTATGAACATATTCATCACTTTCATATGAGCACTCCTAAATATTTTAAACAGATAAATTAGAATGAGAAAGTAATAGATCACTGGGACCAATAAAAAAGGTTTGTTGTTTGAAACTGAATTGGCAGCCAAAAAGACCACATTGTTAAGGATGAGCAACTCCCATGCCGTATAATACTGTGAATGTCTGTGTAATAGTTGGTGACTCTTTAATGATCTGTCATTGCCATGAGAGAGGGAAGACGCATGCATTTTGATAAACAGATGTCTACCTGGGCCAGATACCTGCTTTGTATTCAGCAAAGCAAGGGTGAGAACTTGCATTGTCAGTAACTTCTGCTTTTATGAAGGTATCCTATATTGTGCTGTTTCAGAGCTGAATGTATCTATCCAATTTTCTTTAGGGTCCAGGTGTAACCCCTTTCCTGGGAGCTCATTGGAAGAACCATGAGCGAGGAATTTCAGCTGACTTCCATGCTTTTGTGATAACTGAGGCAAAGCAAAATAATGTGGTAGTGTGGGTAACCTGTCAGTATGTGCTGCGCTTTGTAGTCTGCTGCTACTGCAGTAATAAGCTTGGCCTTAGTTTTTGCCAAAACAGGAGTGGGGCTAGTGTGGTTTTTAATTGGGAGATGTGCAATTCCTATGTGTTTGAAGTGTGTGCATTTTTTACTTACTGAAACAGTGTTTACATCTGCTGCTATTCCACATTTTACTCTTAAATTAATCTTATTAGAACAACTATTGGAGAAAAGGTGATGACTTTTCCAGACTTCCATTTTTTTTTTAACAGGGCATTAGACACTGCAATGCTTTTACAAAGGGAAGAGTAAAGTACCTCCGAATAGTTATTGTTATGAGACTCAGAAGAACGCACTGCAGGAGAGTTAAAAGCAAGCATGCTCAACGTGAGAAGGTTTCTGAGAAGAAAGTTGATTGTATTTTTTTTTATATATACAAATAAATAAAACAAAATGGCATTGTCCTTTGCTAGCACTATGCTTTAGTGGGATTATATAGAAGTGGGGCTTTTTTATGACCTAGGCAGTGAGTTACCTGCTATGTAACAAACATGACACACTGTTAAGAAGTGTTTTCTGGGGGTCTTTTGGCAATGTCTTTTATATCCTTCAGGATATGTGCGGAGCTTCCCTTACGCAAAGAGAAGATCTTCAGTGTTGTCCAAAGGAAGTTTCATGCTCGTGAGAAACATGTCAGATGATTTATGTAAATGACCCTCTCATTGGAAACCACATTTGTGATGCTGGTATTTAGTACTGTGTGTCTTTGCAGTAATACCTAAACAGTCTGTAACTGAAAGGAACAGGACACGTTGCAGGAAAGAGGATGGGTTTTTTTCTCCCTCTAATTCTTCACCATGTGCTTTTGAGAACAGCTTGAGCATACTTAATTTTATTGTTTCTCTATGTAAGCAAATACAGGATGTGCTTTTACCCAGGGTTTCTTGTTCTATGAAGTCAGGTAACTGCTGCCATCACCAAGCTTGTCCCTTTATCCTGGTCACCCATCATTTTGCTTCCTTGTTTTTAGAACTGTGTTTCTGAGAGTTGAACGCTTCACTGATCTTTGTGGGCAGAACATGTTTGAAAGGCACTTGAGGAATACACAGCTTAATCTTAAATGGTATTGGAAAGCCTGACTTTGTTAGTTAGAATTAACCAGCCATTGTTGGACTAATTTACTTCTCACGTAGAGGTGCTGTTTATCTTTACAAGCCAAAGGATGTATAATTAAGTTTAGATATCCTTTAGGTAGGATGTGAAATCCTCTGACCTTGTTCTCTGCATGACTCTCCAGCAGAGCAGGATAAATCAAGTTTTGGTGTGATGGGACTAACTTTCTTGTGCTTTCAGCAGTTCTCGTCTGCAAACAGCAGTAGTTCCTGTCCTGTTTATTCCCAGCCTGCAATAGCAGCTGGCACTGGCACTGGTACCAGCATTGCACAGAGGTTCTGAGTAGCCTCACTTCTATGCAGTATGCTCTTGTGTTAGCTCTGACTCATGGCCAGCCACAGGTTTGCATTTCCATAACCCATACAAAACATACCATTATCTTGCCACATTACTTAATGTTCTCCACGGGCTTACTCTGCAAATACCTTGTAATGTGAGCAGTTTATTCTTGTGAGATGCAGGAAAAGTTACCCATAAAAAGCTTGAAAATCACTTAATTTTTTTAGCCATTAAAAAATGAAATCAGGGTATTTTTCAAGAAGTCAGACACCAGAGCGTGACTTGCATAACAGATGAGTCTATATGTCATCTCTGTGCGTAATGTCCAAAGCCTGTGAGCATACTTGGATAGATTTTCACAGGATTTAGAAACGTTCACCATATTAGAAATGTTCATGTAGACACTGACAAAATCTAAATTTGGGGTATTCTCTTCTGAGTAGCTCGTGTAATTTAGTATTGGTGGATCTGTTCCTTATGCCTAATATCAGGCAAGTTAATATGTATGCAGGTGTAAGGAGTAGCAAGTATCTGTTGACATCTGCATTATTAGAATTGCTAAGAAAAGATATGACCATGAACTGTTTGTATACTGCTTTTACTACTGTGGTTAGAACTGGGAAGCTAAAACTACTACACTGTCTTTGTCCTTGAATCTGCACACTGATCTAATCCTCTGTACCTGACTGGTTTAGAAAAACGTGCAGTACTTCTCTCAGTTGCAATCACTATGTTTCAAACTATGAAAGAAATGTGCTAGAACAGGTCTTGCTGCAGGGGTGTGTGACTAATCTTGCTCTCTTCTAATCGTCCTTTCTTCATGACAGTTTTCAGCAGATACTATGTTATGAAAGAAAAGGTTTGTGAATGTCTTCATGCATTCAGAGGCAGCATGAAAATATATATGTGTAAAATAAATAGACATTATTTTCTAAAGATTTGATTTTTTGTGGCAAGTAAAAGGTCTAGACTAAGAATAGCTGAGTTCTAGATAATATGTATTCTGCTGTAGTCCTAATTCTGCCCTGTCTGATATTCTGTGCAGGTCAGTTAAAGTTTCTAGGAATATACAGGAAGAGACAGCAGTACATCAGGATCCTACCAGTGTGTTATCTGAGAACAAGAAAGATGGACTCTAGGTAACATGTAAGAGAGGAACTTCTGAGGCTAATGGTACTGGGTTCTTCAGCAAAGAGGAGATTCAAGTCTCCTCTTACATACGTTCCTACTCTGGGGCCTTGTATGAGGCATTTCTATGTGTAGTGTGAGCTTGGCTTCAGAAGCTGTGGCTCTGGTGTTGTCACAGAGCACTCTGAAACCTGGGAGCTGCAGTTCAAACCTCTGGGGCTGAGAAGGACCTGAAATTGTTATTTCCCATTTTCCAACAGGGTGTAAGAGTACCAAGTTTATTAGTAAGTTGGGGATAGATACCCTTTGGGTTTTGATTGGAGTTGATACTGGAACAAGCTGGGTGCAGCTTCAGTGTGCAGGTGACCAGCTCCCATGCTGTCAGTGAAACAGAGCACTAAAGATGTTCAGGGTCCTCTGCTGACAGGGAGGGAGCTTTGTGCCCCCAAAGGTGCTGGTTGTCTTGATCAGTCTCCATGGTTCAGGCAGAAATTCTGAATGCTCCCTGACATAGCTTCCCAATTAGGAATTAAGCAGATTTTTTTATTTTTTTTTAAGTTCAAACTGAAGCTGAAACCCCCTATAAATCTGGTTTAAGGATTTAAATATGGGCTAACAGTAGCCTGAAACATGCTTTTATTTATGTATGTAAAATTACATTTGTTTGCAGGATGTTACAGAACGACCTTTGGGGTCAAAATCATATGTCTGGGGCAAGTATAAGAGAACAAATGTTTCTACTTTAACGAGGAGCGTAATATGAGTCCATGGGACAGGGCAGTTAAACCGAGCTGAATTGAAGGAGCAGTCGTTTATAGAATCTGCAGCTGCTGCTTTCTGCCGCCTGAGGTCGTCTTTTATCCCTGATCAGCACTGGTCTGCTGACACTGCAAAAATAAGGCGAAGTTTAGGTGCTTCTTTGTAACTTCGAGGGTGAAAAATCTTTTCAGAAGCATTACTTTCTCATATCTGCAAATGGTTTATGACTGCGATTGCTGGGCTTCTGGTAGACAATTTCTTTCTTTTCTTACAATGCCCTGTACTGTGCTTTGTTGCTGCTTTATCGGCTTTGTTAGTGTTCAGCAAATTATGCTTTGGTAATGTTTTTATTTTCACTACAGTTCTCTTCCCCCTCTGGCTTATCATATAATGGCTTATGATTCTGGTGCCTAAAATCAACTTTCAAGCTTGTTTCTAAGCAAAGCAAGATGAATGAACGTATTTGAGACATGCAGTGGCTTTAGCAATTTGGAGTCTGATACCCTTTGGAAACAGAGGGGATCCTTTTTCTCCAAGGTGCTTCTGCATGATGTTTCTGATAGTGGAGAAGATAAAAGTAAGTAAATGGCTCCTTTTTCTCATGTTAGTATTTTTCAGTCTATGGTAGTTTTTTATGTGGTTGTCATTTTAGTCATCAATTAAAAAAAAAGCAGCATAGCCATAAAAATGCAAGCAATAACAGTTTCTCCTTGATTGAAGTTTTAAGTTTGCTCTAGCAGTGTGCAAACTGGCTGATGCATTTCCTGCCCCTCATCAGTTCTTGATTTATTATTCCTCACCTGTGTGTTGGTGAGAGCATTTGCACATGTGTGTAGTGAGAAAGATCAGGGTATTCATCTGGCTGGAAAACAAGCAAATAAAACCGCAAGTGTTGAGGTTTTTGTTTTGGCATGGGTTTTCTTTTGCTTTTGGGGGCATTGGAGACAGTCTACCTCTTTGATCTACCTTGCTAGCTAGCTGTACAAATGTTTGCACTGGCACAAAAGAAAGGATGCCAGGAAGGCTGGGATTAAGAGGCTAATGCTGGAACTGCTTAAGCTGTCTCTGTCCTTGAGACAGTGCTTTATCCACCATGACCTGATTGATCTGTTCTATGTAAGATGAAGTATTTCTTTGTTCTGTAAACTCAAGTTTCAGAAAGAAAATACAGGCATGGTTTCATAACATCTGCCAGCCTGGAGACTTGCATAATGGTTTACAACTAGTGGTAATACAGGAGATATTTATACCTTCTTCAGGCTGACAGGAAGGTGCATGTTGTAATGGGCCTTGTTCTCATGGGGCAGGCCTTTTCTGGCTGAAGCATACATTCCCTTGTTTAGCAGGCAGAAGCAGAAAACAAAGTCTCTTTTGTGTTTCCCTATGGACTTCTTTGCAGGTCTGGTTCTTAAGGGTCAGGGATTATACTTGTGCATTCAGCCATTCAAAAGTATTTTGAACTTCTGTTTGTCAGACCTACAGTATTATTTGCTTTGCACTTACAGTAGGAGTTACAGAAGCTAAAGGCTAAGGAAAGGTTTGTAAAGCCAAGGTAGTATCTTTCATTTTAGACTAATATAAATGGGGGGAGAGAGGGGTAAGTACAAACCTTTTTGATTTCAGATACCACCAGATAGTGTTTTTCTGTGCCCTTTCTTTAGATCTGTATCGGTATACAGCTGTGTAAGGCATTGAAGGTTATTTTTTCAGATTCCGTTTTTATTCAGATCCAGCAGTCTGTGTGCTTTTTATGGTCAATGTGAACAAACAGGCACCCCTAAAGGAATTGTTCCCCTCAAACCAGAATTAGAACAGATCAGATGAATTGCAACTCATTGGTGCCCCTATTGGGTATAAGAGCTTGGGATGACACGCACAGATGTGAATGTTTGGCATGTGGGATGTTAGAACTACCCGAGAAGTGAAACCTAGCTTGTACTGCTTTGTGATATATATACATGTATATATATCATAATGTATATTTAAATATATGTATTTAAAGGTGGTAAAGTATACAGTTGCTGAGATAAAAAGATGGTGCAAATAGGAAAATATAGAGGCAGGAAGTTCTACAGAAATGCTGTCAAGGAGTTAACAAACAAGTAAGAATTTGAAATAATGGGGTCTTTCGTTGCTCTGACATGGTCTTAATACATGACTTTTGAAGACTATTTTCTTATGGACTCCCTCTTCTCTGGAAATCAGGCAGTTGAAAACATAAGATGCTGCTCTGCAAAATAAATCGGCTGTACTTGCACATTCTGAGTGTTTCACTGAATCAGGCAAGGCTCATAAAAAGGCTCAGATCTGTTAATTCAGGACTGTATGCTCATGCACTGCTCCAAAAGGACCATTACCTTAAATCTGGTGCTTCTTCAATTCTGAGTCTTTGACTTTCTTTTAACTTAACCTCTTAGAGGAAGCTTATTGTCATGGGTAATTTCTGTTGTAATAATCCTTCGCTGTGTACTGGCAGTGCTGTAGCTGTCTCTTTGCAGGGTGCAAGATGCTGAGCTCGCATGCTAAGCAGCAATGATCTGCAAGGTGTCCTCCAGCTCCAGAATAGGGCCTCTTTTCTCCTGTACTGCAAGGGGGGAAAGCAGGGTGGCTCCACGTGTTAGATGTCTACAAGAAGTAACTGCGGTGAGGTAGTCACATCTACCTGTGAGGTGCAGCTGAAAACCGGTGTCTCCCCTCTCACCACCCAGCCTGCTGCTGCCGTAACATTGACCCGACACCCCTCTGCGGTCAGTTGGCTGCGGCAGGCTGCCCATGTTTCTCCTGGGTGTAGAGGGAGACAGGAGAAACAAATGTATCTTTCCAAACTGGGGGAGACGGGAGAAACAAATGTATCTTTCCAAACTGGTTGGCGATTTGGCTACACTGAAGTTGAGTTTGCAGAGCAGAAGGAGGATGTTGCAGCCCAGCAACCCTTCTCCTTCAGTGACAGCTGTGACAACAGGGCACCAGCTGCCCCGGGGCACACGTTAGGTACGTGTGCAAGCACTCGTTTAGCAGAGCCAAAGCTTACGAGCCTTTGGGCACCCAGCGACCTGGGCTTGGTCCGGACAGAGGAAGCCCAAGGCGGCGGCCCTGAGGTGCTGCGGCTGCCTACGGCTCCCTCAAGACTGAGGCCAGAGCATCCCCTGGCTGAGCTATTGTGAGCGCGCTGCCGCCGGTGCCCACGCCTTGTCACGGTCGGTGGGGACCAGCGGCTAGGCCGCAGGACAGTTCCCTGCCCCTGGGCAGCGAAGCGCTACTTTCCTGCCCACCGGCTGACCGGCCAACCCCTGTGGGGCGGGGCGACCACGGCGGCACCGCCTTCTACCCCGCTTACCCAATCGTGTCGAGGTGTGGGCGCGGCCCTGAGCTTTGGTAGCCAATCAGAGCCACGGCTGACACGAAGTGGTGTTCCCTGCACGCGCTTTCAAGGCCAGGGACGACTGCCACCAGGAAAGCCCAATCAGAATGCAGGGGGGGAGGGACCCGCTGGGGCTCCCGCCCAATGAGAGCTCGGGAGCCGGGGAAAGGCAGTGCGGGGCAGGCAGAGGGAGAGTGGCAGGAGCCTCGTGCAGTAGGGGAGCAGGATGTGCGGCCTCTCCAGGCAGCCCGAGCCAATGGGTGCCGCCGGTGGGCGGGGCGGGAGGTGTCTGTGCTTAGGCTCTGTGATTGGGAGAGGGCAGCGGGAGCCGGGCCGGGCAGGGCAGTGTGTGCGCCGCACGAAAATGCACTCGGATGCCGCCGCTGTCAGTGAGTAGCAGCGGGGCCGGGCCACGCGCTCTCGTCCGCCCGCCCACCGGCGGCGCCACTGGCCTGTTTTTTTCCGTCGGCGGACGCTGCCGCCCGGGTGGGGGCGGTTTCTCCTGCCCCTCACCGAGGAGGCTCGGCCGAACACGCCGCTGGGGCTCCCGGTGACGGCGGAGGGCGTCAGGCCTGCGGGTGCAGAGCTGGCGGGAAGCGAGGCGGTGCGCGCACCTGGGAGCGGCTCCCCGTGGGGTTAGCAGGTGCCCCGCGGCCCTCAGCGGGCTGCTCCTGGGGGGGGCGGGAGGGGCTGGGGCTGGACAGGGACGGCCCGTGTAGCGGTGGGCGAGGGTAGCAGGACCGACGGGGGCGGGGGGCGCTCGGAGTGTGACGCAGTTTCCCCGGCTCACGAGCGGGTGAGGCCGCGGCCGGCCCTCGTGGCTGGCTACTAGGGAGCCAGGCTGCCGAGGGGAGGGTGGGCGAGGGCTGCGGGGGTGCCCGGCGACCTTGCCAGGTGGGAGCCATGTTGTGTGTATGGGGAGACGGGTGGTGGTTTATTTAGCGGATTCCGCCGGGCCGGTGCAGGAGAAGCGGGCTGTGAAGGGGAATGGGCGCCGCGGCGCATTGTGGGAGGTAGAGTCTCTCCTGCGGCTGCCTCGCGCGGCAGGGATATGGGCGGTGGGGCGATGAACTACAACTCCCAGCAGGCACCGCGGCGGCCCGGTACTCTGCCCCGCCCCGCGCAGCAGGGAGAGTTGCTGGCCGGTACCCGGCGGTCGGCGAGAGCCCCCTCAGGGCTGGAACCGGGAGGGGCTGCTTCGTCCTCACTCCCCCTCCTTTCCACCGTGGGCAGGACGCGGCCCAGGGCAAAGCCCTCAGCTGCGGGGCGGGGGGAAGGTGGAGCAGGAGTGGGGGGGGTCACGCCGCCTGTTGTGGAGGTGCGTAGGGAGGGCTTTGTCTCTGCAGCGTATTTCGTGGCTCCGGTTTCGGAGCAGGCGGGACAGTGGGTAGGGCCCCTGGCGTAGGGGGGTTGCACACCTGCGCGGGGCTCAGGGACCCGCGCCGTCCCCCCCGCCGGAGAGACGAGGCTGTCATCCCGGGTACAACGGTGTTCCCGATTCCTGTGAAATCTCCCAGGGACGCGTTCTCACTGTGCGAGGAGTTGGAGCTCTGAAACACGCTTTATTATTGCAGAACCTGCTTATGGGAAAGATAATGAAAATTGAAGCTTTGATCGTACGTTAATGAATGATGGTCTGACTTTTGGACGAAGTCCTGAAAGCAATTATGGGAAGAAATGCTGCATAAGGCCTGGATTTGCTTGAGTCCTCTTGTGTTTTTCAAAATGAGATTGGATGGGGCAGCCTGGTAAAGGCTTTAACTCACAACGTTATGTAATTTCTTAGTGGTTCTGCTTTATTTTACCTTTATATTTAGGGATCATTATATGTTGGTGGTTAAGGCTGTTATTACAGCACAAATAACTGCCTCATGATGGAAAAGGATAATTATTCTAGAAAATTCCTTCTGTTCAGTGTCTTTTGTCGTGTGCCCTCTCTGAGAAAGAAAGGTGCAGGTCTTCGTTATATACATGTAAGCTACAGTTACAAATATTCCAGTGCTCCCTGGTGTAGGATGTTAAGGCTATGTGGTGATTATATATATATATAAATGTAATTTCTCTGCAGAAAACAACAGTGCTGTTTCTCAGCCTTCAGCTGTTACTGGCTTCTCTTTAAAAACATCCCTTGGAATGATTGGATCTTCCACTTTAATACCTTTTTTTTGACGGAAGGGAGAAGGGGGGCAGTTCATGGCCTTGTATATATGTTTATTTTAAATAGGAATATTTTCCTCAATTAACTAACTTCATTATCTGTATCTTCATGGTAGTTGTTTTTATTCCTCATTGATTTAAATGCTTGAAACAGGAAGTGTTCGTGGCATTTCTTACCACATGCAAAGCTGGTATGACCATCTCTTGACTGAACATTTCTTTTGAGCCTTCTTAGATTCTTACCTGTTCTCATGATCTAAACTGCATTAACATATTTTTTCTCAGTCTCAGTTTTACTTTCTGAGACTGAATTTACACTTTTCATGTTACATCAGAGACACAAACTTCCTTTTTTTCCTGTTGCAAACATTCGCTTAAAAGTTTTTACAACTCTAATGAAATGCCTTCTCTATGCCAGGCCATGCAATAAGCTGAATTAGACAGGTAAACAGCCTTCCTTTTAGTGCTTCTCTTCATTCTTTTGTATCAGGATGAGGTTTCATTTGTGTAATCGCAGCACTTAATTTAAATTTATTTTTGTCTGAGTGTCTTTTATGCTAAGTGAATTATTAATCCTGTATTTTCTTTACTTTTACCCCCATACTTTGGAGAGACTGAAAACATACTTTGGGCTTTTTCAAAGCATTATTTCCTAGTTTTGTTTGTGTCTTTGAGCAGCAGAGGAAAACTTGCTTGATTTGCCTGTCCTGTGCTTGCCAAAAAGCATTGCACTAGGAAGTGCGATACATCCCATGAAAATGTACCATTCTGGTATACCATTTAAATATTAGAGCGTTTAATAGTGTGGTTATTTCTTCTACAGTAAGACTACTAGCAAGGCTTTTCAATAGAACCCTTATTTTAAATGTGCCAGCATTTTTTTATGTCGTGCAGTTAACTTTTATTTAAAATTATAGGTCTGAGGTTAAATATAATTTCCACTTTTGGCTCAACGAGATGGAAATAGCTACCAGTTTGATCAGTTATTTATATATATAGTTAGAGCTACAAGGCTTTATATATCTATATCTATCTATCTATATATTGTTAGAGCTGCAAGGCTTAAGCTTGCCCATGGGAACCAGCTGGTGTGACACATGCTTCTGTGTCTCTTGATGCAGATGTGTGGCTGCACAGACTCTAGGACTGTCTGCTGCAGCTGCTCATTACTGCCCATTAGCCATAGATTACTCCTTCCTTTTCCCTACTGTAAAATGGTTTGTAGGTGCCCTCTCTAATTCACTCAGTCAAATCTAAGTTATCTTTGGCTGCTTACTTAAGGTGTCTAAACTGGCAGGGTTGATTTTTTTGCCTGAGTGGATTAGGGAATGCCCACAACCTGTGCTGCTGGCAGGGCTATGGAGTCAGTAATTTTTGGCAGAGAGGAAGAAGCAAACAGCTGGGGCAGTAATACTTTTGACTGGCATAGCTGTTCCTAGGCTGATGCAGATCCATCGTGATGTATACTAGATGGGCATGGTGCTCGACACCCAAGTAGTGCGTACTTGACAGGGTTACATTTCTGCTGAATTAGCTGGAGCATGAGATGCAAAGTTTTTATTAGCTTTATGCCCTTTGTAGGATGCCAGATGACACCTAATCTGGCATGAAGTTAAGAGTAGTGCTGGCAAATGACTCTCAGGCCATAGCAGCCAATAATGCAAAACTAACCCGCTGATTCTTTTTTGAATTAATTTGGTGGTAGAGTAGGAGTTAGACTGGATAAACACTTTTCATCAAATTGGTGTAAAATTAGTTCTGTATTAAATGTTTTGTAGCTCAACTTCTTAATTCTTGAATTGTAGACTGAAAAAAATATTCAGTATCCAAATAACACGGAATCACTGAAATGCTGTTTGATTTGGTAATACGTGCTTTAGAAATAGATTTCAGTTAGCTGTGATTATTCGCTGCTTTCACTCCTGTCCAACTGTGGCTGGTTGCTCTAGCTTTATGGCAAGAATCTTCATTAGGAATGCTTATCCAGTACATTTAGTAGGTACACAAGTGGTATTTGCAGCAACAGAAACAGATGTTCTGCACCAGAAATACATATAGCGTTAAGTCTTGTCTATAAAAAACAAAACACACAACCAACATGCCTCCAAAAAAACACCCCACCCCAAATCCCCAAGCCTTAAAACCCCCCATGGGCTAGTGTGCAGGGTTTTTCATCCTATAGGTTAGTGTACCATAGGTTAGCATAGCTCTTGTTCAGAGCCCATTTAAGGTACACAGAAATGCATTTAAAATAAGTTATACAACTTTTTTAACTGCTTAATTTGTTCTGAAATTCTCAGTTGACTTTAAACTGCAGTAGCTCTCTTTCTAAACAAGCCTTCAGGTTAGGGTACTGTAGGAATACCTGGGTAGAATAAGGATTTGTTCCTATGGGGGACAAAAAAAGATTAATGGTTTTTCCTATCTATGTAGCATTAAGTAATTTTAAAACATTTTGTTTCAGATAAAGTGAGTGACTGATTTTATGTGGTACTGAGAGTTGAATGTGAATGTTTACCTAAACTGATAAGTGTTTTTTAGTGTGTTTATCATTTCAACCACATTTTGTGTTTAGGTTTGGGGTTTTTGTTTCTATTTTTCAGTAGCTTGAATCACTCTGTGTTTTGCTTCAGAACATTTTAGGCTGTTGTGTTTGGAAAGTGTACACCGATTTTAAGCTGTGGGTTTGAATAGTGCTGGTGTCAGCAGTAGCTTTGAGCTTGGTGCAGCTCTGTATGCATGTGTATGCAGGAGAAATGTCCTGCAGCACCGTGTCTAGTGTTAATGGTTAGGTCCTGTTGCTCCTGAAGCCAGGATGTAGCCTCCCATTTATTGCATGTCCTTATAGTCCAAGCTGGAATTCACTTCTATTTTCCTTATTCTCTGAGTCATGTTTAATCCCATCAGATCAAGGGAGACCCTGCTTTTCAAGCCTGTTCTCTGCCTCCCCTTTCCTGCCTGCTTGCTCTTGCATGATGGACTGAGAGAGATCTCTCCTGCAGGCTGCTCTGCGAAAGGATGTCGCTGCCTGTGCAGATTCAGCCACAGACACGTTGGAAATGAATTCTTAATCCTGTCTTTGACAAGAATGCAGAGTCAGCTCCTAGCTGCTCTGTACTGCAGTTTGGGGATCTCACTTTTTAGGTGTGTTGTGATGTTGTTGTGTAAATGAAAAGAATACTGATGCACGTTTTTGTTTTCTGCCTTTAGTACTGAATACAGAAATTCTGCTACCTTAAGTATTGAAGACTTTCAGCAAATGCAGGTTTCAGATCTGAAATTTTAAGTTCATTAATCAGTATAAATTGTCTCACTCCTAGGATAAATCAGTAAGTAGTCTACAGAGCATGAAATGGTTTAGTTCATAGACGATTAAATGATTCTTTTATGGATAAGTAAAGTTTATTTAAAACTAATTAAGAAGTCGGTACTTTGAGCTATTTCTAGTAATACTACAAGTTTTCTTGAGTTCTAAGCCAAGGAAAGCCATTAAATGAAAGTAAAACCATAACAATCCATTTTAATTTTCAGGGATGAGTCTGTCTAGTATGTCTTTTCTGAGAAGTATTTTTTTTCCTGAGAAGGTAACAGGAGATTACCCATGATACTTGTACCAAGTCAGATATATCTTAGCATTAATAAAAATTGCTACTACAACTATTTCCATAGTTAATACGGAGTTGTATCTATAGCATTTACGTGGCACGTCTGTTTAGGAGTATTTTTAGACCTACTGTTACAGTGAGATTTTGTGTATTTTTATATTTGCGCAGAAAAATAATCTAGAAACTTTTAAAGGAAATGAACTACAGCTGCTGATCTGGTTTAGTGCTATTGTTAATTTTTTACTAGTTCTTTAGTAGATTGCAGTGCACCCTGGAGCCATGTTTTGTCCAAGCATTAAAGTGATAATTTTGACAGCAGGAACCAAGTTGAAGTTTTTATTCAGGCACGTACATGTCTGTGTGTGAGGAGATGCACAGGCAGAAATACTCTTTTATTTTTATTTTTTTATTTTTAGGTATTTATTTGTGGCTTAATTTGAGTAGCTTGACAACACATCAGTCCCTCCAATAAAAAAATGGACTTGACCTTTAAAGTTTTTTCATTTCAGGTGGGAGAGTATTCGAGTTCAGTTCACCTGTATAATTTTCTTATATTTCAGATAGAGCCAGGTTTTTTGTTTGTTCATTGTGTTTTCTATGTTTGTCTCAATGAGGGGGCGTAGAAAGATTTTTGTGTAGTTTGCTATGGAAGCAACCCCAACAGCTAGCTAGTTTCTTTTGCCTCTACATAACTGGCAGGACTGTGGCATGTAAACGTTAATCTAGAATGTTTTAAAGGTTATATTTAAACTGTTTGCTCTTTACTGTTGCATTGTATATGAATGTGACTAACTGACTAACCAGACTTTAACGCTTAAGAGTTGATGACCAGATGCGGACAGGGATTAAATTCCATGATACTAGGCTGTCTGTGGCATTTCTTTCCTTTCCAGATTCTGGATTTGCAATTAATTTATTCAAAGGCTTGTTTTGTTGTTTGGGTGTGTTTTTTTTTTGTTTGTTTTTTGTGGTTGTTTTTTTTTTGTTTGTTTGTTTCTTTTTAGCCATTAAATTTCGAGTTATTGCAAAGCATTAATACCATTTGGAATTTCCTTTCCACCAATCCTTGCTAAAGATAAGCTAACATATGCATAAAAAGTAATCAACAAAATATGTATGTTTTTTTGACATACAGCTCTTAAAATCATAGCAAATGTTCCAGCACATCTCTTCAGTATTCATGAAGCAAGCTGTTTTCTTTCTTTTCATCCCAGGGCAATAAACTGTATGGTAACTTGCTATAAAATAGGGTTTTTTTTGCAGGAAAAAAAACCCCAAACCAAAATATTTTCACACCAGTTCTTGTATTTAGGTGAAATACAGCTTCACACATGATGGCTTTCGTCATGTAACAACAACCAGCTGTTGAGTGTGTAGCTTCATGTAATGTATCCTTCTGACAGTGGGGCTTGAGTGGATAGTTGATTTAACACATTGCTGCTGCCATTAGAGACTGTTTTTCTCCTGCTTTGAAGGACCTTTCTTGTCTCTTACTCTGACTTTGCTTATGAGGAGTTACATCTCCTTGGTGATCTGCTTCAGACCCCTGAGCTGTCGGGGTTGGTTTGTTTGTACTTTTTGTGGATAAAATTCCTGGGGTGGTGGGCTGACCAAAGGGGTTGGCAGGCATAACTTGGGGGCTGCAGAAGCAAGCATAGAAGCTGGGGAAGTGGAGGGGAGAGAGCATGTTGCTGAAGCATATGATGTTGAATCACTTGCTTGTCATGGTGACAGTGCCATTGTCCCTTTGCTGCTTTTAAAGAAGGTGTTATTTAAGCATAGGAGGTATTTTTTTTTTTTTCAGATTCTGTTTCTTAAAAAAAAAAAAGTTTTAAAAATATACCTTTTCAATGACATAGGATACTTGGTGTATCTTCCTTGCAATATAGATACAGCAAACACTGACCAGTTCAGGAGGTGACCTGAGCTGTAGTTTAACTCCCCTAGCTCATTGGCTGCTTGCATTTGCTTTTATAACAGGTACTGTAAAAGAAATCTGTTTCTTGGTTTTGGGTATATCCTTAGTTTGCAAGCTTCCCTTGTGGAAGAAAGAAAACTTTGGACTCTGATCCTCCATATTCATACAGATAAACCAGCCTTTGTGGAACTAAGGTGTGACACTTGTACAAGAGCTGTAAAATATATTGGTGTAACCTCTCCAAGTCCATCATAATTATGTAACCTATTTTTAAAGTAACAGCTTAAAACTGTAAGGATATTTCCAGTGGATGTGTGAATTGTACTGGTATGAATTATGTGTTTTGAAGTGCCTGGGAATGTTTATTTCAAAGGTGATACGTAATATACATAAGCCTAACTTCAAAATATTTTTTATATTGTTTTTAAGGGTACCATCTAAAATTACAATTTAATAGTAGTTTAGAATAAAGCATTTGCTCAACATTTTCAGCTTGCTGCTTCCAGGTATAATTGTTTTCTCTAAAGATTCATGTTCTTTGTAGATTTTAGGCTGAGCAACAAGGGGGATTTTAAAATTCATCTTCCAGAAATCTTAGTTTGGTCTGGCAGTTACCAAAATAAATCCATAAATGTTACCTTTTAATCTTTGCCCCTCTCAGAATGGCTTTTATGTTCCCACCACCTTTTATTTTTATAATTCCTTTATGTTGAATTGAAGGTTGACTAAGAAAGTCAGGGTTGATTTTTCTGCACAGTAGTTCTACTTAATAGTGTTTGGCTAGCAAAGATGGCACTTTATTGAGCACTTAATGCAGATCTTCCTGTCAAGACCTGGATTGTCTTCATACAGATAAGTACATCTAAAGTTGAATGTGCTTATCTATATGGTACTTCTGACTTAGAGAAATTGTATTGATATGATGGTGAATTGGGGACAATATATTAAAAAATGGGTAGCAATTAGTGAAATTATACTCTGTAGCTAATATAGTAAATGAAATTTATGGTTCCTAATGGTATCTTTTGAAATTTTGTTTTCTTCACTGTGACAAGAGGATTCCATAACAATTTGTAGAAGAACTGCTCTTACAGCAGGCAATTACTTCAGATCCACTTGTTAACTTAATAGCCGTTTGGTTCACTCATCTGGGGAGCTGATATTTAATGATTACTTGTGTTTATCCTTAGATTCTGGGTCATCTGAAGTGTGTTTTGAGAGCATTTGTTTGAAATGCTAAGGCTGGAAATGTGGGAATTATGTTTGTGACCTTACTTGCATCTTGTATCAGTTACTGGGCAAAATCAATGAAATTTTTCCCAGTAGAAATGCTTTAATGCATTAACTGTCTGGTGACACTTTGCACATACAGCTTTTCATGTATGGAATAATTTTGCTTGAAATACTTTGCTTGTCATATAGTAAATAGTCTCTATTAGAGTGTTCTTGCACACAAGTTCTAGTGAGGTAGCTAATTCAGTTTAATGCTATATAGTAGTTGGCTGTCTTTGATCCCTGTCAGCTGGTCTGTGTGCAGCTTCGGAGTTTCTTGTTGGTTTGTATGCTCTCTGGCTGGATCACCGGTGATGTGTTCGCACGTTACTTATTATCTACTTTTGTCCTCAACACGTATAGCAAAAAATAAGGGATTTAAAAGACCAGAGAAAAACTAGTTTGTCATTTTTGTAACTGCAGCAAACTTAAGTGTTTTATTTTAGGAACATGGGAGCAAAGTTAACATCTATGCAATGGCTTCTTTCATCAAGTGTTAGAATATTGTATTTTAGGTTTTTATTGGCTCTCATCCTAACATCTGTTGTGTTACGACCTTTTGCTTCATTATACAAAAGTCATATTTCAACAGTGTAAGTGCATTCCAGTCACTTAGTTTCGCAAGTAAATTAGTATAAAGGCAGGTACATGTGTATTAATAAAATCAGCTTTTAAAAACCCCTGGCATTTTTAGTAAGGATTTTAGGATGTTATGTGGTATTTAGATGGGTTTGGAATAGACGGAACGGAAGGACTGAATAGCATGGAAATTAGAATGATTCCCAATTTAAAGGAAAAAATAGTAAATGTTTATTTTTAATATAATTTTATATTTGGATAGAGTTGGCCGTAGTTCTGTTTTGCTGAGGGCGATCCATGCCTTAAGAAGAAATGTATATCTAGGATGTCTTTTGCAGGTTTCACTTATTCCACTTCTGTTGAAAATGTTGATGGTGAAAAAATGTGGAGGTGGCTTTTACTTTGTAGCTATGTGATGTTTCTCTTAAATGACCAGAACATGCAAAGATCTCAGTTGCTGCAGCTGGAAATGAGAGAATTTAAAACTTTTCTTTCTTTTTTTTTTTGTCCCCTCTAGATTTTCAACTGAATTCTCACCTATCAACACTGGCAAATATTCACAAGATTTACCACACCCTCAATAGGCTGGTAATGACTTGCCATTTTCTCTTAGCAGAATAGCTGAGGCTTTAGTCCAGAATGTTTTGTGATTGAAATCATTAAGTGATTACACTTTCAAAGGTTATGACTGTATTTTTGCATGAGAGGCTGTAGGTTTTGAACATGTTAAGAAATAAATAGTACTAGGAAAGCGTGGAAGATTGTACGCTGGGGATCAGAGTGGAGTTTGAGCACTGTTCACTGCAGCATTGAATTTAAATGGTATCTTCACAGAAGAAGTTTTCCTAGATATCTCAAATAATAGTAATCATCATCATTATCCAGCTTCTCATAGTTGTTTGGAAAACCTCCTGAATGGACAAGCTGTCCTCTTACAGCCATGCAAAGAGTGAAACAGAGTGGTTTGTTTTGTTGTTTTTTTTTGAAGACTGTCCCTGCTTGTCTGCTATGCATTTACATTTGTTTTATGGTGGCCATAGCTGGAAATGTTGATACGGCTTTTGTGTGCCTACTGCAAATTTAATGGGAAAGATTTCAGTTGGGTTTTAATCAGTTTTCTTTAGAACAAGTGTGTTTATCTAAAACCATTTCTGTTGTAAACTCAACCTTCCTAATACTGCATTTATTAGTGGAACTGTTCAATACAACAGTGCAAAATTCCTCATCCTATGGATAGTTATTTCCACTTTTGAAACATAGTTTGATATGGTTTTGATTAAATAATTTAAATATTTTTGAGGTTTTTTATTTTTTTTATTTAAGATTATGCTTGAACTTTTTAGACAAATGTTCAAGGGTAACTTCTTGGATTAATATGAACTGGAAACACAAAGGCTCTGCAGTTTTAGCTAGAGGATCCTTAAGTAATTAAGATGAATAATATCAAATAAAGATTAAAAACATGGCTGCACAATGAAGATCACCATCCTGTTAAATTGTCATTCCCACTTTCTTGCAGAATCTGACAGAGGACGTCAGTCAAGACGATCATCAGACAGGTATTTAATAGGGATACAGTAGAAGTAGATTGAAACAATTTAAGCACACTTCATCAAAAAAGTCTCTAACATTGTTGAACATTATATTTTTAGAAAGCTAAAGGAGTTTTAGAACAGAAGTGCCAGAATATTTTAAAATCTTCAAAACAGATGTTTGTGCTTTTAATTTATCCAGTTGTGAAGGACTCACACGGGCTTCAGCAGTATCTGTCATTTTACTATTTCTTAGTGTAAATACTTTAGAAGATGGAAAAATTTCTCACTCCTTGGACTCAACCCATTAGACTGGCTAGCAGAATATCCATATTCTTACAGTGCTTTGACTCTCTTGAAAGAGCATCATTGAGAACAGAGCAGAAGCAAGACTTGTGGCTTTTGTGATGCCTGTGACCGAGTTTAAATGCTGTGCTCCAAACAGTCCAGCTTTTTTCTTGAGTGGTTTTAATACAGGTTGTTCCTGTTTCTTGTGCAGATTTTCAGTTGGTGTCTAAGGACTATTTATTAGGCCAAATCTGTTTTCTGTTCCATAAAATGTCACTCTTTTGGAAGGCCTTCATCTCGGGTGCTTTGTAATAGCTTGCTGCCATTCTTGATTCATCAGCATTTGTGCTTTGTGGCTTGGTATCTTGCAACTTTTGTTACCTCCTTTGCACTTGTAATTTGTGAGCTGGCATCTTCCTTGATTTCTTTTTCTTCCTTCCTTTCTGTGTTTCAGGCATGATACCTAAGGAGGAAGGAAAATAACTTACTGGCTTCAAGCCTTGATCACTCAGCAGCATTGTTCTTTAAAACTGACCATATCTGTCCTACCATCTGTCTCAAAGTTTTTATCTGTCCTGAGGTGCTGGCTATGTTTGCTGATGTTACCTTGAGCACTTAAAAAAGTGAAGAGAGCTGTCAGCTTCTCCTCGCGATTTCTGGGACACACTTATAAATCTAGCACACGCTTAGCCTGGAGCAATGAGAATTGATGCATAGGACTGCATTGTTTGGGATCAGATAGAGCTCACTTGGGGCTTATGTACCCTCTTCCATACAGTGACAGGTGACTTTGTTTCATAGTTGAACTGTCTTACCCCAGCCAGAAAAGGCTTCTGTCAGATATTTCCTTCAGTTTGATTAGTGATTTGATACTTGGAAATTAGCTGATCATGTATATGAAAAACCTTTGCAGAAAAAGTTGAGGCAGGTAGATCAAAGAGATTTTATTGTCTGCATGTTAGAACTAATGTCCTCTCCCATCTCCCGATTGAGACTTGGAATTTTCCGCTTTGTGATCCAATTGCTCAAACTAAACACAGATACATACTGATTCCATGTTTGAAAATACATTCTTTGCTTTCTTTTGATTAGAAAAAGCAGTTGTGAAGCGTTGACGTAGTGCCCTTCTTGTCACCAATCAGTAAGAGTAGGTATGCTTAAGATAATTAGAATTTATCTTATTTCTTGCCTAGCACTTTGTTCATAAAGGTCAGTGTAAGAAACTGTCCTTAGAGGTCTGATTACCTCTGTTGGAGAGTTTTGAACATGTTACTGCTCTTAATGAATTGCTTTATACTGACACTTGTTGCTTTGATTGCTTTGATTCTGTTCCTTGAATTAAGCTGTTTCAAAAACCTTAAACATGCCCATTGAATGAGTGGGCACAAAATCCTAGTAAACTTTTACAATAGTCATAAAAGAACCTTTCAAACCAGGAACAAGTATGAAATGAGGACCAAAAGCAGAGGTTGATAGTGGCAGGCTGCCAGTATCAGATCTCTTTGCGGTGTTTCTTATGCTTCTGTTCTACTGTATATCTCCTGGTAGAGAAAGATGAAGCACCAGTGTTTGCATAACTCCCAGGTGAATTTGGTCAAAATCTGTTACTGGTTTTCCTCATGAGGACAAATACACAGGCAAGGAGATACTTTTGGCTGTTGTGAATATAGCACAATGAAGTCTCCTATGCCCGTTTTTTATGAGACTTGACACTTCTGAAACATCTTATTGGACAGCCTTATGTAAATTGTTTGATTGTGGTGTGCCTAAATTTTTGGAACTTCTGTTTTCCAGTATTAGTGACTGCATAGTAAGAAGTGTTCTATTAATAGTGACCTATTAATTTTGTTACTCAGTTTATAGAACTGCATAGATGCTGTGAATTTGAGCTTCCCTGTCCATAGCTCATTTGAAAGTTATGTTAATAACTGTAGCAAAAGATTCTTTGCATGTTGCCAAACTCATCTCAAAATGTTTGTTTGGGTTTTTTTTAGTTTTGAGAATTCTTTTTACACTCTGAATCATCTGGAGCAAGCCTTATCCTTCCAGATAACTGTTTGTTTTCTGACATAATTATCCTGGCTAACGTTATTACACTATGGGCCCCACTTTTATGATGACTTAATAAATGCATGTCTAAATTTAGTTGAGATTTCTAAAAGCTATTTAAAAAACCCGAAGTATTTCAATTTTATGTTAATATTTATAATGAACTTTTAATGCATATTGCATGTATTTCAAAGCACTTGCTTCTGAGCTAACTATATATACTGGACATCTAAATGACTTTAAGCAAATTATATCTGTATTTGACAAATTTCTTTTCTGGAACCAGATCTTAACAAAGAGCTAGAGGGTAGCAGCTGTAAAATTCCTTCTGTGATTTGGGAGCGAAGATGGATCTCGCTTCGAAATTCCAGTCACCTGTAATGATTGCAGTTTCAGAAAATGTGGGGTTTTTACCTTTTATTCAGCGCATTCAGGGCCATATATATGCCTGAAAAATAAAGTAGGCTGGAATGTTGTGGGCCTTACCCTTTTCAGCTGTTTGTAAGGGTAAGAAAAGCAGACATTTGGATTCTGCAGTCAGTACCTTTTTCCTAGTATGTATATACATTAACTTGGAAAACTCTCTAGAGTTGGAAATAAATTTGTTTTCTTGTCATAACTACAAATCTAGTAACTTATAATAGCTTAAATTGTGACTGACCTATCCAGACTAAAATGTCTTTAAAAGTGAAAGTACAATTCCTGTTGTCACCTGGTTTATTTAAAGAAGTAACGTCTTCATTGCTGTTCTTGAAGCTTGTAGGGGAAAAAAAATTACCTTTGCCTTTACTATTTTTTCTGTTCTAGAGAAAAAAGTCCTCTCCAGTTAAATGCAATTCTGTAGTGTGGAATACAAGATAAAGTGATTTTTCCTTTTACAACAAGATTGCAAGATTGTTTGATGTTTTGATGGGTATCCTAGTTTTCTCATCTTGTATCTGAAAAATACTGATTGTTAACTTGTGCTTGCTGTGGTCTTGTTGCATCATTAAATGAGCAGCTTTACCCTTCCTATTGCTTCAGCACTCACAGTTTCTAATTATTTTTTGTTTGAAACATCACTCTGCTTAAGCTTCAGAAGAGTAGGAATATTCACAGGCATTATCTAGGGAGAAGGTGGAAATTTTATGTCTGTAAATCACTTCTGCAGGGACCTCCTTGTAGAATTCTTATTATTGACCTCTGTTTTTTCTTTTTTTATTTGTTCTGGTTTTGTTGCTATTCTAGGAGTGTCCCTCTCTTGTGATTATCTTGCATATTGTTTTAGATCTCTTAGGGTGAATTTTAGCTCTTAAGTTGATCTTTCCATGGGTAGCTTTGTCTTCTGCAAATTTGGAAGTACTGAGTAGAAGTTTACACTCCGCAGGCTTTTGGCTGATGTTGGCCTATTTGGGAGCCATTAGGAGGCTCTGTCTTGCAAATGTTCACTTCAAGTGTCAAAACCACAGTGAGAACTAGAAGGGTTCTGCCAGTCTTGAGTTGAGACCCAGGAGTAAGAAACTTTGAAGATAATCACATCAGAGAAGCAGCCCTCGGTAAGTAAAGTTCCTGACAAACTTTGCATGAAGCCAGAGGGAACTGCATGAATGTTTGCAGATGATCAGACCTTTGAGAAGTGGAATTAATAGTGAAGGGCTAGATTGAGAAATTACATGTAGAATTAGAAAGCTCTGTGTAGGAAAGATTAATATTGGTGGTACTTAGTGACCTATGCTGTAAAATAAGAAATTACAATCCTTCGACCAAAAAGACCCAAACTCTCTGAGAGTTTTTAGCTTTAGATGGAAATGAAAGATTAAAAAGAAAACCAAACCAACAATATTTTCAGAGTTTGTTGCAGGGAAATTATAACTGCCCTTCAAATTCAGGGTACTGATTCTAGTAACAAAAGGAAATACTTTGGAAGTAACAGTGTTGTACTGTTGGGTTTGTTTTTTTTTTAGTACTTTAGAGGTCATTCAGCATTTAGAACATAGTGGACTTGGTCGAAGCCTCAGTTATTAAAATATTAAATCTCTAAAAGCGTGTACAGTATGTTTGTCCACCTGGTGTCTGTGTGTGTGTCTGTGTGTGTGACGGGATGTCCATGTGCATTTAATAGTCACTTACCAGTTTCTGAGCTATCTCTTTTCTTCCTTTTTCTGTCAGTTTGAGAGCTGCAACTAGACACATTCAAACCAAGAAAGGGTACAAGTTTTTTGTATGAGTCATTGGAGAAATTGGGTTATAGTGAATTCTGTTACCAGTATAAGCCTTTAAAACCGCTTAAGCCATCTTCCTAAAAATGTCCTGTCATTTAATGAGGAAAATACTTCAAGCAGGAATCTTAGGATTAAATTCTTTGGTTTGTATGGGGTTGCAGATCTGTCAAAATAATTTTCATGTTCAATAACAATTTTATTTTTACTTTTATTTATTTCATTTTCATATTTCGCTGTGCTTGTCTTTTCACAGAGGCCTTGCATATTTCTTTTCACAACCAAATAACTAGTAAACTGGACAAACCTGGGATGGGTTGGTGGTTTTTCTTGCATTTTACCAGCATCCAATGCCTATGATTCTCTTTTTAAGGAAGGGCATTTAAAACCATTCAAATTGCTCTTGAAGGAAGGAGATAGCTACAGGTTGTACTCAAGTACATATGTATTTTCCAAAACAAGGTGTTCATTAGCACACGTTTTCATTTATTAAGTGTAGTGTGTGTCTGAGTCTGGCTGTCTCTGAGCCATCTGTTCTGCTGTCATAGTAAGTGTTTTTAGTTTGTGTAGGTTTTCAAAAAATACTGGCAGTCGTTGAAAATTGATCTAAAAAGCCATAGAGCATTGCACTTTCGATAACTTCTGGGAATACCATTTTGCAGTATCATTAATTTGCAGGCATAATCAGGTGGAACAAATGACATTCAGCAGGTCAGGTTCCTTAGTTTGTTTAATCTGGGTAGTAAAATGCATCTGGTGTATTGTGAGTTCTTGATGGTCTCTGGCTTACATGTTTCAAATGTATCAAACATTGGTGAGGAGGAGAAGATAAATATTGTTATAGCTAATTTCCTTTTGTAATGTATTCCAGAAGTATATTCTCCTGACACAGCCATTATGATTTTTTCATGTGATAGTAGTTTATGGGGTATAGTGCTTGAAAGTTTTTTGATAACTGGTTAAATAATTTGATTTTACGATACTCTTAAAACTTTTTTCCTAGAAGTCAGTGTAGATATTGCCATACTTCCCTGGAGGATGCGGAGCTTCAGCATAAAAAGAAAAAGGAATACATAGGAAGAATTAATTGGAAAGAGTATTTCTTGAACTAGAGAGATTAATTTAATTCTTAATAGAAATTAATATAAAGGTAAGACCAAAGAAGGCATACTAAGTGCAAAAGCTTTATTAATTGAAACCAAATTAGTTCATCTTGATGTAAAAACTTGTTTGAACATCTTGGCTAATACTAGAAAAATCCTTAGTTTCATATGTATAATAGTTTCAGTGCATGTTTAAAATAAAGTACATGTAGCAAAGCCTGTGAGGCTGTAAGGTTCCTTACATGTGTTTCTCCTATAACAGGAGAGAGGCTTTCAAAGATACGAAGAATAGGTAAGCAAAAGATTGCTGTTAGTATTTGTTGGGAATTGGGCCTCTAATTTCAGTCTGCTCCCGTGGTGTCAAAAACTAGTCAAGGTTTTATTGCTTGCTTTTGTGCTGTGACTTAAAGATTTTGTGGGCATCTTAATAAAGCATAGCTAAACTTGGATTCTGTTGAAGCTAAGAGAAGGCAGCTTAGGCATGCTGAAGTTCTTCATATTTTCTTGCAAGTTTTTTTTGGCATTGCTTTGTGTCTGGATTTTTATACCTCACCTCTTTCTTCCTTTCCTTTTAAAATTCTCTGTGTAACACTTAGAGCTATGATAGCTCTGTGAGCTGCTCTTTCACACACCTTTCTCAGATGTCCATGTGGTCTTCAGTATACGAAAGTAGGACAAAATTTTGCCTGGAGTATTATCTTACTATTTTCATGAGACAGCAAAAGCAATTTAATGACTTGCTGTGGTCAGAAGGGCTGGTCCTTTGCTCTTTCTTGTGCTAATGTACAGAAGGTTGTTATTTTTTGCTTGGGTTAATTATCTACAGGTTTGGTGAGCTCGATGGGCACACTGAAGAGTCACATAGGAGTATGTAGCTGAGAGAAGGGGAGGGAAAGACTGCTACTTGATTGGCATCAGTGTCTTGAATTGGCTGTTTCCTACCTGGGGACCTTCACTGTTTTGAAAATTATCCAGACCAAATGATACAGACAGACACTTATTTTTTCCCACTGTCATTGCTGAATGTCTTTTCCCCTGTCCCATTCCATCCCCCTCCTCCCCCAAGAAAACAAAGGCAAAAACAAAGAACAAACAAAACCTTTCCTACCCCTTACTCTCTGTGTCATAAAAAACCTTGGGGAAAAGATTCTGTTTTCTCGAGGTAGGTGCTCTAGGCTTTGAGTCACATCTATATTGCAAAAAGTAATGAACAACATCTAGAAGTTCTGATTTGAATAAATGACTAAAAATAAGGGTGCCTTTTTGAGGACTTAAATACTTCCTCAGGATAGTCTCAATTCTTGCCTTTCGTTAGACTCAAGTAGCACTGGTACTACTGTACATTTTGGTACAGTGCTTTTGGCCATAACTGAAATTTGGTCATAAAACATTATGTAAAAAGTGAGATGGATTTTGCTATTGAAAGGAGACCATTTCTTTTGTAATTTTTAAATACACTAACTTCCTCCCTTCCATTCCCTTTGTAATATGCCTATTAGTGGACACAGTTTAACTGGTCTGCAGCAGTTTCATTTCTTGTACTGGTGTTTTTAATTCCCTCTGTAGGAAGTCTCCGGTCTTGCAGTTCATCAGACTGCTTTAGTAAAGTGATGCCTCCAAGGAAAAAGAGGAGACCTGCAGCAGGAGATGATTTATCTGCTAAGAAAAGTAGACATGATGGGTATGTCATCTTACCATGAGCTAAGACTGATGGAATATCTAAAGTTGAATAGCTGATATGATCATGTTTTTAAATACTAATGGAAATGTTATTCAAATTTGCTTGGTTTCTCAGTATGGAACCATAGCCTGTGATTGCACTGTGGGATATCAAGAAGCACATCAAGGTTCAGCTTGCATCTCACCTTTTTCTAGTTGTACGAGAAGCTCACAGGGAGCTCCTTGTTCTAGTTTTCCAGACGTTGAAGTAGAGATACTTGCTTGTTCAAAAACAACTTTGAAGAGATACAGTAATATCTCATGTATACATGTATAAAATCTGGATTGGGCATTCTCAAATCTACAGCCTGTTGGAAAAAATGTAGTTGTAGTCCTCTCAGTTCTTAACCTGAAGTCCTGCTAGTCTCTCCCTGTCATGTTGTCATTAGATGCTTATTGTGTAAGGGAAAGGTGAAGATTGCCCAGGCAAGGTGGTAGCCAGTTGGAGTGGTGACTAAGGCAGTGCTGCTCAGCTTTCCCCTGGGCAGCAGGGGCGCAAGTGGGTTGTAACTATGTGCGCAAGCAGTGTATTCTTTTGTGTAGGAGTTGCACAACTGACAGTTCTCGAAGTGTTGGATTTTCAGTATGTCTGTGTTCAGTCAGCCTCAGTCATTCGAAATGGAGCACATCGAATGTGCTTTTTGTGTGCAACGTAGTTACTGTTTACGTGCACTGAATTCAGAACTTAGAGGAGAACAGGACTTTGCACTCCTGCATGAGAGGTGCAGGACTGTCATGATGTCGAAAAGTGAGGTATACAGCCAGGAAGTTTGTTTGCCACTGTGCCTTGTCCGTAGAATTTGAGCTCTATTACATTCATGTATTACTGGTGACTCGGAATACACATGCTTCCATAACAAGTAACTCAGGAAGGTAGAAAGATGCAGTTTTCTCCTAACTATGTGCCTGAAATCAGGCTGGGTACTTTACTTTTTATTCTCTAGCATGAGTAAGAAAAATGCTACTAGCCAAATTAAGCTTCTGGTTATGCCTCTATAACTCCATTGTGTTTAATAAGGTTGCACAACTGTAGCTGCAGTGGAATTTATTAAATGATCTGTTGATAGAGAAGAAGAGATTTCAACTCCCCCTTTCATTGCTCTGTGTATGTAACGCTAACAAGAACAAGGCAGCAGCACAACTTCTAAATATATTTTGTTTTTCAGAAATAATAATATACAAAAGCTAAATAGTTGATAGAGAACATTACAGCTTATTCAAATATATGCGTGCAATATGGAAGTGAAACAAGGAGAGAATGTTTCTAGAATCTTAAGTAGAGAGGCTCACAAAATTTAACTCTATCTCCCTTTGCCAAGACACTGGTAAAACAAAACAGCCCAAAAGCCCTAGGAGAGTAAGGTTGCCTGTAAGACATACTGATTTGTGTAATTCAAATAAAAAAATGATAAACTGATTTCTTACTCTATCAGTAGTATATATAAAAATATTTTTAAGAGCTTTTTGAAAGCATAATTTGAAGGATTTATATGTATGTATATATATATATATATATATGTTTTTTAGCTTGTAAGTAATGGCTATAGTCTTCATTTTACTGCCAGTTAAGGCTTTATTAAAAGGAAGACCTCAGCCTGCTTTTACAAGTGGAGGTGAAACCAGATCTGCCTGTCATGGGCCGCAGGGGGAATATCCTTGTCTGATGTGGTTCCAATTTTTATCTGTCTTCCTTCTTAACTTATAAAGGCTTGCAGGCTTTCTCTGCTTCCCAGTGTATAAGTTTCTTTTCTTTTGGTCTTCAAGAAAACTGTTTTTATTTCAACATGATTGGCAGTATGAAGTCATTGAACATTCAGCTCAGTTTTGGATCTCTCATTTTCTTTCAAGGAAGGAAGGGTTTCTCCAGATTTGACTTATGCTACTGTAACCTTCTGTGAACAAGTTAGACAAAGAGCAAGCTGTCTCCTACTGCCATGCATGTTTGTCAGGCAGAGCTTATGCCTGTCACGTTTGGTCTTTGGAGGTCAAACATCTCAGTTTGTGAAGCAGAAATATATCTGAAATCAGGAATCCACAGCAGTGTGCTGTAGCAGACCTAGTTATTTGCAAAGCCGTTCCCTCTTATGCTGTATGTAAAGGGTGATGTGTATAATAAACCAAGTATGGTTAGTGCAATGCCAGTTTATGGAATAAAGGGCTTCTAGGCCCAGTTCTTCACTATTGCATCTGTTTTAGAGGCAGAATCCTAGAAGCTAGTAGCTATTAACTCAGGATAAGCATTTAAGGGACATTAGCCTGTGGATTCTATATTAAGCAAGAAAGGTAGTCAGAGTTCTGTTCTGGAATGTCTACTTCCAGTGAAAAAATACATGTTCTCTCCAGCAGAGATTGTATTTCCTAACCGATAATTTGTCACTTCAAATGCTTATGCAATGATGTAAGTTTTGTATGTTTCTCAGTTATAATGGCAAACTTACCAGAGCAACATTAACAAATTCAGTAATTGCAAGTCTCCTGTTTATTTTCAGAGGGGAAGTGTTAGGTAATAGTTTGAAGATTATCAAAGGACTGTTATCATTAGCAGTGTTATCGCAGCTGTGACCAGATGTTGATAATTCCTCCTGGTTTGTCTATACAAAGGAAATTAATTTGTTTTTTAAATCCTTTCTTGGGTAGTTTTGTTGTGTGGTATCTTGAGTCTTCACTACTTGGGGTGTGTTCTTCAACAGGAATATTTTGAGAGATGTATTCTTTCCAGAAAGTTTATTTCAGCAGGCCTCTGTGCTGAAGGAGAGGGTGATTTCTAAAGGCTCTTAAGCTCATAAACACTTCTGATACCAGGGAGCTTATAATAGCTTTTACCCTCGGTTCTAGGCTGTTAGGGTTACAGCCTTATCTTGGAAGGATTAGTGGAATAATGACACTGGCTTTCGAGGGATAACACTTATAGGAATAAATCTAGTTGTTAGTGAAGTTATTTGGAAATGCTGATCTCATGCATAGACTGATTAGGGAAAACAAAGATTCCAAACGTGTTCTTTAGCATCCCACTCTTACATAATGAGAGCTTGAATTCGCTTAATTAATGTTCATAAAGTCAGCTTGAACCGTGAATGCAGTGTTTCAGTGGGAGGAAGCTTTTATACCAGATGATGTATAGTGAAAAGAACCTGGTGTATTCATTTTTTGATCACAGTAAGATTTATTCTACCTTAAAGAATAGCTATTGGAGGTAAATAGTTTAGCACACATTAACCAGAACATAATGACTTGAAGACTTTGTTTGTATTTTCCTCCCAGTATCACAGTCTTGACTTTACTCCACTTAAAATATGGTATAGGGTATTCTCAAATTTGAGTTAAGTATACATTTTCTGATTATTCACTCTGTTAATGTCTTAGGAGAAGTAAAGCAAGTTTCATGTAATGATACTTGCTCAGTAAGAATATAGTCCCCACTGTGTAATTATCTAATGTTGTTTATCTATAGCCAAGTACTGGCTTTTTCCATAGGGAAGGCTGAGCTGCATAATATACGTCTTCTTTCTGATAGTCTCATTTAAAAAATAGTTCTACTCCTTATTCCAGAATCATGCTGAGGGCAGAAATCTTACAGTAATGGGTATCTGGACCTTAGAAGAATGAAAACTAGGAATATTTGTCTGCTTCCCTAAAAGATATGTTTTCAGACAATTAGATCTAGAGCCTAATTTATCAGAGATGTGTGTATGGACCACATAATGTCTACTAATGTGAAAAATATATTTTCTTTATTGAGTAATAAGCTCTATAACGTGTAGTAGAAAAACGTAAGTTTTCAAAACACAGTGAACACACTTATTAGCATAAGGAAGTAAAATGAGAGTGTGCTAACCTTGGAAGTTTTCAAAACCTTCAGTGATGAGAGGTTTTTTAGTTCTGTTGTTGTTAACTAACTGGTTTGGTCCTGCCTTGTGCAGTCATGTACACCTTTGTAGTGAACTTCACTTAATAGTTTGGAAGAAACTTAAACTGGACATGTGACTTAGCATGTATACTTAGCTGTTATACATAAAGCTCCTTAACTAAGCCTGATGAAGTTCAAAACATTATTTTTAAACTTTAGAGATTATTGCAAGTCTTAAAATAGGGAGAAATAAGACGTATTCATTCATAAAACTTACCAGTCAAGTAAATTTGTGCTGAGGGTTGCTTTAAGCAGTCTTTGTCATGCCTTGCAAGTTGTAAAATATCTCTTCCTCATTCCCCTTGTTTCTACTACAGTATTTATGAAACTATTGCTAAAATCATAATTGTGAATAAACAGGTAAGGATTTATAATAATATTTTTGTTGTGCTGCACTGATGAAAATTCTCAGCCAAAATTTTAAGTTAATTAATTAGAATTAATTAAAGTGGTAGGAGGCATTCTCTTCAATCAACAGTTTGCATCTTTCAAAATATAAATAATCTGAAAGCAATTAGTTACTCAGTTTGAAGCTTGGATGAAATGAGGTAAAGCTTTTGAGTAAGTTCTGGTTCAATAGAAACAAAGCTACTGTTGGTAAACTTCTTCGATATTTTCATTCAGTAAACACTGACCATGTGACACAAGCAGGTTGCAAATCTTGATGAGGGCTTATCTTTTGACCTACCATTATGAACTGTTACCTTTTTGTTTAGTTTTTTTTTTTTTTCTTTTCCCTCTCAAGTGAGCAATTACCAGCTTCCACATCAAGAGAATGTTTTGTGTGACCTAAACTCAGTGCTTTCACAGATCTCACTTTGAGTATTCTGGAGTCACACAGCCCAGAGTTGCTACTGTGGTAGGTGGAGCTTTAATGTCAGTACAGTTGAAGCATGCTCAGAGCAGGAGTAGAAAATGAAACTTGTGAAGACCTCATTAGACTGAAGAGAATTACCATGACCTTGTTCTTTTGCTGGCAGTGACCATGTATGGTGACTTGCCTGGTAAACTCTTAATAGCTGGATGGAATTTTCATGCTTTTGCTTTCCCACCAAATCAGTTACAGATGGAGGAAAATAATGGGGAAAAGATATGGATGATAAAAGGCCTAGACAGTTAGGTTTTTTTAATAGTTTGGTTACATCTACTGACACCACTTCCAGTTATAAATTGCATTGTCTCATCTTTATTGCATGGACATCAGTTCCCTAGCTCATAAGAATATTTCAAAGACAAGCTTAAAAATGGATGTTAAGAGTCAGCTCTTACATCATGTTGGAGATGCAGGCATTTCTGAGACAATAACTTCATTAAGTAGTCAACACCACTTTTATAAAACTTGGGCTGGTTAATTTCACATTGCTTTTTCCCAGCCCTGTCCCACATTCTTTCCTCTCTAGCAGGTAAAATAGAGAAAAAGCTAAATGCTCCTTAAGGGAATATTGGTTATAATATACAACAATATTTTGTTAAGTCTGCAGTCACTGTTGTGATACTGACAGTGTCATACAAAACTAATAAAACCTATTATTTTGCAAGTGAATATTTATCTGAGTAATTTGACCTCCATGTGTGTCTCATCTGAGACAAATAATATACTCTTTGCCCATAGGTAGATTTTTGTTTCCTTTTTTTTTCCTGAGGGAGTAATGTGTCAGGGTTCAGAAATGGAAGGGTTTTTCTAAACTGAAGTCCCGGAGTTCACTGTTGTACAATAGTGGTAGCAGTAGTGGACACTCTGGGAGAAAGTTCTGCATCCACTTTTCTGGCTCTGATGATGGAGACAGCACCCTTTAGCAAACCTGTTGTAGTGTCAGCATTCTCTGGCAGTAGTACAAATTCTCGTACCAAAAGTACCAGGCATACTTGTTGGCCCTTCTTTTATGGAAGGTGTCTGTGGGGTTTTTACTCCTTCTATTCCTTGCCACTTCTTTTCTTACCCCCTTTCCTCTAGACGTGGAACAGGATATTCTTTCATTTCTGCTGTTTGGCTGAAACTCTCCAGGTTCCTCTTACAGACCATCAATGGATAAGCAAATAAACTGTAACATGATCAGCATAATGATTGTGCATCTGTTTGAGGGTACTGGGGCTGTTCATCTTGAGGAAGCTGTGAACCGTTGAGGACTTGCAGTTTGAAACTTGGATCTGCTCGGTAGATGTTTGGTGCTCCCAAAATACTCAGATACCTACCGTGTGCGCTCTGGCAGTTTGTGTAGCAAGAGACACTGTCCTTAGCACAAAGACAAGGCACATAATCTTGCACTATGTACAGGATGTTCCAAAGATAAGAGAAATACTCAAGGATATAAAATGAATGCCAGATGTCTCTGGCAGTTTGTGGTTTTCTCCTCTGTATACACTGATCTTGAGACAATCACATCTGTGTTAATGATAGTTCAGAGGACACAGTCTTCGGAATTACCTTTACCCTGTGCTGGCAGTTTGGGTTTGCTGTGATAATTGGACCAAGGTGTCCTAGGCTGTAATGTCAGATACTTGTCTACTCCTTTCTCATCTCGCTTCACCAAGCACTTCAGGGCAGGAGTCTCTTGATAATAGAACTAGCTGGTTTGGCTAGACTGGGAAAGAGAAACTCATTAGGCATTTGGAATCAGCAGGGAGAGGACAGGTTTCATCTTTTGTATGTGAGAGATTACTAATAGTGGGTCTGCATTGCTGTTGCTCATTTCTGTTATATTCCTTTTAAAATGATCCTTGTCTTGCAGACTGTGGGGTCTGCTTTTAGTTTCTTTATGTTGAGCAAAAGGCATTCGAGATTCATCCAGCCATTTTTGTTGCATGGTTTTATGCTTCTGGCTGTGCACAATGCACGATATGGTGTCATCTGCACTTCTGTTTGGCTAATTAGCTCGTAGCAGAGACTAGGATAGCTCAAAATTACATTTTGTCTGATTCTATTTTTTGAATTTGTGAAGTAATTTCTCTGTTGGCACAGGTTGGAAGTTCTGTGATCAGTTCTGCTTTCTCAAAATCAAACTCTGTTGGTCAGTTACTGAGTTTTTTTTGAACAATGATAAGTTTGAGGCCAGAGTGTTTTGCTTGGAGTTATTTGGCTGTATGTTAGTCACACAGACTTCCTAACGAACATTGTTTCCTGCAGTTCCGAAACAATGACCTTATCCTTAAGCACAATATTAGTCCTATGTAAACTCACTATGTGTAGATGCAGTGAATATATAACACGGGCGTTAATTTTTTTTTCTGTTGTCATTCACCATTCTTCTTGTGCGTGCCCCTGTCATTGGTGTCTTGGTTCAGGCTACAGTGTTTAGCTCTGGTGTATGTAGATGCAGGAATCCTTTTCCTGATGTACCTGGGTGACCTAGAGCTCTGTTAGTAAATTTTTCTTGAAGGTTCCTTCCCAAACGCACTGTTCACATACTGACAGTGAGCGTGCTGATGGGTTCCATGAACAAGCAGGGCAAGGCACTTGATTATCATCCCTTTGTAAGAACAAAGAGAGTCTTGTGATGAATGTCTGTCTTTGGGAGCCACATTGGCTTTGCGTGTCCTAGGTCCCAGCAGTGCTCTTAGAGAGTTCTTGAATAAATAGAATAGAATGAAGATGTTGGCTAGCTCCTGCTGTCAACTTCCAGTTTGGTTGTGTTTGTCACGTTTGTTTGCTACAAAAAAAAAGGGGATACTGAATAATCAGACTTTTGCCAAAGTGGCAGAATGCTTCCTTTCTTTGTCTCAAGACATTTTTCTTTATTTCTCTGAATTCAAATTAGCCTAAAAAATATTGGGTAGGTCTTTCAAAATCACAGGTCATTCTGCAAGTATGAGAATGTCAAGTTATCAGATCTGGAACAAAATAAATTGTTCCAACTCTTGACTTCTACCTTCTGGCTTCGTTTACTTACTGGGCAGTTATGTCAGCCTGTTCGTTTGCAACTGCAATAAAGCTTGCACAAAGTAGGTAATTCAAAGAGAAAAAAAATTTTAAGCTGTTTTAAAAAATGAAAAAAAAAAAAAAAAAAGAAAGAAACAAACCCTAACCCGTCCAAAAAACCCCAACAAAACAAAAAGAACCAATCCAAAACAAAAATCAAACATACAAATGGTGGTTATGTTTGGGACACGTGTGACCGGCATTTTTCTGCAGTGTTGCAGTTAGTTGCAGATCAGTGTGTGTTTCAGAACAGTGTTAATTTTTCTTTCCATCTTGAAATGTCTGAAGATGTCTTTCAATTAGCAATTTATCATTTTGCTCTGACCAGGATTACTTTTCTGATAGTTGGTTTAAAATAGCTATGATAATAAACACAAAGCAGTTCTTCGAGTTACTGTAATGATCTATATGCCATTAATGTCTGGCTACAGTTCCTCCTAGCTTATAAGTAGGTGGAGGATAGTGGGATCCAGCGTACTCTAATCTCCTAAGTATACACATCTTTTATGTGCCTTTCTAGAGGAAAATGGTGAAGAAATCAACTCCATACTCCTTGAAGAAGTTAGCTGCTGTGTTGTCCTCCCCCAGCAGGACCGTAAGAGGGAGGGCTGCATGCTTGGAACAATCACAGAGCCATTCTTGGCTACCTCCCCTAATCTAAGCCATTTGTTTCTCGGCTCTCTTCAGCCGGTATGAGCCCAGGCTACTGCAGAGTGGTGGAAATGGATCAGAGAATGCATGTGCAGCAGTGAACAGCTACTTGGACTGCTGAGTCTTTTCCCTCTAACACAAATGATAGTGTCTGCGTTTCAGAGAAGTCTAAACAGGGTGGAGTAACTCATCAGCTTCTGCTGTTCCTTTCAGGCTTTAGGTGTTGCAGATGCTGAAGTCAGGAGATTGGTACTTCAGTGTTGTTTCCTGAATGTAGTTAAAATTGTTTATGCTTCTTGTTAAAGCAGAGCATAACTTTGCCTCCTTCAGGGGAGAAGGAACACTATGAATCTAGCTTTTCAGATAACTTTTTACCCCATGATGAATGAGGTTCCTTGAGTTACTGTCAGTAAGGACCTGTAACCTGTTCTCTGTGGTTCTTTTGTGTTACTAACTTACAGGCTTTAGTATAATGTATGTGTGGGTTGTGTCTATTTTGGCCTTCATGCCTTCTAGAGGATTTTTTTTTGAGGAGGCAAGAAGAGTATGTGTAGTTCTCCTTAGTAGATAATTCAAAGTATATGAAGTATGTGTGTTCACTGTGACTTGCAATTACTGTGGGTTTAGACCCCCAGCTAAGTTGCAGCCCATCAGTTGATTGTGGTCACTACCAGTATGCACAAGTCTTTCTTGAACTTATGCAAAACAGCTTGGGTTTGAATTTGAGCTGGCCTGTATATGTTGTAAGGAAGGTTAATGTACATGGATAATGATTATGACTCAGTTGAAGTGTGACAGACTGAGCAAACATAGTATTTAGGTTCACTGGTCCTTGTTCTGTTAAGCAGTATCCCAAGTGACTGGATATGAGGACAGAATGCTGGGTAAATTGTTCATGAGTTAACGCTGCTGCTTATAGTGTCTGAATAAATATTGCTTCTAAAAAAATGATGAATTAATCACTTGTTTCTCTTTTATTTTCAAAGTATGTATAGAAAATATGATTCGTCTAGAATAAAAGCAGAGGAAGAAGTCTTTTCAAGTAAGAGGTGCTTAGAATGGTTCTATGAATATGCAGGTAAGGGTGAAATGTGAATTTCTTCTTACTAACAATTCAATCTCCATTGGAATGAAAAAGTGACGTTAACTGATCTTTTCCAAGAATGACTGTAGAGGCTTTTTTGTAAAAGTCTTAAAGAAGCTTTTCTTATGTTCTGTATAGTGTAAAGTTGAAGGGTTTCAGGGGCAGTTTTGTCTTTGTCTCCATTCTAGGAAATGAATGGAGAAGATGTGCAACTGAAAGTATTTTGGAACATATATACTTTACTATTCAAATCTATAGCTAAATATGGACCTCTTTCCAAAGTGGTGTTACCTCTGCTTCTTTAGAAGTTCTGTTATCTGCCGTGTTAGTGCTGAATAGTACAGAATTATGCTTCACAAGTGTGTCTTTTTCTTTTCTTTTTTTTTTTTTTTGTATTTTAATTAAAGGTGGGACAGGTAGAAACATTATTTTTGTTTTCCTGCTGAGTGCTGTGCATATGATTTCAAGCAAAGTAGTGTATAAATTCAAGTCTCCCATACTGGTCTTATCTTTATAAAGGTATAGGAAAGGTAGACTGAAGTATTTTTTGACCTTCTGTATGAGAAATTTCTTCAGGCATTACTTCTAGGGTTGTTAATTATGATCTGCAGTCACTAGAGATGGTCCTTTAATACTGAAGTTGGTGGTTGTATTCATTTTTTTACATGTGGTTTTCTCAAAAGGAGAACTTAAAGTATGGGAAAACATGATCTCATGATGCTAAAAACCAAAAGGAAATGAAATAGGTGATTGACAAAATAAGGTTATCTTGCAGTTTTATGACGTTGTCTTGGATACCTTTTCTGGGAGCTTGTTCCATTTTATCTGCTTCTTATGCATAATGAAGAGTGACAATTTGATGTAATAATATCTTTCTTCTAATAAAATTATATAAACTAAATCACATACTTTGGTATCTCACTTGTCTGTGGCAGTCTGTGAGAGGAGATTCAGTCAAATTCAAGCCAAACCTAACCTTTCAGATTCTCTGCCTTTCTGAGCAGCTTGATTTATTTTTTTACTCTAGCAACAGGGATAACTCATTTTTGTCAAGACTTTCATGGAAAGAAGGGATGAAAGGAAGGCTGTATATGAAAGAACTTTTGATTTTCCATTGGATGCATACACCAAGATAAAACAGAGAAAAGTGGAGAGTATGATTCTGTTTACAGTATTGAGTAACATTCTAAAAATTAATTTTCAAAGAATAATCTACTTTGTGTTCTTGCTTCATAAGTCTTCTCCTTTATATATGCAGAGAGTTGGCACTGCACTTGTTTGTTTTGAGGTTTTTTTCCCTAGTGTGTGTCTTTACATTACGAAATGAGCCTTTCTAAAAACTGTTGTTTACACTCAGAGGACTGTGAGAGGATATCATGAGAAAATGGGAAAAGATATAATTAAACCTTGTTATTTTAGAATAGTAGGTCACCTGATAATAAACCAGATCTCTTTCTTGCACATTGTGATCTTTATATTGGATAAAAGTAGGCATTTCAGCCTTTAATGTTTTGGGTTTTGTTTTCCCTGAATGAGTCCTTTTAAACATAATAAAGAACTCTAACAAAATTCTCCAGATACTTAGAATTTACTTAAAAATTAAATTGCACAATGCAGTTCTTAATGCCTATGTGATTTTTTCAAGAGTATTACAAAGATTACAAATATCTTCTTTTAACAGCATGTTTTAATAATAGTGCATTTAAACAGCATCTATATTTTTCATCTTCTTTTTCCCCCATCTAAGTTGGAAAAGAAACAGCTGTAATTCATGTCTTCTTTCCCCCTGCAGTTACTAAAATTCAGATAATGTGTGGTCATGGCATAGCGATGTGAACGAACAGGAGCACAAGACTTTTATTTTAGGCTCTTTTTTGTAGAAAATGCTATATAGGTAGTATTTGAGACAATAAGGAAGGAGATTCTGGGAATGATAATGTCTTATGTCCTGTATAGCTATGTATCATGGGTTTATGTGGTATGATCTTGCAGTAACATTAGAGTTTCAAGCCAAGAGAGGAGTTTGGCTAACCACTGTCCACCCATTTAACCATGGTACTATTAGGTGGATGTTCTGCTAGTCCTAAGTGCATTCTTAAAGGTCTTATTGATTTATTCTTGCAAGATTATCTCAGTAGATGGGTAGAATAAAGGATATTGTCAGGAAATAAAAGTAGTTTTATGTTTTTCTGTCTCTGTTTCCAAAGCTGAGATAAAGATTTAAGTGTATTCAGATCTGATAGTAAGTGTGGAAATATTTATTGTGTGTCAAAACCAAACTGTACAGAAGTTGAGGTTGTACTGTGTGATTGCAGTTCGCTTGTGCTCTAAAGGTGTAGGACTGCTTTAATTTTCAGAGATAAATAAAATGTATTGCATTTGCAGGCACTGATGATATTGTAGGGCCAGAAGGTATGGAGAAATTTTGTGAAGACATTGGAGTTGAACCAGAAAATGTAAGTTCAAAGTCCATTAAAAAGGTGCCTGATCTGTTATGATGCACATGAGAAGGTCTTGTATCTCTTATTTTCCATTAAGAATTAAAATAACACCTGGAATTGTTTTGATGGTGGGTTTTTTGGTTTTTTTTTTTGTTGTTGGTTGCTGGGGTTTTTTTGTTGGTTTTTGATGTGGTTTTTTGTTTGTTTTTGTTTTTTTTAATAAAGAAATACAAACCAGGGAGGTTTATGTGCACATTTGGAAACAAGTTTCTTTTATATGAAACCCCAAACTGTCAACCTGTAAAATCGCAATTAGTCTTTGTTGCCACCTCTTTCACTTTCCCACCATTCCAAACAGGAGATCTGGGAGGCTTTTTAAAATTAAAGTTAAAAGGCTGCTGGCTGTCTTTTCAGAAACACTGAGAAGACACAGGAGATTTAATGTAGCAGGTACAAAACTGTAAAGTAGTGTTTTATTTGGGCTTTCTTGGAGAGCAGATTTCGAAAACTGTGAGCGGTATTAGCACTCCCTTTATGACATTTTAAAAGACAAATGAGGGGTATCTATAACAACATACACGCACGTGACGCCACGCACGCTTTAGAAATGAATAGTGCCTTTTACAGGCTTTCTCCTAGTGCTTGATCTTTGCTCTTAAAGTGTATACTCAAGGCCTATCTTTTACAGGGTTCATAAGTTGTCCATCTCTAAGTAAAATGAGAATTGTGGCTTTGAGAGATTTACTGGAAATGTGGGATTACCTAGTTGTGGAGTTTATTAATATAATAACCCCTTGATATTTATGCAGACATTTGGGTATATAAGTAGGTGTTCTGATTTTGCATTAAAATCCATATAGAGCTGTATTAACAGGTAGTTAATGGCTGAGTTGCAAATTTAAATTATTTGATTATTTTCTTCTTCTAGTCTGCAGCACCGACTGGCCTGAAAGTTTTTCCCTGTATTTATCAAAAGTGGTTTCTTGGGTTCCTCAGTAAGACAGTAATCTCTATCTGAATTCTTTATGGCTTCAGTCTTCCTTGTTAGATGTGAAAAGGACTCTGGTTCCTTTTGGGCAAAACTGAAGTATTTATTTATCAGCCTCTGCTTTGTGTATGTTAATGTTAGTTAATCTAGATTTACTTAACATCTACTGGAATTAAACTGCATGTTCCAGACCTGCACAGTTAGGTAGGTTTGATGGAATAGCTGGTTTCAGGTGGGATCACAATTAGCTTTAGAATAACCGGATTTCACAGAGCTCATGGATTGCAACTAATGTTCATCTAGAGGAGAGGGCAACAAATGTCAAATGTAACATGTCACCACATTGGTACTTAACTTTTGTAACAGTTTTGGAAAACCATTTCTGTAGCTTTGGCACCTATTCATCTTCCTTGTACCACTCACTAGTTGGCTGTACATACTACCTTAAAGCAGACTGGCTACTTGTAACTTGGGTGGATGTTCACTGTGTCTTTACACTGCTAATTTTCTCCTTGGATTATGTACAGGTTTGTCATTTTCAGTTTTTTTAACTTTTAAAATAGTGCATCAAGGATCTGAACATCCCATTTAGACGCGTAAAGCATTAGTAGCCTACTAAACAGTTACTTGAATAATGTGTGGATCTTTCTGTTAATTCTTTTCAGGTAGTTATGCTTGTACTAGCATGGAAGTTGGATGCACAAAACATGGGCTACTTTACATTACAAGAATGGTTAAAAGGAATGACGTCACTACAGTAAGTGCTTTGGAAAACCCCTTACACTTGTTATAGTAAACCCAGTTCTGAGAGAAAACAGGCTTTGATATTTTGACTCATAACACTTAAACTGGACAGCTCTGCTGTGGAGTGAAAACCATACTTTTTTGGTCCCATTTATGGTGATACAGCCACCTAGAGACAACTTGAAACCTGACAGCTACACATTTAAATATAGTTGGATTAAAATGTCTGCAGTCTCAAGAAAACAGAAATGTCATGAGGTTCAACACTGGTTTTGTCCCCAAAGACGTCTGTCTTTGTCACTGGATTGGACCTATCTATTAGATATTGGCATGTTGTTAGAGCATGTGTGGTTCAAAATGCCAAATAATACAAAACCTTTCTGTGATTGTGCATTGTCATATTCTTTCTAAGATTTGCTTTCTCTAGTTGAGAGCTTATCTTTGTGGCATAATTAACAAATGCAATTGACTAATCATGTAATTCATAGAGAGCTGGAGAAAGAACTGTGTTTTGACTTGCCTTCCAGAACGGAATCACTAAAATTGTATGAGGATTTTTATAGTTTCAGCAAAGAATCATTTCACTGCTAGGGTTTGCTGGTTCTTTGCCATGTGTAGACAATGTCTTAGTTTAATCCTCTGGAGAGTGCATTTTTCACAAGGCCAAACAATTTTTTATCAGAATACCAGTGTAAGACTTTTCTATTTTACCTAAATCCATTTCGCACTATGGGTTCAATCAAGGCATTTTATGCAGACAAACTCATAAACATGCCTTTGTACAAAGTGATGTATTTTGAACAGATTGATGGGGATACATGTTAGAGATGCTTTTCTAAACCATCAGACATTTGTGTGAGAATGCAGACTCTAAATTCACTTTGTGCTTTTTTTATAGATGTGATACTACAGAAAAATTGAGAAATTCTCTGGATTACTTGAGATCTTTATTAAATGAACCTACCAATTTTAAACTTATTTATAGATATGCATTTGACTTTGCACGGGTAAGTAATGGGGAGGACCAGCATCTGAAATGAAAACTTTACATTCATAAATAATAATTGGAAGACTGTATACTTCTAAGTATGTTTCTGTTAAGAAACCACTCTAGATTGCTTCTAACAAATGGAACTGTTTATATTCTAAAAAAGTATATGTAAAATGCTAGAACTGGAAAAGAAAAGTATATAGGATGCTCGAAGTTCAGTGGTTTAGTGTTTTGACATTATTTGTTACGTCTCTGCCTCAACCTATTCTGTAACTTCAAGGAAGTAATTTAGGCCCTATTCTGTTGTACATTGGAAGACTGTTAGAAGGTCATTAATGGTGTTCTCAGTATTTGTTAAACAATATACTGTGATCAGTCTTCCTTTTGTAAAATATGTATCCATAAAACTGTACCTGGTATTGGAACCCATAATATACATAGGACTATTCCTATTTAAAGGGAGCAATAAAATAACTTTAATTTTCTAAATTAACATTTTGACATGGAATTTGGACATCCATTTTGCTAGTGTGATGTAATGTGATGTACAGATGACTTACCATAAACACGATCACAGGCAAAACTGAAGCTAAGATTTCAGTGCAGGAGAGCCAAATGCACCAAGAAAATTTGCAGGGAAAAAGAAGTAACATGAGAAAAATAATAAGAAATACTTACCTATCAGAATTGCTCTCAGTTCAGTTTCTGTCATAGGCAACTCAGATTTGTGGTACATCATTGCTTTTTACGTGTTAGCTTGCAGAGAGTCAAAGTAGTTCACTTTTAACCAAAGAAGCCTACACCTGAGTATGTCAAAATGCGTGGTATTAGTTTGTATGAGAGGACAAAAAAAGCTTTATGAACATCTTAATTACTCCTTTGCTGTGTGAAGATTGATTCTGCCAGTTTTGGTCAACATAAAATGCAAAGGCAAGAAATAACATTTTCAAGGAAGATACTGATGAACTGTTTTGAACAGGTAGCAAATCTGAATCAGCTAATGGCCTGTCAAAAGCAAGTGCAGAAACTTAAGAAGAGGATAGTGGGTGAGGTTTATTCAAGAGATACCAAACAGATATCTTGAAAAAGAATTTAAACATTGTGACACAGGTGCTGTGACATTATTTGTGGCCAAAAAACCCCCAGGTTGTAGAACTGCAAGTCAAAGGCATATCAACAGAGGAATTGTCAAAACAATATTGGATTAGTAGAATTATCGAACTTTTAATACTGTGGAGCCAGTGGAGAGTGGCATCCAGTAATAATAGAGATGAAGGCTGACAAAGGCTGATATATTTATATAGATGTAGCAGATAAATATCTTCATAATTTTTATCAGAATAATTGAAGTAGTTGGTAGCAAAAAGCTGATGGGAGCATTTTTGGGTTTTGATTCAGAAGATTGTATAATTTCTATCCTAAGAGTAATAATTCCAGGAAAGTACTCTATGGCAAAAAGCACTTGTATAAACTTTTGAAGTTTTAAGAGAGAATTTTTGAAAGCATCTGTTGTGATTTGGTAGTTTGTCAATAAAAATAAATATCATCAAGGTTTTGTGCAGCATGAATGATTTAAGTCAGCAGGGATTTGAGGAAATAATATAAAATGCCATATGTTGGTATTAAGCACAAATACACTTCTTGCTCCCTGTTTGCTATTGTCATTCCCAAGTTTGAGAACATACAGATGCACATATTTCATGGCTTAAACAGCTCTTTTACCTGAAATGTGGGGGGGAAAAAATCTCAGGCTGTCTATCATCAATGTAAAGCAAATACTAACATTTATCACAGTTTGTCAATGTATTATTCCCCACGGTATCCAAGAAAGTTAATGTAAGTATCTGGAAATGCAATTGGAGCATCTGTCACAGCAGATGAGCCATTAGACAGTTGGAGGTGGGTACAAAGGGTTTATCTGAATAATCTGTTCTGAACAGTAGTCAGAGAGAGAGAATGTAGGAACTTTACAATGTAAGGCATGTAAAAACAGCCAAAGTACAAGGAACAGAGCCTGATTTCATTAACACTTAAGTGTGTGGGAAGAATTCAGAGTATAAACAGTATGGAAAGTAAAATGTATTCTTACAGCAGTATCATTTCTGCCTAAAGGTGTTTGTGACAGGTGTAAATGGACTTTGGAAAGGGGATTAGTTTTAAGAACTTTTTGGTATTGGAAATAAGTGAAAGACTTGTATCATATTAATTCAAAATGCCTTTGCAGGTGTGTGTTTTAATTTTATTACCAATTGAAAAGCTTTGTTCATCCTGGAATTTACAGTTTTTCTCTAGATCAGAATGAGTGAAGTCCCATTTGGTTTACATTTGGTCACTAAACCCAGTTTCTGATGTTTTGAGAGCTGCTGGACTCTTTTTTTTTTTTTTTTTTTTTAAGGACACTTACCTTCCTAAACGAACCCCCATAAAATTTGGTTTATAGAGTTTTTAGAGTTAAAGTTTATTTTATATGAAATGGGTTTCAAGAAGAAAAGATAATCATGTGGCTAAGGCATTCGGCTGTTCTTCAGGAACTGGGATCTCACTTTACCACATCTTTCATACAGAAGGCAGTTCTGCTTGTTTCAAGATTGTTTTCAATAAAGATGTGTCTTCTGTAATATATACAGGTGCTCTTGCAAAGGTGAGGCAAAGGGTTCAGTTCCCTCTGTCCTGGGTAGCTGTCTCACACTGCTCTGAGGCATCTGTATTCTGGATATCCCTATATCCGTGTTTTTTCTTAATTTAGACTATGCTGTCTGCAATCATGGATACATACAGAGAGATCATGGTGTATAGTAGCTAATGTGGAACTTTATTTTTGTGATTTCATTAACTTCTGAATTTGTAGCTTAATGCTATAAGCGAGGCATAAAAGGGTGAGGTTTTACATCCCATCTCACACCACAATTTATTTAATTTCAAGACAACAAATGTTGATGGACAAACTACTTAAAGTAACAAAATCAGATTCTATATGTACACACATTACTTTTGAGACGTGTAGAAGTTGTGTTACCAGATATATTAACTTTCCCACTGATGAGATGTAACAAATCTGTTGGGTACAGGTGATACTTTCTTAACTTATCAGAAATGAAAAAATCATCCCCTAAGCCTACTACTACTGTGTTGAACTAAAATTGGGTCTCCATGTGCTAGTGTGTTTTGTTCCCTTTGCACGTTCGATATTTAACTTAATCTGAATTTCATGTAATCAGTAGAATAACAGAACAAAGTACCTCCTTGACTCACTCTTGCATGGTCTCTGTTACTTGGTAGCTACTTAACTATTTGCTGATAGTTTATGTAGCTGTAATAATTCTGCAGGAAATATGTGCAGTGGTACTTTTGTAAGAGACATGGATATGCAGAGACATGTGCAAACATGGGTATGGATCTAATGGCCATTGCTTTCTGACAGTGTCTGAAGTTACAAACAGGAGTGTATGCCTCATCAGCAATAATGGTGACAGGTTTTTTTGGGAAAGCCTGTATCAAGCAGCATCTCTGAATAGCAAGCTATTAGCTACAGGGAAGGAAATTTTACTAGGAAGTTGTGTTTTATGAAAAACCTCTGCTAGATACTGGTATTTATTATTCATTTGTTAATTTAATTCATATATGTGTGCAGGAAGTGAAAAATCCTGAAATTATGTTATTTTCTGGTTTTTGACCTTTTCCTTTTTATGCAGGAAAAGGACCAGCGCAGCCTAGATATCAATACTGCCAAGTGTATGTTGGGCCTTCTTTTAGGAAAAACGTGGTCCCTTTTTCCAGTATTTCACCAGTTTCTAGAGGTACGGAGTTTGGAACAGGGTCACTTTTTTTTTTTTTAATCTGTTTTCTCTGATACTTTAACCAGAGATAGAATGAACAACTAAGATTTTTTTGGTTGTTCTGATGTATAACATACCGACCCCCAAAGCAGCACTTGTAACTGGTTATCTTCCTTACTTCCTTTTCCTCAAATCCATATGCTGCAGGACAAAGTATAGAATGTCTTTGATTTGCTTTTATTGCTGTATGTTTGTCCACTAAAAGATGTCTTAATCAAAAACGTGAATTATTCAACACCGGCTTGGCTGGTTAGTGGTTTCTTTAATCCTGTCCAGTTTTAGAAGGCATACAGATTAAAGTAATTCAGCATGAGGTTTAAATTTTCTTTAAGTAAGAGAACCTGATTTTGAGGGAGTTGAAAGTGTATTCTAGTAACTTCTGTTTCTTGCCTCAAGCAGCAATCAAAATACAAAGTTATCAATAAGGACCAATGGTGTAACGTTCTTGAATTCAGCAGAACAATTAACCTTGACCTCAGTAACTATGATGAAGATGGAGCCTGTAAGTACTACCATATGTTGGTATTCTAAAATAGTTTTTTTCTCTGAGCTTAATGATTCAGTGTTCTTTTACAAAATTTTGTAAAATAGAGTTATTTGATCTCTCTACAGGGCCAGTGTTGTTGGATGAGTTTGTGGAGTGGTATAAAGGAAAACAGATGACATAGGAGTTTAACTATGCACAGCCACTCAAGAGTCACTGTTACCACAGTTATGTCAACCATTAGCCATAAACTGCTATTTGTATCAAAGTGCATGCTGCTTTTCTTGCACTGCATCCCTTTTGCAGGGAACTTTCGATGTTTGCTATTTAACAAGCTAGCTATGCTTGCTGTGTAGCATTGTTCTCTTTGAAGGCTGCTTTGCATTTTGTATTTACACTACAAATTGGTGAACTTGCCAGCGTCTTCACTGTGATTATGTGTATATTGCTGTCTAAATTTTGTATATGTGTATAAAAAAACCCCTTCAGCTAGGGATTATTTCTGCAGAAATGTATTGTAAAAATAATTTTGTGGCATATTTCTAGTCATCACTTACATGTTTGTTGAAACTTTAGTTGTTTTGTTTTCCTTTTGGTCTCAAATGTAGCATTTCAGAAAATGAAATGAACAGACTGCTTGGACAGAGTTATGTGAAGAATTTGTCAATTTTAATGTTACTATTTGAGATGCCAGTTTCTGGGAGGAGAAGACATGCTGTGACTTTCTTTACCAGAATTTGCCAAACCTGACCTATTGCTTAATAGGAATGAAACATTGATGTCTTAAAATTGTCTATATATACATACAGATATTAAACCACTGTAATAGCTGTACATGCCACAAATTATTTCCATTTCAAGAAAAAAGTACTCACTTTTTAATGTTAAAACTGCAGTAGTCATTACAGGTACCAATGAACAAATTAAAGTACCTTTTAAAAATGGGTTTTAGACTTTTGTAAATTGCCTTTGGCATACTCCTCTTAATTTTTGGTGTACCAAGAGTGTTTGGTCTAAGTTGTGATCTTGTGAAACTGGAAGTTATAGGTAAAATTATTGGTTTGGGGAATAAAGTCTGCTCAGCCCTAGCACATAGATAATGTAGATTTGGGGGTTGTTTTTTTTGTTTTGGGGTGTTTGTTTGCTTGGATGGGTTTTTGTTTGTAATCTTTGCCAAGGTCTCTAACTTTGTGTTTCTAGGTAATTGGAAATATGATACCGAATAGTCAAAACATTACCTTTTCTTTCATGCTTGGGATTGGAATTCCCAGAATGTCCATTGCAGGCAACGGGCATGTTAAACACCAGCATTAAATGGCAGTGCTTTTTAGTAGGGACCACTTCCTATTTCACTCATTCTTTATTTGTATAGGACCGTTCTAGTGATTAATTTGGGGAAAATGAGTGAATGGAATAATGTTTAATTTCCATAATTCTGTTACGTTGTCTTTGCCTTATTCTTCTTTAAGTAATGTGTTAATTTTTCATAAATAGGTCCTCGAAGTATCTGGTGCTATTAAACTTTGAATCCTTAAGATTTATTAAAATGTTCCATATTGATTCACAGAGCATTTAACAAGAAAGGGCCAACCTGTGTTTTGGAATGAAGAATAACATTACTTTTCTGTAGAAATATTTTACAAGGTATTGGCAGATTTGATACCGCTCTAGAATGCGATCTGGGGGAGGGGGGAAATGTTTTATGTTGAATGTGAAATTTTCAGCTGTATTGAAGGTCCTGTTCTGCCATCACTGAAGTCAGGAACAACTGTCCTTAACTTGACTACTTTCAAGATTAAGCCTAGTTTAGCAAAAGCTAAATGTGGTGCTTAAACATTAGTTTGCTACCCTGGACCAGGAGGTTGTAATTGTGGTGCTACAGGTGGTCAGTTGTGTTCAAATCTGTTTGCTGTTGTTGATTTTTGTTTGTCAAACTCAGCTGCCAAAGACAAAAATTGTTTGTATGTGTTTATGTATATTTGTATATACATAAATAGACAATATATGTGCATATACAAACCCCTAGAATTTCATGATGCTGAGAAGAAGAGACTACCTTTCCCTGTGAAATAGTCATGTTTGGATTTCTATGACACTAAATAGTGCTATTTGAAGTTAATAGTATTAAAATATACATAGTCATTGCTTTCTTATGTACTAATACGCATAACCTTAATTCCATGTTTAATGCCAGTTTGCACAAGAAATTAATTCAGTGGAGTGTGGTATTTAATGTTTACAATATGCGTCTTACTAAAAACCACAAGTTTTATGAAGACTTCTGATGTAAAAGTATATATTACTGTAGTATAACCTTAAAGAAATAATCAGTGGAGCTGCTGGTTTAGTTCTGAAAAGAATGAACTTAGAAGCAATATAACTTTTAACGTTAGCCTAGACTGTGGTTGCTAAGTTCTGAAGTGAAATACTGTAATTGTTCCTAAGTGTTAAGCTAGTTACTGACTCTAGAAAACAGTTTAGCACAAATTGGCATGAATCCTGCAACAAATACAAGATGTGTATAAAAGGTTTTGTATGTCACACATAATTTGGCTTCCAATAATGGAAGCAAGAGCCAAAGACACTTCTAATCTATTACTGTTATAACTTTCATCTAAGAGGGTCAACAGAAATCTGTTCAGCTTAATCAGGTGCTCCTTTTCCAAGTTTCGCTAATGATTAGCAGAATACAAAATGTAAATAAGAGCAAATGAAACAGGAGAGGAAACCTCAGAAAGCACTCATGTTGTATAAGGTAACAAACTGAGTTTTCTTTGTGTAAAAGTAATCAGGAGTAATGGAAAGGAGGAATGTGTTTGGAAATGAATCAGGTGCTGCAGATTGTTTTTCTTCCACTTGCAAGCAGGGTGAATCTGTAGTCTTCAGCTGGTTTATAAACATGCATCTTCATAAAATCAGCCACAGATTCAGTTGCAGCTTGTAGATGGCTTTACTAACATTTATAGGGAACAAATATACTAAAATGGACCCATATGGCTTGATAAACTTTCCTGTGCTATCCATCCTTCTGTTTGTGCTAGATACACTGATAAGTAGAGAAACCTGATATTGCCAGCTCTTGTATTTTGGAGAAAATCCTTCTCATTTTTAAATACTGTGAAAATGTAACTAAGCCACTGGGTTTACCTTGTAGTTAATACAAGCTTGGTGTCTGCTGTTTGGTTTGTTATGCCATGATACAGTTAATACAGGGTTTTGTTTGTTTTTTTTTTTCCTCTTGAAAGGTAATATATAGAATATACTGACTTCTTGGACAAGACACTCGGAGGTCATTCTGGAAGAAGTGTCAGGGGTCTTGCGCTAATCTTTCTGGTGTATTATTACTATACTTACAGCAGAATCTTGATAATCTCTGTGCAATTCACACGTGGTATTTGGGAGATACAAGTGGAAAGCCAGTTAGTGGAAGGAAAACAGCATCCAGAGACTATAGCAGTGGACAGTCGTTAAGTTGATAGATGACAAACATTTGGAGCTCTTTGGACTTGATGGTCTTAAAGGTCTTTTCCAGCCTAAATGATTCTATGAGTATTAGTAAATGAAACATTCCATGAATTCAGTTTCATTCTACAGGAAAATAATATTAAGCATTAACATAATTCTGTGTGACTGTTTTTTCACTCTTCATCCTTTTCAAGGAAAACAAGCTTAGGAGGATGGAATTTGTTGGAGTCCTTTATGCACTTGAGTTTTCAGTTCAAGGTTCACTTTAAGCTACAATAAATACTTGGGTTACCTTTGTGTAGCCTTTTCTAGCGTTAGTAGAGGACTGGAGATGTCTTCCATCTTACCTCAAATACATGCGTTTTATTTCATCACAAATATGCTCACACAATCAAAGTTAGTTACAGCTCATTGCTACTTGGTAAATGTTCCCAAATTACTTTATTGGAGGGGGAGAAATGGGCTTCATTTGTGTTCAGGTTTTCCCAGATTTCTGTTGATCCTTGGTCACAAGTCTAACAAATTGTTTAATACTCTTGGAATTCATACACACAGCTTTAAAGGTTAGCTTGTGCCCTTGTATAACTGCTAAGATACCTCTTCCTAGGCCTTATATTCTGTTCTTTCATACTGCTGTAAAAGTGTATAAAATCCACCCACCAGCTACATTGTTGTCTGTAATTGAGACCAAAACTTGGCTTGATTTTTTTTTTGTTTTTATTTTTAAAGATTTCCTCCATTCTCTATGTGTGTGTGTGTGTGTGTGTGTGTGTGTGTGTGTGTACACGTGTATTGTCAACAAATAGTACCTACTGACACTGCTGATGCAGGAACAGCAGTTAACCTGTAACTGTGAATGCTTTGTTACTTGGATATTACATAAATAAGGTGTGCTAAACTCTTGTGATTCACAGCCTGACGGCAATACTGTTAACGCCACCTAACATGAGTTCCTCTGGTTGATTTTTAGGTCTTTTGCTGGTGTTGATGTAAAATGGCATCTCACAAATAAACAGTATTTGTGTTGGTTTCAGCAACTGACTTCAGATTTTTCTATGGTTCATACTTCAGAAATTCTCGTATCTCATGCATCACTTCAGCTGGCAGCCTTTATCATTTAGTAGCAGAGAACTGGTATGTACAATCTTGTCATCCTTATTTCTAATAGTAAGGAATATCAGTATTTAAAACTTTGTTGGAGAAAGGTACATCTTGAATGGAGTGTATGGGTGTAAAGCTGCAGTGTATTACAAAAGTTTTCACCAGTAAGAGTCAATTTGAGCAGGAATGTCTCTTAAGGCGAACTTTTTCAAGAACAATGATTATTGCCCACAAGATCTTGCCACAGGCTTTTGGCCCATGAGGTCCTCATAAGAAAGCTGTTGATGGTATGGGCTGGACCAACAGGCAGTGAGGCAGACTGAAAAGTGTCTGTATGGCAGGGCCCAGAGGGTGGTGGTAAGCAGTGCAAAGTCTAATTGGAGGCCAGTAACTAGCACTGTACTCCAGGAGTCAATGCTGCATCCAGTCCTGTTCACCTTCATTGATGAGCTGGGTGATGGGGCAGAGGGTACCGTCGGCACATTTGCTAGTGGCACCAAACCAGGAGGAGTGGTTGGTACACCAGAGGGTCATGCTGCCATCCAGAGAGACCTCAACAGGATGGAGAAACAGACTAACAGGAGCCTCATGGACTGTGAGAAGTGTGAAGACCTGCACCTGGGGAGGATCGGCCCCATGCACTGGCATATGCTGGGACCCACCCAGCTGGAAACAAGCTTGACAGAAAAGGAACTGGGGTTCCTGGTGAACACCAAGTTGAAGATGAGGCAGCAATACAAGGCAAATGGTATCCTGGTCTGCATTAGACAAAGTACTGCCAGCAGGCTGAGGGAGATGATCCTTCCCCTCTCCTCAGCACTGGTGAAGCCAGACTTGGAGTCCTGTGTCCTATTCTGGGCTCCCCAGTGCCAGAGAAACTCTTGAGTCCAGCAAAGAGCCGTGAAGTTGGAGAAGGGACTGGAGCTTCTCTCCCTTCAAAGAAAAGCTGAGAAACCTGGAACTCTTGAGCCTTGAGAAGATGCTAGGGGGAGATCTTACTAATATGTATAAATATCTGAAGGGAGGGTGTGAAGAAGATGGAGCCATGCTCCTTCCACTAGTGCCCAGGGGCAGAACCAGAGGTCATGGGTGCAAAGTGAAACTCAGGAGACTCCCCCTGAACATCAGGAAACACTTCTTGACAGTGAGGGTGGCCGAGCACTGCACAGGTTCTGCAGGAAGGTGGTGGAGTCTCTGTTTTTAGAGATACTCAAAAGCCTTCTGGATATGGCCTGGGCAAGCAGCTGTAGATGGCCCTGCTTGAGCAGGGGGCATGGAATAGAAGACCTCCAGAGGTGCCTTCCAACCAACTCCTTTGTGATTCTGTGCTATCTGAAAGAAAATGCTAAAGAAAATTCCCTTCAGTTAGTCAAATTTAATGCTGGCAGAGAAGACAAGTCTCAGGAGTATTTAAATGTAGTGGTATTTTGATCAGAGTGACTTTGTGACCTTAAACACCTGTGGTTTCCTTCCTTTTTAAAAGACTTTAAATTATTTGACTTGTAATGAGCTGTTGCATTATCTTTTTAAAGCAGAAGTATTATCTAAGCAGAACAGTAGAAAAGCTGCTAGCAATAAGACATGAAAATTACAGCCTACGTCTCCATAATATTCACAAATACAGGTTTTAAAGGAGCCATTAGTTAATTTTACTACTTTGTATTGCTTCCAGAATTACAAATCTGATTTTGACTAGGAAACAGACTGGCAGAGAAAATAAGAAGCACATGTTAGAGACCATAAGAAATTGGGGTTTTTAATATTTTGCACTATTTGAGCTGCCAGTCCTAAGGCTTTTGACTTAAAATGTTATTTAAAGTTCAATGCATTTACAGTACAGTTAGAATATTGTAGTGTAGAGCCCATTCTGGAGACATAGTTCTTCATTATGCTCACATTAGGGAAGGCTGGGATTGCCTTCTTCAGTTCTCAGAATGTAGCCTGCTTCTTGCATCTGTAAGAGGGGGTGAGTCATAGTCTTCTCTACCATGAAAACTTTAATATTATTATTCAAATAGTTTCTGATGTTAATTATATGTAGGTTAGATGCGAATGTCTTTTCTTCATATTCAGGGGTTATTTTCCAGCCCAGTTACCAGTGAACTCTGGAACAAATGAAATGCTTTGTACCTACAGCAAACAATAGTTATCCAAGTATCATAAATATGTTAGAAAACGAGAGCTTTATTTCATTCTGTTTACCATAGTTCTCTGTATACTCTTAAGACTTCATTAATGTTTCCTATACTGATTCAGTGTATGAGGGATATTATGTCCTGTCAACACTAGAGCTCAGCACACTTGCCCTGTAAGGAGGTGTGCCCAGAGTATTACCAACATCCTCTTAGCTGCCTCCTCATGCTTCATGTGTGCATTCATATACAGCATATGCTCAGCCACCTCTTATCATCAGGTCTATTCTGTGACTTGGTCTGTTTATCCAGTCACTGTGATAGTAACACAAGTCTTACCTGAGCATGAGTTTTGCTGCCTGAAGTTACTGATGAAGCTGAAGAAGTTTCAGCTTCCCTGGAGCAGCAGTTGCAGTTACTCCTCTCTGCAGCTGTAACTCCTGTGAATGGAGAAAGAAAAGTAAAGCATATGCTTCTGCTCCTCTACCAGCAGCTGTTTTTGTAGTGGTGTAGGTATTCCAGAAAATTCTCAGTGCCCAAACCAGCTAAACTAGGGAAGATAGTGGTGTGAGCAGGATACAGTGGATTGATACCCCCTGAAGTGTAAAGAAAAGGAAGTGGATAAAACCTCAAAGGGAGTTGGTGAATGGAGGGACTATAGCTATTATATACAAAAGTGCATGGTGAAATAGAGTGGATGGAGAGGAGCAAAGTAAAAGCACTGCTTGGAAGCCACAGAAAAGGTTTTATATTAACTTCAAGGGCAACTGCTGATGAAGTGAGGAACTAGTATGAATGAGAAGCAGCTGAGTGTTTGTGTTTGCATGAAGTGACGCCAAGAGGGGAGAGATCAGTAGCAAAGAATGGCACAAGATCAGGCAGAAATCTGAAGGTAATTTTGAGACAGAACATCAGCAATATTCTGACAGCAAAATTAAATACTTTGTCCCATGTTAAAAATCCCTTGATGAAGAAGCAAATTTACCTGATTAGGACAGCAAATAACTATTTTTCTGTAATTTTATGGCATAAGGGAGGCTGAGAACACTCACAGCTTCTCACAAGCAGTGGACTGCCTGCATCACCACTGCAGCATCCCCATGGTCAGGAAAAATGAGAAGATGAATTTGCAGTACACATTTTGGAAGCCTGCTGAACTGTAGCAAATGATAAAGCTTTGCTGTGTACGAGACAGCATTTGAGCCAGTCTGGGTTTTTTTCTCATGATCCACAAAATTGCCTTGCTTATGCAGTTAACATTTCTTAACTTGCTAGCAGCTGGTACAGACAAAAGGTGACAGACAGGCCTTGGAGAATGGTCTGTCAACACCGTGTGTAAAGACTCATATGTGCCATAATGAGCAAGTCTGTGCTTTTTTATGTATTCCATTTTTTTAAGTTGCTTTGGCCACAAGTAGCTTGTGTGTATAATGAGCTATACTGAAAGCCAGTTATGAGCACTGGTGGTGAGGAAATACTGCTCTGTTTTCTACTCCTGGTGGCTCTGTAGCTGTTCCTATGAGGAATCACACTCATATTACCCAGTTCTTTCTGTCTAGACACCCTCTAAAAACACAGTTGTTTTTTGTCACATTCTGTTCTCTCAGAACACCAGCCTTAAATTCAGTGGATGCCAAGGCATTAAATGAGATTGAGGCTATGTGGGGTTTAGGAGAGAAAAATTAGAATCATAGAATAGTTAGGCTTGGAAAGGACCTTAAGATCATCTAGTTCCAACCCCCCTGCCATGGGCAGGGACACCTCACACTAGTAGAATAGGGTATAACAGTTACAGACACTTGTATAATCAAGGAATGAGTTGTATTGGGTAACACTTTATTTTAGTTACATTTCTGGGGCTGCTGTGATTTTTGCAGATTGCAGTGTTTTGTTGTTTCGTTCTTGTCTACTTGGAGTAGGAACAGTTGTGGACAGTGAAATGTGTAAAACCTTTGCTTGTGTTTGAAAAACTGAAAACAAAATCTGACCCTTAAACTCGTGAATGATTTGATGACAAATGAATCAGTTTCTTCAGAAGATGATTTCACCCTTGGTTCCTGAGTGGACTCCTACTGAAGGAATGAAGCTGGTGCCTGCTCTTAATAAAGTTCTTAGTTATCTAGCTAGCATTTTAGGTATCACAGAGTACTGGAGCAGAAAAGTACAGAAATCTTCCAAGAATTCATTGGTAGGCAAGAAGATCTGTGTGAGTGCAGCAGATTTATTGCCTGTGAAGGAAACCTAAGCAGAAGTGACTTGGCTCAGTAAGTGTTTAACTGGTAATTGTGATGGTACATGTTTGTCCATGGCACTTGGTCGCCAGCTAGGGTTAAACCACTACAATGTGTAATTGCAAGGCACTACAGAAAATGGTTTTCAAAAGATCAAATAATACCAGTTGGAACTGAAACATGTTCTTCTGTTCAGAGCTTTTAGTGAATTAATTTGTGTCTGCATGACAGGGTTTTCCCTGAGTTGCCAGCCAGCCTATATTTAGTGGGAACCTAGGCCTGTTCCCCTTTGTGATGCCATTTCCCTTCAAAGACTACATCCATGACACTGTGTATGTTAACAAGGGCCTTGTGCCATGTTCAGAGAAAAACTCAGATTTGTTATCTTTTGGCTTAGAAAAAGTTACTTTATATCAAGCTATTGATGGTCTTACACAGCAGTTCTGAGCTGCTCTGGATTTGCCCCTCTTAAGTAAAATTCTGAAGTGGGTATAGGATCCTTTTTCCTAGGGAATTGCAGCTTAGTAATGGTAGGTTGACTTTTCTTCAGTTACTGTGCCTGTGTCAGCACACTTGCAAACTGCAGGTAACTGCATTTCCATAGCTGACTTTTCTGCAAGGTTTGAATTCTGTTTCTTTGAGAAAGAAGAGTTCCATTTCTCTGTCTTGACAAGTTAAAACCTCATTTTTTATGTGTAATTTAATACTGCTCAGACGACACCTATCTCTGCAAAACTGGGTGTTCAGAAACACTTAATCCACAAATTCGGTTCAAAAAGCAGAAGAGAGTAATATGGACCATTTCACTGTATAGGGTGAGCCCCACAGGAAAACACAGTAACAGTGTAATGATAATTTCAGTGTTATATTTATTTTAGACAAAGAGAAACAAAACAGTCCATATTAGAGGCCAACTGAAAGGGAAACTTATATCTTAGTACCAACAATAATAAGAAAGTAAATATGTATTATTACTGTAACTCAGCAAAAGGTTTATTAGCAGGTACAACTACCAAGTAGTTTACTCATTTGAATATCCTAGAGTTGTTCTTCATGAAATCTCTTCTTGGCTGGTTGTTGTGGGTTTTTTTTTTTACAAGCACCCTTAAACAAGTCCACGGGTTCTGACCCGAATTACCCTTTGGAATTACAGTGGTTTTAAATTGGACATACGCTCTAGTTCTATAACTTGGCTTTTGGAACTTAAAGGCAGATAGATGGTTGTACTGAGAGTTACCAAAAACCCCAGCAAAACCAGCCCAGGCTACTTAACAGTTATGGAAAGTTACACACTTCATTTTAAGACACAATCATTTTTGCAGCTACTGTATGACATAAACACTGTGGAAGCCCAGTGTTATGTTTTTGTGTCTCAGCTATTGAAGTTTGTTCTCCTGCTTTCCAAAACCTTAGCAAATCCATCAAATGCTCTCTTCTTCTTAACAAAAACCTGTCCCTGCCCTAAATTGGTCTGACCTCTTTGATGGAGTTTCTCGCTTGAATTTTGGAGGTTGACAGCTGCCGTAGAACTGTTCTGCAGTCCTGTCAAAGTAGTGTCATCCTCCACCTTTCTGGAATGAGTGCTTTTGGAGATTGTATTCCCTGTAGTCGTTTGCGGGAATGAGCATGAAGTGTATCGTGTGCTTTCACTGGAGAAGCCTTGTGGGATTGAGAGGAAATACGCATCCTCATCACTCTGATCCACCTGAAAATGATCTGTGTCAAATATTGGTTGTGTTTTCCCAGAAGAGTGAAGATGCAGCAAATCTGCTGCTTCAGGCAGGCTGCAGTTGCTGGTATCCTGTAATTCCGTGTATCCATCACAGTTTTTCTTATTAAAACCTCTTTGCATTACATCTGCATGAGCCTTAGGTGTGTGTGCCTGCTTCCTCTGTGGTAGCAAGTCTTCTGTCCCTGTAATAACTGTCAGCTGTTTTTCAGCTGTGTGTTCAGGCAGCGAGTGAGGAGGTGAGTTGTTGCTCGAATGCAGCAGTGATGTTCTTTTAACAATTTCACTCAAACCAGTATCAGTGGGAGCAAAAATGAAATCACTGTTGTCAGATGTGTTTCTTAGCGCTGTGTCTCCTTCACCGTGATTCTTTTCAGAGGAGTTCCTATCTTTCTGTTCATCTGTACTTCCCTCTAGTGCATTTGCCTTTTGTCCAGTGGGACTGAAGCTGAGGGAATGCTGTGGTTCGGTGGGAAACTGATCTGGCTGCAGCTCAGCCTCTTCGGGAGTGTTCTCTGTATCTGCATCATACATGGGAGAATGTTTTAATGAAAGTAACATGTTACCAAAACCTGCACTTGGATTGCAGAGAGAATCAGAAACCGAGGTCTGTGCTGCTGACTTGGCATTAATGAAGTGATCAAATGTAACAGGAACGTCTTGATTTGGAGAACTAATTGTGTCTGGATCTGACATGCTTACATGGACGCTGCATTTATCAGCGTAAGGCAACGCTGTTTCAAGCATGATGGTATCTGATCCATAATTAATAGCAGTTTCAAAATGCACGTTGTTCTTGTCTTCATTTTCCCCAACACACTGAAGTCCAGCGGCAAGCTTTGCAGATTCTGGCAGCATTGAGCACTTCTCAGTTCCACTGCTCCTATCAGCTTCCTCTGGTGATGACTGACAGACAGGCAGGCTGTCTCTAACATCAGCTTGTTCCGGTTCAAAGTCTGCTAAAGAACTACAGTCACTCATTGTGAACGGAGCCCCCTCATCTGAAAAACTATCATCAAATATATCTGCCGAAGCACCTCTTTCATTTGTGGGTTCTGCTTTACAGTTGTACTCTGTAAGAGAAGAGTTTTCTATTGTTTGGTAGATGCTTAAATTCTCAATATTTGTATTTCTTCTGCAGCTACCGGGTAGAATAAAATCTCCCACATCACTGGTTAGATCTATGTTGCCACTTAGACAATGTTGTTTATCACAGCTTTGCCTTCCAGGCATACATTTTGTAGTGTTCGTGGCTTCATTTTGTGGAACAACACCTTTTCTTTCAGGAGAATCTGGTGTAGCCCCTGTGATATCTGACTGCAGCAGAGCAGAGCTCTTGCTTACCTTGCTGTTCCTAGAATCTTGTGCAACTGTACGTGCTTGTATTGTGGAAAGTAGAAAGCCAGTTTCTCCCTTGAAGGGTAATTCTGGATCTGAGGAGTCAGTGTGATGTGAGTAAGAGTCAGCATTTGATCTCCTGCGTATGGGAGGGATCCTGCTCTTCTCTGAGGCTTCATTATTTGCATATATTGGATCTTTCTGTAGTGAAATTTCATTATTATTTAATTTTCTTGGCGTTACTTCCTTGCTGTCCTTGTCATCTGTTCTTACAGAAAACAGCCCATTACCCTCAACATTTACATTTTCATCATTGCTGCTGCTAGTTTTGATGCCTGAAAAAAAAGATGTTTTCTTCACATTGGTCTCATCATTGCTTTGTTTCTGGTACTCTTCTTCAGTATTTGGTGCACATACACTGCTACCAATGACATTTGCTTGTGAAGTAGAAGCTTCTGTAGGAAGAACATACACGTTCCTTGAAGAATCCTCATCACAAATGAACAAGCTGTGCTGTGTATTGGTTGGTTTGCTTGTGCTTGCAGAGCACTCTCTGCTCAAGGTTTCATCTGAAAAAGCTTGGTTACAATAAGTATGTTCTGAAGCTGAGTTCTTTTTCCTGCACATGAGTCTCCACAGGCTTCCAAGGTAGGGTCTAGCAAAAGCACCCAGGCAAAAAGCACAAACAAATGTAATGAGCACCGAGAGGCACACAGCCAGTGTAAGGTCTTGCTCTGTTCTTCCTTGTCGCAAAGCAGGGTTAGCATCTCGGGCTTTGCGAGCCAAAAATGTTGAGCCCCTTTCTTTCACCTGTATATCATAGATGAGATATTTCTTCTTTGTTGTATTAGAAATACACAAATATAACCCTTTAACAGCTTTCTCAGCATTGTGTATCACTAAATTATTCATTTTATCCAGTGTCATATGAGGAAGACTCATATCTTTTGAAATTCTGCCATTAGGTGTCCACCAAGAGGCTCCATTCTTATTACCTGAAATAGAAGCAAATAGAAACTAAATCTTTCTTAAAAGCGTAAGATAGTTGGGTTTTGGGGTCAAGTTATTTCTGTAAGAATATGCTCTGACCTATTTTTGATAACTTCACCTATTTATTAGAAAATCCATTTCCATTTTCTTTTTATCCATCCTGCGTCATTTTGCCAAGTATTTGTTAAACCACCATACACTCCTCCTCCCCCTCCCCCCCCCTCCCCTTTAAAACTGTACCTATGGGATCTTAATAGCAGGCATTACAAGAAAAATAACATGTGTGAGGGAGCAGATCGCTGGAATTATCTAAGTGTGTTCTGGGTTGCACTAGGAACACCTGCTGCTGTCCCTTGTGGAAGATCTGTATTTATAGCCAGCCATTCTCCACTGTGGACACGCTCACTGTGTGCAGCAATGAGATAAAGCTTCACTCGTTAGCTGTCAGTGTGCCAGTCACCGTGATTTTCCTCTAGTTACTGCTTTGAATGCAACAGTAAGATTTGAAAACCAAAGCTATTTGTATCTACTGAGCAATTGTTCCAGACTTTAGCTGGTGTACGCTGTGGCTGGTTGTTGGCTTTTGGAATGTTTTAAAGTTGTATGTAGCCCTTTGCCTTTGGATCTGCTTGTGTTCCCAGTTGAGTTTTGGTGCAATCCAGTGTGTTGATCAGTTTCCATGACTTTCCTTGCTAACAGAGAAATCAGGTGGCATTATCTGATGGAAACTATGCATTTTCATTTGGGGGTGAGAGTTTCGAGGGGAAAGTCTAGTCCTCAAAGCGCTGTTGTCCATTAGAGTTAAACCATTCTGCCTTATGGCAGAGAGCAAATACACCTTCTGTTCCAAGTCTGATCTTAAGTTTTCCTTCTGCATGGAAAATCCTAGCTCTGTATTAATTGGAAATGCTGACCGTGGGCTACAGTAGCTGTACTTATGTAGAAGAAATATAAATCTTTTCCTTTGCAAATGAACTTTCATTTCATTTTGCTACAGGTGAATACCAGAAATGTTATTGTATCCTTCTTAGTTTTCTAGATGCCCCAGGCGTGCAACTCCGCTATTCAATCCTTTGTTTGCATTCCAAAATTAACTGATAAATTTGCAATGTACTGCTTAGTGAAATTTATTTGTGTATAATTGGGCATCATTATTAGTTTAATGTAAAGAAGAAGATGAAGACTTCTTTGGAGAAACGTGACTATCAAATATTCTAACAGGTATACTACTTTATAATGAAATAATTTGCATGTTCCCTGTTCAGTTGGTTTTAAACAATATCTTTGGAAATCCACTTTTAAAAACAGATTTCTTTGATCATTCTGCGCACATTTGTTTTTTAGTAACATATGGATGGAGTCCTGTTTCACATACCTCTTGTGTTGCCCAAATTACAGTTTAGCACTAGCATCTTCCCTGTTGGGATGGCAGCCCCCTTGAGCAAAACACTGTCGCTGCAGTTTAAATGCAAACTTGAAAGATAGAGCAGAGGTTTCTGTGAGCTGGTGCCAGATTTATTGTATGAAATACTCATTTTTTTCCTTGTGGGGTCAAAAAGAAGATGAATGAAGTTTTTGAAAGCGTTCAGTCTGCAATTAAATATCCAGGCATTATTTGGCAAATCCACTTCAATTTGAAAGAACTTCAAACTGATCAGTATGTGCAGTAGGGGGGTTGTCAGAGCATTTCCACGGAGATCTACCACCTAGTTAGAAATGAGTCAGAATTAATTTGATAAGCCTTACAATGGAATCCTACCCGCAGTATCAACAGTAACATTTACTTTAGCATACAAGCACTTTGCAGTTACAGGGGCAATAGCTCTGGTCAGGATTGCAGTAATATTTTTCTAAGCTTTTTAATTTAAATGAAAAGTTTAAACTGTGGTGTATTTAGAATTCTCCCATTGTAGACTATCTCTGTGTGCATGGGAAGCCGTGGGGCTCTCACCGTGGAAGGGATGACAGTAGAGAAGGACGTGTGTGTGTGTTTAAGCCAGTTATGGATTGGTTTGTGGTATAAATAAATGGTGAATTTATGTTTATATTTTGTATATTTACAAGTGTATGTGTTTTCCTGTATATGAAAAGCAAGTATATATTATATACCAATGATTATTTTCACCATTTGCTTTAGATTTTTAATTGTATAATAATAATCAAAGACCAATATAACCCTGCCAAATAGTTGATAATTAATATCTTTAACAGCAATTAATACAAAGCACCGAAACAGTTGTAGTACTGTTTTACAACCTGTAACTTGTTGAGCTCCCTGAAGGCATCTGGGTGAATTTTAGTTATGTGGTTGTTTTGCAAGTCGATGTCCTTCAGCTGTGAACAGTTCTGAAAATCATTCAGATCAATCTGTTGTATGCCATTGGATGACATACGGACAGTTTGCAGAGACTGCAGCAGGCCCAGTCCTAGGAAGAACAAAACTATTTCACAATTCATGTCCTTGTTTTTCCAACTGCATCAAGTGGCTTTTTAAAATTCTTTGCATCAAAATTCCTTCCATTCCCGACTATTGCAAGGAGTGGCTGCAGGCCTTGAGTTATTCTGCCTTTCTTATCCAGTGGCTGTCCCATTCTAAAAGTTGCGCAGCATCAGCAGCAGGCAGCATGTTAATACATTCACCATCAATGCATGTTTTAAACATTCACAGCTCCATAAAAACAGTAACATTCCTTTGTGCTATCAAAATTATTCTGTGATCTCTGTGCTTTGAGCACATTTCTCTGGAGAACTGGAGGTAGGAAAGGAAGAGTGGGAAAAGGGTGAAATATGCTCAGTTTATAAAATCCAAGTATGTTAACTGTAAATAAATGATGGAGATGCAAAGGTGATGCAAATGGCAATGAGTAAGAGATATTGTAAGCCCGTGGGAGTTTCCCATTTGAACCACACTCACAGGATATAAACCTGACTGAAAACACAAATGTGTTGTTTCTTACGCCTGTCTGCCAGTGAATTACCAAAAGCATGACAGTGTATTCCTCAGCATATCCTACTTATAACAGCATCTGTCTTCTGTAAGCAGCTCTTTGAATGCTGGTGATACCTCATTTTTCTCAGGTGCTGCACAGCCAGCCCCAAAGCTAGCCTGGAATTTCCAATGAGAGCAGGCACGTGAACACTTGGCCTCACTGCAGTTTGTAACACCTGAATGTCACTCTAAAATGGTTTTTGATCATACAGCATTGTTGAAAAGCAACTATTTGTAAACATTTTGCCCTTGGTGTCACCTAGTTTGCTGGAAACCTCTTACTGCAGTTTGCTGTGCTGTTCCTTGAGTAATTGATCTTTGGGTTTATTGTGAAAAGCAGAGGGAATGATTCATTCCTGCTGTAAAACTAGAGGTAGCTGATAGGACAGGCATTCAGAAGTTCTGGCAGCTCATAAATTCTTTCTTGCACCTGCAGGAAGAATTGTAGTTTGGATGCTTCCCTGAAGCTAAATTTGTGCCAGAAATGTATGTATGGCAGTTTCTGCTTCATTTAACCATTGTTTGGACAATGCGAAGCACCTGGATATTATCAAAGATCAGTTAAATTCAGCAAACAATATACAAGATAGCATTGCTCATATGGCAGCCTCTTCATTTAACCACTGTTTAGACATTGTGAATCACCTGTTTATGAGGACAGAGGCTGTCGTAAAGGCTACGATGCCCAGAATAGTTCAGGGATGACAAACACTTTCTAGGAGTCTATCGAAACCTTACAGCCCTCTCCTGTCACCACGTATCACTTTGCTTGAGTGTCCGATGGCACAGAGCAAAATTGTTTTGACTGAGAAAAATATATTTTTTGGCTTTGTGAAATACTGAAATCAGAGTAAGCTTTATTTACAAGGGTATTGACATTCTTCTGAAGAGTAGTATGAAATTCATTATCCATAATTTTCTTTATGTTAAGGTTCATGACTGGATTATGGAGACTGATGCTTTTCCAGAGATCCTTCTTTCCCTTTCTATACCACAAGCAAAAATACTGCTTGGGGTCTAAGAGTATAAATTTGGTTATATCTGATTAAGGCATTACGATTGCAAAGACTATATAAAACCCACAGCCTAATCAGAAACAACCCATTTGTTTCAGTCTCTGCACACAGGTGGAACTTTTCCTCATTTTACACGTAACTAATAGAGATGCTCACATTCTGAATTTAGTAGGATGTTACTGAATCATATCCAAAGCCAACTTACCCCTTGGGAGCAAGGTTTCTTTAAGGTCTTAAAATGCTTACCTCTTGGAACTGTATTAAGACGATTTCTTTCCAGTGACAATACTTTCAAAGCAGGCAGGAGATGATCAGCTTTTCCATATGAGCCATGTGCAGGGGTAGGTATGTCCAGTGTAAGGGTGTGGATGGCATTACCATCGAGGATTAATGTTTCTAAAGCAGGTAAATTCCTACAAGTAGTTAAGGAGAGTTCAGAAATCAGATTGTTACTGAGATTCAGGTGTTTCAGCATCCATTCTTTGTTTCTTCCACTGGTGCACAAGAAAGTTTTAATGTTATTGTAACTAAAATCAGCTGTTACTGCTGTTTGTGAGATATCCTCTGGAATAGTAGACATTCCGGTAAAAGAACAGTTCAGTAAGAGCTCCTCACCCCACTGGCAGTCTGAATGGTGATGTTTATCAAGAAGAATCTGCTGTGACTTGGTCCCCATTGAGCCAGGAAGATGACAGTAAAGGACCACAGCTACGACACTCAAGTGAAGGTTATCCATAGTATCTGCATGTAAAGTGTAGAATGGTGGTAAGTTCAGCATAACAAGACTTAAACAGAAAGCAGAAACACTTTGACATTAAACAAAATCAAACCAAACAAATAAGGAAGCATTACCAATGTTCTGCCTTAAACATTCCATTTTGGAGTCTTCGGTACTTTTCAAAAAGAACAGTCAATAACTGGTAACCTTTCCCCTCCCACCAGCTCTCCCGAAAAACAATCCCAACCTTGTCTGTCTTTTCCAGCCCTTCAGTGGGGAAACACAGCTTCAACAGGAACTTGTGAACTAACAGTAGTGAAGACTTTTGAACTCTACTTCAGGAATCACACAATCACCACTGAGCAAAGTCCATCACATACAATCCATGACAAACACCTGTGGAATGATTTTCATACTTACAGTCAATAAAACACTAGTTTCCCTGTTGATAACACAACAATGTATATTTAATGTCAAACTATATTCTTACAAATAACACTTCCAAACCACAGCTGCATCTTAAGAATTTATTGTTTAATTTCAAAACAAACATTTGAAATTCAATTGGTTTTCACCCACTGAAACAACCACCACCTTTACCTGTGCTGAGAACTCTTTGCATCTAAGTTGTTTCAACGTACCCAGGATGGTATTTTACACAGAGGCATGTAGAATGTACTTGAAACACACAGAATCTTAAGTGCATCTGTGAGAATGAAATAATGAATGTGCCACACAGTGTTTTAAATACAAGAAACAGAAAAATGTACCTCAGGCAATTAGAAGAAAACCAGCAAATAAATGCACAACATAAGGCATGTGTGGTGCCAACATTTTTCAAACTGTACAGTGAAGGCAACAAAATACATTAACAATACATAAATAGTAGCTTACAAAATGATAACTTACTTCATTTGGGTTTTTTGCATGATCAGTTTTGCTACATTTTGACAAAAAGGTCCATACCTCAAAACCAAGTCTCCAGCCCCTGATGTAAGAGTACCTTTGTGACAAATCTGCTATGTTGCATACAGTATTTTAAAAAGAACTCTTGATAAAGAATCCAATACTAGCATATAGGCCTGTCAGTATTAACCAGAGAAAAGCTTTAATATGCTCTTTGTTTGTAAGTTAGTCTCTGATGCGGTATCTGTCATTTTCAAGATCTGTTTCAGCTTTGAGGATACTGCTGCTTATATTTTTATATGTGCCTGTGTCTATATTTAATATATACAAAAATAAAGTGACCAACTTCCATTAGCATGAGTGAAAGTTCTGAAAGTGTTACAATTCATTTCCTCCTCTTAACTGTAACAGATACTGAGGCACTGCTTAGCAGCCAAGGTGTGTGCATGTTTTTAGCAAAATATGTGTTGAAGTGGTTAATAAACATTAACTCCAGTAATATGATGTTCATGAAGGCTGTATGCAAAATGTTAGTACTTTCCCGTAATCTCTAATGTGAGAAATTCAATGGATTTTGCTACGGTTTATTGTCTTCTGTTCTGTTCTGATAGCATCTCCACTGCTATCCATTTCCCAAAACCTCAACAACTGTCGAGCATCAAACTCTGGTTTTGCCTTTGGGCAATGAGGGACGCATGACTACTCTGACCTCCTGTGTGCTATAACGCCTGACCTAAGGATCCCCCTTGAGAAATCCCTTCCACCCCTACATGGACATAGTGACTTCTAGTAAATACAGGAAATGGGACCTTGGATACAAAGTTCTTGTTGCAACAGAAACTGTTTTGTATTTTGTGGAATTCTATGTATTTTGCAAGCACCAAACCAAACGCAGACAGTTTGTCTTCCCATAACAAAGTTAACATGTAACATTTGCACTACTTTTAGGAAGAGAAGTGTGTGCTTATCTAGAAAAAACCTGTCAAAAAGCGACTTGCAAAGTCACCTTTGTGACCTCCATTATCAACATTACTTGATACTACTTTGATTACTTGATGCTACTGAAAAACAAAACTATTTTAAACTGAAAATACACACGGGGTGGGGGAAGGAGGAATCTTACAATGAGCTGGTCTATTTTTAGTACAGAACACCTTACCTTTGCAAAAGCAGTTAAATAGTTTCTGTAAGGCCCCGGTTCTCCATAGACATTGTTGCCAAATTCAAGATACACGTGTATTTACTCTGCTGCCAGGATTCCCTACCATCGCATTTAGAATTACAGCCGTGCAGTTTAAAGTCAGAATTTAATTCTGAGGTTCTTGGTAACACATCAGTACAGACATCATTGACAGGGAAAAAAGAGATCTGATCTCAGGCACTGCTGCAACAGTCGTGCTTTAGATGACTGTCTGTTGAAAAACAGATTCATACGCAGTTCACACTAAAGCACCCAGGAAAATACTTTTTTGGGTAGCGAGTGAGTCACATCTTTAAAAATGTACTTCTAATATAAACATGTTTTATAAATACTTCACATAAATTAAGCAACTGTAGAATACCAAAACTGCACAGACAGGATGGGAGCTCAAGTACCAGTTCAGTAATCTCAGGACTGTTTAAAAATTGAAGTTACATTTCCACACCTGGTATTACTTTGCAAACATTATTTATGCTAGCATTTTTTTTTTTAACTACATGAGACTATATGGCAGAAATAATGCATTATTATAAAGTGAATCTGCCACTACCCCTCTCTTAGTACCCATATGGTAAACCACATTATTTTGGGGGAAATCATTATATCAACCTTTGGCAAGAAATGAAGAGAAGATAAAAATCTGCCAGTAAATCCACTTTCAACAACAAATTGTCATTCCTGTTGAAGTCCTTCAGATCGCAGATTGGTTCTCAGCAGTCCTCAAGGTCTTGGGATGTAGGACAAAAACCTCCTCTTAAGGCAACTGAAGGCAGACAAGACTGTTGCTAAGATCACATTCTTGAAACAATGTTTTGCTGATCTCAGTTCAGGAAGGTACTTCAGTACACACGTAGACAGATAGCTTATTACATCAGTGTCGCTTTTATGGCTAACACGATGGTGACATAATACTGCTGAACATCACAGCCTTTGTTTAAAAATATTATGTAACAAATGTTAGTATAAACTGCTGTAAAACCAGAAATCCTTGAAGGCATGCAATTACTTCATACAAATACATGTAAACACTGAAGAGAACTCTCCTGGTAGTGGTTTGTGTTTCAGTGTGTGGCTCCACATGGATTGACAGAAGTCTGACAACCCATGTTATAACCTGTCACCTGGACCTTGAAAAGTGTCCCATCCGCACACATGCAGAGCTTGAAACGCAGCCAGTTCCCGTTATTAAACTGCTCCCCGTAAGAAGAACTTGGCAGTCGTGATGGGCTGACCATCACAGTTCCATTCAGAATAATGCTGTTTTCCTATTAAGGAGAAAAAAAAAATGTATAACTTCTAATTTAAACAAGGCAGGTTGGTCTTGAAAAGGACAAGCCGGTTTAATGAATAAGTGACATCTTTAGGATGGCTGCAGGCATCAACGGGATAAAGAAAGTACATACAACAAGGTTTCATTTTCTAATTAAATTTGTGAATAATGCCTCTGGATTTCTCCATTACAGTCAGCAATGTACTTTTCTATTCCAATGGCAGACTGAGATTGAGAGACAGCAGTAGTGGCTTTTCACTTTATAGACCTATTACCAAATGCAGTACATGTAAAAATATGGACATGAACTGGGAATCAGGGATTGAATTAATACATTAAATTTAGTCACACATGAAATGAAAGTGTATGTATCTCTATTTTTTTATCCTCTTCTAACCTTTTCCATCATTCCATATGCCCTGCAATCTTAACAATCTCCAAAAATCTTAAATGAATGCTGGCAAGTTATACTGCAGCAGCACAGGTGATAGTGTGCTCTGCTCCTCTGTCAAAGGTTGCGGACCCCCAGTAAAGCCTCCAAAAGAGAAGATTAATTCCCTTTGGTATTCTTTCCAGTGCAGATGCCAATAGCTTAGCTTTAACTGCATTGTGGGGTTTTGGCCTCTTAGCAGTAGTAAATCGTTGGTACCTGGAAACTACTGAACCAGTAATTAGCAGCAAAGTAATAAGCCACCTTTAGTGTGTGGTGTCCCTGCCCATGGCAGGGAAGTTGGAACTAGATGATCTTAAGGTCCTTTCCAACACTAACTATTCTATGATTCTGTGGTTCTATGAAAATCCTACTAAATACAGACTGCAACTAAACTTTAATGCAACACTACTTCACATAAAACTTGAAACTATATAAAGCTACATCAGTTCATTATCAGCCTGAATTTGAAACTAAGCTGTTCCCAAAAAAATGCTGATTTGAAATACTTACTGCTTTAAGTTCCATGTTACCCCCCATTCGAAACTCAATGGTCTTGCCTGTGATGAAAACACCTTCATTTCCCCGGACGATAGCACGGCCATCGACCTTTATGTTTAGATCACTGGTCGCATTGCTGGTAATCTAAGAACGTGACAAAACAAGTGTATTACAGAACAATGAAATTGTGTCACTTGGTTTTGTCTGAGTAATTTCAATTACCTTAAAAATTGCTACAATTTAATAAAAACTTCAATGTACTTTTTGCCCTTCTGCCATTATGCCTATGAAGTTTCTGCCCATTTTTAATTTTCCACATTCCCATTTAAAAACAAGGATTACTTAATTATGGAAGGTATGTAAAATAGGGTTTTTTTCCTGGAAGATACTGTCTAATTGTTAGCCTTGCAGAGAAAATACGAAGAAGAACTAAATTCTCTTTGTTCTTAACTGGATTGCTCAATGCTTCCTAAGGCACACTCAACCCTCTATAAAACCACTGATACTACTCTCCTAAAGTTATACAAAAGAACCATGCACTGTACTCTATGTGTAAAGCCTTTGTTCTGAGTAATGATATGCATGCAAGAAATTTTAGCCTCATATTAAGTTCAAAATTTTAAATGTACACACACTGGCATTTAGGCTTTTTATTTCTTTGACAAATATGTCACATTTAATGCAGAAACCAAGCTAAGAACTCATTTAACCTAGAAGCCATGAACTGACAGAACTCCTATAACACTGTAATTGTTCTCTATACTTGTAATAAGACTTCTGAAATTCTGATTGTATTACCATTTACCCCTAACAGAAGGAAAAAAAAGACATGAAATTCTGGTAATTATTTTGTAAGATCTTAAAGAAAACAGAGAAGCTTTTCATAGAAATTTGATTTCTGAAACAGTTATTCATGCACAAATGAGGAAATGCTTAATAAAAAGACACACAAGCCTAGTTGGCATGGTATCCCTCATACTGCACTCATCTAATGATGTCAATTTAATTTCTGTCCTAACTTTTTAGAGTGACTTACAATTTCAGAGCTGCATTTTTAGCTACATTTAGACAAAATTCTAAATATGCCTGAAAAATTGGATTAGTAAAGTTGTTTTTTCATTACTCTACAACTCTAAGGCAATTCTGTAATGAACTTTTACAAAAAGTGCTAGTTAAAGGGGACTTACCCTCTCTGTAGAAGCCTTCTGTACATTCAAGATTTTAACTCCATTTGGCAGATGAAACTCATGAGTTTCATAGTCTGTGCTGAACAAGGTATTTTGCGTCCGTGGGTCAACAAATTCCATGCCAATATCACTGGTAATAGAAGTTTTGTCTTTTTCCACACTAAGCTTGGTTGTTCCTTGCTGAAATACAATCTTCAGAAACAAAGTCATGAAGTTAATGATGTCTGAAGTGTAACATTTATTCATAATGTGAGTGCAATACCATAGTGTTGCTCACAGATTTTCAATTCATGATATAACTTACAGGCTGATTATTTCCAGTGATCACCAAGTCTTCGTTACGTCTGCCTCCTACAGTGCTTTTATACAAGGGATGTATAACACCCATGTCAGAAACTTGCTTAAACCGCAACAAGCCACTCTCATGGAACTCCATACTGTCACAACCATTGGGACCGATGTGAATCACTGCCCAGATAACCAGCGTGATCTGAAAGAGAAACATGCATTTTCAAAGATTACTTTGACCCTCTGGATCTCCCACAACAGGTATTGTATTAACTAGATGTTTTATCTGAAATAATTATTAATGCCAGTGTTTCAGTGAGCTTTGGGTGTGAATTTACTTTAGTCTGTTTAATTCATACTCGAAACATCAGAACATATTTAATTATGAAAGGCATTTTACACGATTTTTAGATTCATCTGAAATGGTAGCTAAAATTTTTCTCTCTCTAATATATATATATATAAACAAATATATATATATATATATATATATTTGAAATAAAACATGTCCATAAAGCAGCTGAGCTCAGGATATGCTCACCCTTGAACTACAAGAAAGCACCTTCACAGGTGGATGTCAAGTTATGAAAAATAATTCATTACTTGTCATTGATCAAGCAATAAAAAGGTGGTAATTACAACAATGAGAATTTAAAGTACACTAGGTGGTTAATTCTGAATGCTCACATACAGTTCTGTTATTATATATAAAATATTTCTGGCATAATAATTTATCCCAAATGCATTTGAACTACACTAGTAACACTGCATATTTGCTGTTATTCAGTTCTGGGAATGGAGAGCTGCTTTCAAGGTTCCTAATTCTGTGTTGCATAAATAGTAGGTTCCTTACTGGGACCATGATAACTGAAATGATCAGGACTGAACTTGAAAGATTATTCCATCTAATCTTGCTCAGATTACAAAAAAACAATAAAAGAAAGGAGAAAAATGAGAAATTTCCTTCAGTACATTTTAAGCCTTTCTCATCCATATGGGAATATTTATTTCTCTAGTAAACTGTTAAAATGAATTATGTCTTAAGGTTGCTTACAGCCAAAATATTATACTCACAATCAGATTGATGACAGCCAAAATAAAAAGAAGAACAATCACACAAATGGCCAAGTTGCCTTTCCTGCCACGTAACCCTGTCTTATGGAGACGGTCTTCATCAATTGGGATGTATCCTGCTTTAAAATTACTGTTGTGCTCCTTATTAATGTTCCTGCGTTCCACAGCCTTCTCTCGCATAGACTTCTTCACTGGGCCATTAGAACTTTGCTACAATACAAAGCATGGAGAGGCTGTTAAAATGACACATATACGTATGCAAAAAATATAAATTTGAATCGAGTACTGGAATGTATTAGTTATTATGTTCAATATTTAATTTCTCTCTGACACTCTGTACTTAGAATACACGTTTACAATCACTGCAACCTGTTAACGCAATGACTAAAATTAAACCCCAGATATTTTTAGACAATGTATGTTTCTGTATCTCATTTTTATCATGACAGATAGGAATTATTAATGACATTGTTGCAGTAAAAAAAAAAAAAGAAAGAAAAAAGCTGTAAAGAGCTTCATCAAGTTTTTACCTCTCAGGGATGATACAGGACATAATCCTGCTGGTCATTTACCAACGCACAGGATTGTAGTTCCCTCCGTGCGAATGCAGGATAGACTCTCAATAAGCCTATCCAAAAGGCAGGTGGTGGATACAAATAGTTTGACAGCAGATGGTTTGCATTCAACAAGTATTTTATTTTGTATGCAGCATTAAGAAAAGCTTCAAACTTGGCCAGACTATCATAAATTTAATCATTTGAAGTTACTAGATTGCAAGGGATATCCTGTCAATATACCAAATCAACACATAGAGGAAATTCTTCTAGATACTAGGGAAAATAAATCTTTGATGTATTTTTGTTACTGTCCAAAATTTTGTTGCGCCTCTGTTGAATGGAACAGATTGCTATTCAAGGGCTCAATTCTTCAAAGAAGGCGCTTGATCTTCTGATGTGATTAAGTTTGTTAATCTGAAATGAATCCTGAAGCTGCGCCTCAAGCTTACTGCATTTGCGTGTGTCTATGCTGAGGTAACAGGTAAAAACGTCTTGTTATCTTCTGTTGATGAGGAACAAGGAAATGGTTTTGAGAAAGGTGCTTGACTGGAACAATTTTATGGAGTGCTTCTTCAGTGATGATCTGGAAGCCACTCTAGCCCTGCTGGAACTCAGAATTGGCTAGGCAAAGAAACTGAAAGAAGAGGGAAAAGGCAATGGAAATCGTGTACAACAGAACAGTATCTTGTCCTGAGGGCAGTGTGTTCTTGAAAGGATGTGATGCTGAGCTAGAACTCCAATGTTGTTTTTTACCTAGCAAGGCAGCACCATAGAAGACAACACCAGGACTGGGAGAAAATGCTTGAAACAGTGATAGCTGGAACAAGTGCTGGAGCATCCATGCTACGCTAGGCAGTGCTTCCTACGGCACACGAGGCGAGGCTGGGTAGGACCACTCAGGAATCTGGTACTTTATACCCACTGCTGCCACTGGCGCAGATGCACAGACTCACTCGGATTGAAAATCCCGTGCAGATAGATGCTCCTGAGATGGGCCCTTGAACAGCTCGGTCCTGCCCGCTGCGGCGTGCGCGGCGCTATCCCGCCCCTCGGCGGGGTGACAGTGACACCCCTTCGGGCGAACTCAGCGCTCGCTCCGTGTGAGGCCTCGGAAGCTGAGCCCGAATCTCACTCAGCTCCAGGCTTACTTATGCCCTGCCGCCGCGTACCGTGCTTCTGCCCCTGTAACAAGAAGCCTCACGCCGCACTCCTATAAATACCGGCCGCGCTGACCAGCTGCGATCCGCTCCACCAACTAGCGGCAAGTGCCTATTTACGCAAGATATCGACATTCCTGTGCACAAACGCCACAACACTTTATTTCTAAAACATCAAGTGTTTTCGTTGACAGGGATTCCGCGGGCTGGACAGCACAAAGCAGGGCTGCACCGCAGCGACGGGCTCAAGAGGCCTCTCCCCGCAGCAAGGTAAAGGCCGCCCGTCCCTGAAAGAGCTCGGCACGGGTCGCACACGCCGTTTCTCCCCTTCCCGCCTGTCACAAGTAGCAGGGAACACGGACATGGGGGTTGCCGTCCGCTCGGAGGGCTCCGGCACAGCGCCAGCCTCAGCTACCGCCGCAAAAACGGCGCCCCCGCCCGACCGCCCCCTCCACAAGCAGCGCCCCTCGGCCGGAGCGACTGCTCGGGCGGCGAGGCTGGGCCTCGCTCTTCCCTCGCCCCAGCGGGGAGGGCCCCACAGCCTCCCCGTGCCTGCACCTCGGCCGGGACAGACCTGCTCGGAGGCGGCCGCCGCCATCTTCCTCCTCCACCGCTGCCGCCGGCGCCTCTGCGGAGGAGCCCGCGGGCGCCCCGTTGCGGCGCAGGGAGAGAAGCGGTCGGGGCGGGCTCACCGCCGGCTCTGCAGCTCGTTTTCCGGAGGCGCCCCTTGGCGGCCGATGTCGTGCTGCCCTCCGGCCAGGCTTGGCCGCGCGTTACCGCGGCAGAGGCGTGCGCTGCCCGCGTCGCCATGGCACCCGCCGACGTTACAATCGCCACAATAAAAGCGGCGTTGAGGAGGCGTCCCCCGGACCCGCGGGCGGGCAGTATCAGCTCCCCTCCACCCTGCCCAGCGCCGCCCGCTGCGGAGGGCGCCCGGGGAACCAGCGCAGGCCATCCAAGCCCCGGGAGCCAGCTGACAGCCCGCCATGGCGGACAGCTTGAGGAGGTTGGTCCGCGCGGAGAGCGGCCGGGTGCTGCAGGAGAAGCTGGAGAACTGGTACCGGAATTACGAGGTAGTGGGCCCCGGCCGGGAGGGTGCGAAATCCGTGTCCGCTGTGCGGAGGGAGGCCTGCCTCACCCACCCCGCGGCTCTCGGGGGTCCGCCGGGAGCGGCGCCGTTGCCGCTGTGGCCGGGCTGTGAGGCCTGTTTCCGCGGTGACGGCGGGACGCGGAGCGGCCGTGCATTGAGCACGGCGCAGCCGAGCCCTGCGGCCGGCCGAGGAGAGCCGGTTCTAAAGGCTGTTTTGGGACATCGACCCTCACACGCACACAGTTATCACGGTTTTAACAGCCGTGGCCTGTAGCAGTCGCAGCTGTTTTTATCGCCTGTGACAGGGTTCACTGAGAGCAAGGGCTGGAGGTCAAAAATGATATTTGAGCTGTAATGTCTGGATCAGGAAAGTATTTGTGGTAGAAGACCGACAGATGGAAGGACCAGGAGTGAGGCTGTGCTCTGAAGGAATTGTCTGTGGCCTGGAAACAGCCAGGAAAATGTGAGGAAAAGGATGTTGAAGGTGAGAATGGAATTCAGCTTCCGAATATTCCCAGCTCTGCTGGGTGGGAAGCCTGTTAGAGCTGAGAGGCTGCTGCAAGACAGCACAGCTACTGAAAGGCTTTCAAGGAGGGAATGTCCTGTTTGCAGCTGGGGGTTAAGTAACAAGGAAGCAAGTGTAAGGAAATAGTTGCAGGCAGGAGTAGAAGGATGCGGATGGATTTCATGGGATAAATGGAGGAGTAAGAGGTAACAGGAGATTGAGGAATCAGAAGAGATGAAGCGGTAGAGAAGGTGCAAAATTAAGGAAATATGAGTGGACCTGAGACTTGATAACTGAATTTTCTCAGCGGAAAATCGTCACAGAGTTCCCACTGCTGTGTCCCCAGGTTTCATTAGCTTCAGGACATGCATAGTTGATTTGGTCATCAGCCTGTAATCACCTACCCTGTGCTATGCTGGTGAGAAAAGGTGCTGAGCAGAGACACAGCCTTTCCAGGGAGGTCAATTCTTTTTATACTTCATGCTGCATAGGTGTTACAGCATATTAATAGCCAGTGCACCTCTTGTCAGGATTCACGACAAAGGACGGTTTTAAGGAGGAGTCTGAGGGTAGCTGGTAAAAGTACCACAAAATACAGAACACTAGAGGAGGTGGGACAGAAGTATGCATTTTAAAAGCTTGCAAATGGATGTTGGAGGTAGACTTTGGCATGGCAAAGCAACAGTGGGAGCTAAGCTTTCCACAGTAAGTGAGATGGGGATAGTCTTTTAGGTCTTGGGGAATGAAGAGAAGCAGTTTCAGGCTGCTGTGGCACAAGAGGAGCTGGCAGATGGAAGCACCATGGGCGTTATGTTGGTGTAATGAGCTGAACAAATGCACAATGCAGTGGTGTTCTGCCGGAGGTTAGCAGGGTGAGACTGCTCCTTGAGGCCAGAGGAAAGCATGTTGCAGCAATCCAAATGCAAGCTGACAGGGGCATGAGTGGGAGTTTTATCTGTTTTGGAAGCTTGTAAAAGCCATATGGAGCCATTACAGCCTGAAGACTTCGAGGGTGATCTGCTTTGAAGATGATGAACAGATTATGGGTAAAGATTAAGGAAGCAGGTGCAAAGTGTGTGTTTCCCTGGCAGGTGTAGTAGCCTCCTGGACAGATTAACCCTATCAACTCCTTTTCAGAATCTGCTGAAAGTGGTGTAGTTCTGTTGGGCTGTTGTTTCATAGGCATAATCCTAGATTTTGCCCATTCTTCAGTACTATTTCAGCTAGCAACTCTTAAAAATCAGATGAAATTGCACGGAGGGCGCACATGGCTGTTGGCAGAGAAACATAATAGTCTTATATGTATTATTTCAGCTAATATAAAAAAAAGAGATTTTTAGGCAGCCTTTTCACCCAACAATCTCCTATCCTACTATTTTAAAATGTCTGTGTTGAAAGATTCTATCACAGATCAATAATAATTTTAGAGATACTTATGGTTGCATCTTCTTTATGACTGGAGAAAGGGCTAAGTTTTCTCAAGTAGTGAGTTAGCTGTGTGATACAAGTCCTGGTATCTTGTTTGTTTGCCCATTAGCAATGTGAACACTTTGAAGATGAGTATTCTAGTGGGTGCAATAAGAAAATGTTATGGAGATACAGTTTTTTTGGGGGGATATAATGATCATAATAAGAATAATTTTAAGAAAGCCCATACAGTGTCTTAATTAATTCAACTAAATGTCATTAATACACATTAATTTACAGTTTAATTCCTGTGATCAAAATCTGAACCGATGCTGTGAAATATTAGAACTGAGCTCTGAGATTCAAGGGCAGCTCTTCGCAATCCTCAATGAAACATCTCGAGAAGGTAATTCACTGCCTTCTCTTATTACTACTAGCACATTTCACATGTGTCATCTTGTCAAAGTCTGGCTCTTTTTGTAAGTGTTCTCACAATTTCTTTATGTATTTTCTAAGGTGGGCAATATGCAGGTGTGGAAACAATCAAAACTCGTCTCCTGCCACGACTAACACCTTGTTTTAGCTGCTCATCAGGAAGGATCTTTGAAACCACTCTCACTGAGGTATGTAGGAAATTTATTTTAGTGCAATAGAATGGTGTGAGTTCATACCAGGATGAGAGCTTTAATGACTTTCTGTTAATAATAGCCTTCCTCCCTGATTTTGCTTAATGAAATACACCCTTAGCTGCACACATGGAGACAACTGTGCTATTTCTCTGTCCCATGGTAAGTTTCCTTTGAAAGGGAAATCAAAGATGCCATTAAAGTTACTTTTGGCCTTCTAGGGCTTATGCTGTTTCACAATAAGTGACAATATGCATGAATTTGCTTCGTTAGGGAAGCTATGTTCTTGTACTGCTTTCATTTTCTAGGTAAAGTATCGTGCTACATTTACATTTGTAAAAATATTACAGAAGTATTTACATCATACCTCTATTAATAAAAAAACCTAACACTGAAAAAATGTGTAAGCTGAAAGTGTGTATAAACCCCATGTGTTCCTGTGAGTTGTCTTTTTAAGGAAAAAAAAAAGTAAAATAAAATCTTTGTTTAATGTGTGAGCATTATAATATCTCCATAAGGCAAAAAAAAAGTGCTCATGCCCATCATAATACCACCACACATCTCACTTGATGTTTGGAGTAAGATTTTGATACATATTGAAGGAGTTGTTTTACTAGCATTTTGGCAGAAAAGACAGATCTGTTGTGGCTGTGTGCTTTGAAAGAAAATGAGAGTGTTGGTGGATGCAGACTAGGGGAAAATATTGAAGTTCTTGATATTTGACAGTGATGCCTCCATGTTCTCATTTTTACACCTCTTTTATCAAAATTTCACAATTAAAATTTCACACAAAAGAAAATATAAACTGTTATCCCTTAAGAGTAAGGTTCTAGTGTATTGAAGGAGTAGGGTTCTGCAAAAAATACCAACCCCAAAGTGTACAGTAATAATGTTACTAAATGACAGTACACCTGTTACACCAGTTGCAGAGTTGTCATTGCATGTGACATTCAAAACATAAAGAAAACCCTACTGCACAGTTACCTATTTAATTCAGCAGCATCAAGCGAATCTATTGGCTGCTAAAGACAGAGCTGCATGTGTAGTAGTGTGCTTTCTGGAATGACAGTTGTTGCCTCCTCTTCTAAGAAGTTTTTCTGTTAGTTTGTGTGCATGCATTCCCCCAAACTTTACTGAAGTTGGTGATATAATGAGTCAGAAGATGACTGGCTGAAAAAAAAACCCCAACCCCAACCAACATGCAATACATCTGCAAGAACACTTACTTAAAATGATGTGTATAGAGATAGTAAATCTGCATATGCAGGCCTTGTCTATCATGAGGCGTAAAAGAAATACTGTTTCCTAATGTAATTGAGTCTTTGTTTTGTGTACTGGAAGGTATTGGTTATGTTTCTAGAAGGTATGCAGTTGCTTCTGTTTTCAGTTATTTTAGAAAGGACCTTGACTGAAATGTTCAGAAATACATCTGGTAATAACACCATACTACATTGCTGAAGTGTTCTCTAAGGTGGAGCATTCAAGCAGTGTGATTGTGTTTCTTTGTAGGATTTAACTGAGAAAGAGAGGCAGCTGAGAGAGCTGGCCAGCAATCAGAATGTTCAACTGCAAGAGCTTCGGAAGGAACTGACTTCAACTCGTCTAAAGCTCAACCGAGTGCAACAAGAGTAGGGGAATTAACTGTTATTCTTGCTGTTTGTTTTTTGTTTTTGAACAAGCTATATTTTTCTCTTGGCAGCTAAATACTGACAGATATTGTTTTAAAATGCTTCATTTCTGGCTTAAAATCAGAGCTTTAAAACACACCTAGGCTCTGGATTGTCTGTGTGTCCAAGGTGTGGTAAAAATGATAGAGACATACCTGCATTCATAAATTGAGGTGGTAGGTTTTGCTTCTAGCAGAGGAGTTGGAAAGCATGCCAGTATTGTAGGTGAGAGTTTTCCGTAATGCACGGCAATCCAAGTGAAATTATAGTCAATGAACTATTGCATGCTGAGCTAACCTTGATAAAAATCAAGTACCTATGTGTATTTCTGCCCTCCACTGTAAAGAATTCCTTCCATATATCTAATCTAAATCTTTTTTCTTTCAGTTTAAAACTATTAGCCCTTGTCTTATCTGTAGCACAGGGATAAAAAATACAGTCTCAGACTTTCCTATAAACACCCTTTAACTGTTGAAAGGCTGCAAAAAGGTCTCTCTCTGAAGCCTTTTCTCCAAGCTAAACAACCCTACCTCTCTCAGCCTTTTCTCATAAGAGAAGTGTTCCAACCCTCTGATCATTTTTGCGGCCCTCACCTGGACTCGCTCAAGCAGGTCCATGTCTGTCCTGTACTAGGGACTCCAGAGCTGGATGCAGTCCTCCAGCTGGGGTTTCACGAAAGAGGAGCAGAGGTGGAGAATCACATCTGTTAACCTGCAGCTCACATTCCTTTTGATGCAGCCCAGGATGTTTGGCTTTCTGGGCTGTGAATGCACATTGCCAGCTCATTTCTCTTTTTTCACCTATTTATTATCTCCAAGTCCTTCTTCAGAGGGCTGCTCTTAATCCATTTTTAAGCCAGTCTGTACTGGTACTGGTCGCTGTCCTGGCCTGGGTACATGCACTTGGTCCTGTTGAACATTGAGATTCACATGGCCCCACTCGTCAAGCCTATCAAGGGTCGTCTGGGTGTCATCCATTCCCTCTAGAGTATCAGATGCACCACTCAGCTTGGTCTCATCCGCAAACTTGCTGAGGGCACACTCAATCCCACTATCAATGTCATTAATAAAGATGCTGAGCAGTACCAGTTCTAGCACAGACCCCTGAGGGGCACTGCTTGTCACTGATCTCCATTTGGACATTGAGTTGTTGACTGCAACTTTCAGGTCACAGCCATCCGACTGATCACTTACACATCAGTTAGTCCATCCATCAAATCCATATCTCTGCAATTTAGAGACAAAGGTGTTGTGTGGGACTGTGTCAGAGGTGTTATAAAAGACAAGGGAGATCAGTTGCTCTTCTGTTATTCACCAACAGACAATATTAGTATCTGTTATGTCTCATCTTGGATGAATGCAAGCATTCGATTTTTCAATATCAAAAAAAGTCTCTTAGGCAACTCTGGGTGAGTTGGAGATCAGTGCATCCCCCTGAAAAGAAGAGGACAAAACCAATAAATCTTGTGATATTGCTGTAAATATTAAATGTCAGAAGTGACAAGATGGGACAGAGAAAGACCCCACAATGTTTGGAAGAAGAAGGTGGTTTTGTTCTTGGCATTTCAACTTGGTTTCCCAGGATTAGGTAATCTTGCAAAATAACTCCTGCCTGGAAGTTTTAATAAGCAAAGGAGTTTTCTGTTAATATTTCTAACAATAGCGAAGAGTTACAGGAGATAGGAGGATCTTATAAATATACCTGAAACAAGGTGTGTAAAGAAGACAGGGCCAGGCTATTTCCAGTGGTACCCATGACAGACCAGAGGCAACATACAAACTGAAATAACTGAGGTTCTCTCTGAACATCAGGAAATCCTTTTTTAACCCTGGCTGTGACTGAGCACTGTCGCAGGTTGCTCAGGGACACTGTGGACTTTTCATTCTTGGAGATATTCAGAAGCCATCTGGACATGGTCCTGGGTAATCGGTTCTAAGTTGCCCTGCTTGAGGAGCCAGTTGGACCAGACAACCTCCAGAGGTGCCTTCCAGCCTGAGCCATTAAGGTGGTTCAGGTGTATATAAGGGTCGGTTTAGGGGTGAGACATTTCATTCTGTGCTCCTGTATGGATAGAAAGAGGTCATTTAGTGAGCTGGAGAAAAGTGTCAGAGGGTCAAGGCAAGAGGTACTTACAAGGAAAGTTATTCAGGAATACAGATTGGAGTCAGCATGTGGCAGTTCACAGTACAAGAAAGTCATTTTGAACTAGCTCCCTTGAGAAGCAGGAAATTGCTGATAAAACTTTTGTACAGCTTTGTGCATTGTATTTCTCTGTGCACCCAGGTCAGGGAGGTGTTGGCTGTGGTTTGCAGAAGTAGGAGTCTGGAAGGCAGAGGACTGGGAAGAGGTAATTGTTGGAGATGAAATAATGTAGAGGTTTCAGAGCTCATCCTTTCAAGGTGATGCTGTATGGAGTTGTGGTGGTGTAGTTTTTGGCTTGCAGGGAACAGGTGCAGGAGAAATAGAATTCACGTCCCAGTGAGTGGACCCCATGTATGGACACTGAAGTCATTCTGAACACTGTAAATTGTTGAAATGGATGGAGAAACTATAATAGAGTCATAATGAAAAATACTGTTTTTTCATAAAATATTTCTGTTATTGCATAGTCAGATATAACTTTTCATAAGCTATTTGTGTGCTGATAGTCTGCACAAAGCCCACTGTTTAGCTGGCACTCTACATTTGCATCTTCTGCCCGGAAGTTCAACTTCTGACTGAAGCAAAGTTGCTATTTTTCATGTGCTGGGAATTATCTTTACAAAATTTGAACCCTATTAATTGGGTGAAATCAGAATTGCATAGTCTTCGCCTGTTTGTCAAAACCAGAATCAGAATCACAGAATCACAGAATGGTTTGGGTGGGAAAGGACCTTAAGACCACCTAGTTCCAACCACCCGGCCATGGGCAGGGATGCCTCACACTAGGCCATGTTGCCCAAGGCTCTGTCCAACATGGCCTTGAACACTGCCAGCAATGGAGCATACACAACTTCCTTAGGCAACTTGATTCAATGCCTCATCACCCTCACAATAGAGAACTTCTTCCTTATATCTAACCTGAACTCCCCCTGTTTAAGTTTGAACCTGTCACCCCTTGTCCTGTTGCTACAGTCCCTGATGAAGAGTCCCTTTCTGGCATTCTTATAGGCTCCCTTCAGATGCTGGAAGGCTGCTCTAAGGTCTCCACACAGCTTTTCTTCTCCAGACTGAACAGCCTCAACTTTCTCAGCCTATCTTCATATGGGAGGTGTTCCAGCCTCATTGCCCTCCTCTGGACTTGCTGGAACAGCTCCATGTCCTTTTCATGTTGAGGACACCAGAACTGCACACAGTACTCCAAGTGGGTCTCACAAGAGCAGAGGGGCAGGATCACCTCCTTCAACCTGCTGATCATGCTCCTTTTGACGCAGCCCCAGGATACAGTTGGCTTTCTGGGCTGTGAGCGCATACTGAAGCCGGCTCATGTTAAGTTTCTTGTTGACCAACACCCCCAAGTCCTTCTCTGCAGGGCTGCTTTGAATCTCTTCTCTGCCCAGTCTATAGCTGTGCCTGGGATTGCTCTGACCCAGGTGCAGGACCTTGCACTTGGCTTGGTTGAACTTCATGTGGTTGGCATTGGCCCCCTCACAAGTGTGTCCAGGTCCCTCTGGATGGCATCCCTGCCCTACAGCGTGTGAGGTCAGGACTGATCTGTGGCACTTAGGGCAGGGTTATTATTTTTTTTAAATAAGGAACAGTTTGCCAGGAGTGTCCTTTGCATCTGTGTAATTGTGCTTTTTGAGACTTTGGAATAGCTGATAACCTCTTGTCTGTGTTCTGTCTCATACTTAATGCATATTTTGCTAGACATCTTAGTCTCCTGGGTTATTCTGTGTAAGTACTGCTCAGCAGTAACTGAAACATCTCTGTGTTATCAACAGTTTCCAGCACAAATCAAAAACATAGCCCCATACCAGCTACTATGAAGAAAATTAACCCAGCCAAAATCAACACAGAAACATTCCTTTTCAGCAGCAGCTTTTCTCATGTTTACTATATGACAATGAAAGAAGCAGGTATTTTTGCTGCCTTCAGTCTGTCATGTGCTACCCTATTGTGTCCTTTTTTTTTCTTTTTTTCTTACCCCTTCTGATAAAGGCAAACCCACAGTTAAGCATCTGTTTGTAATCACTATCTGCTGTCATGATGGAAAGATGGAAGCTTTGTGGTTCTCACAGCAGTGAGATAAATGTACCATTAACTTTCAAGAAAAGTCCCCATGTGAATAGGGGTAAATACCAAAAAGAAAATAATACAGCAGTGAAATGGTTATTTCTTATTTTTCCTCTCTGTTGTATAGTCATTAATACTGCATTGTCTGTCATGGAAATTTAAGGGAATAATATACAGCGTGCTGTGTATTACATAGGGGTTTTTGCTTTTTTTTTTTTTTTTTTTTTTTTGGTACCCAATGGTTTTCCACCATTTCTATCTCAAGAACTCATCTTCCCAAATCTACTTTCCTTTCCCACTTGTTCTGTAGATTAGAATTCTTTAGCCCTTACTAAAGGACAGAGATAAACTTGCTTAACTGGTTGCCTGCCAGTGTTTAAGAAACACTGCTTCTCTTGAAAGCAGGAGAGGAATAGTTAGCTTTTGATATTACTTGAATAACATAGTATCATAGAATAGTTTGGGTTGGAAGGGACCTTCAAAGGTCATCTCTCATTGGTGATATCCTTTGGCTGACTAATACATTCTAGAAAAGAAAAAAAAGCCAAATCCAAGAGCCTGATATAAGAAAGTATCTAGAGTCTTAAACTGTAGGAAAGGAAATTGAGCTGGTTTAGTTAACATCTTAAATATGAGAAGGAAACCACTTTTTTCTTAGACCTCATAATCTGAACTAGAACTAGTGCAAGGACACCAAATGCCAATCAGTGATGGCCCCTGTAACACAAGGTGGAGTGTGTCCAGTCTCCTGCCACAATACACTTTTACATTTTAAAGTGTGATTAGGATTAATGATTTAGGGTATATTTTTTTAACTCTTGATTTGCCTGTATTTCAGCATGTGAAGCTTGCTCAGTATTTCATATTTCTCCTTTTTTTGTTCTTTGTATCTGGTGAGGATTAATTGACAGATGGTTCCTTCTTTGGTAGAAGGACATCTTGTGACTGACTTTATTCTGTTTGGTTAAGTCTGAAGCTTTCCCGTGCCCAAGAGAAGGATGCCCAGAAGAAGTTAGATCGTCTGAACGACTATGAGCATCAGATTCAAATGCTGAAGGATAAGATTTCTAGCCTGGGTGCCGAGAGGTCTTTTCACCAAAGCAGGTAGAGGCGTTATTCAGTACTTGGCTGTACACACTTTAGGAATTACTTTAATTTTATTGTTCAGGCTCTGGCCCATAAAATGTATTGACACAATTGCCTTCATATTAAACTAACCAGCTGCAGCTTTACTACTTTAATTATGTAATCTTAGCCTACTCTGGTAATAATTAAACTGAAAGAAAGCTGTGCACATGACAAAATCATCTGAGGATGGTGATGTGGCCTCATGCTTCTTTATATGTCTGTCATAGGCTTGCACAGAGGCGCTCTCCTTCCCCAAGGCACAGAGAGAACAAGTCACTCAGTCCATTTCCCCTGAGGAGCCACTCACCTGGCCGAGCCAGGCGCACAAACGCTTCCCGGCGTGCTTGCTTGATAACTCGCTTTAGTGACATTTATGATCATAGACGCTTGGACGCAGAGACCTTTTTAAAGGCATACATCAGTGACGTGGAGATGGTACACAGGATAATATACACTGCAGCTGTGGTAAGAAAACTAATCCTTGTTTTACAGGCCAGAAGGATCACAGCACCCCCATGCAATGTTACAACACTGGGGAAGAGTGGCTGGAAAGCTGCTCAGCAGAAAAGGACCTAGGGGTGCTGACTGACGGCTGCTGAACATGAGCCAACTTGTGCCCAGGCATATGAGGAGGTCAATGACACCCTGGCCTGTATCAGCAATAGTCATGGCCAGCAGGGCCAGGGCAGTGATCATCCCCCTGTACTGGGCACTGGTGAGGCTGCACCTCAAATCCTGTGTTCAGTTCTGGGCCCCTCACTACAAGAGGGACATTGAGGGGCTGGAGCGGGTCCAGAAAAGGGCAACGGAGCTGTTGAAGGGTATGCAACACAAGTGTGATAAGGAACAGTTGAGGAAACTGGGGTTGTTTAGTCTGGAGAAGAGAAAGCTCAGGGTGGACCTTATCACTCTCTACAGCTACCTGACAGGAGGTTATAGTAAGGTGGGGTTGGTCTCCCAAGTAATAAGCAATAGGACAACAGAAAATGGCCTCAAGCTGCACCGGGGGGGGGGGTTAGATTGGACATTAGGGAAAATTTCTTCACCAGAGGGTGATCAAACATTGGAACAGGCTGCCCAGGGAAATGGTGGAATCACCATCCCCGGAAGTGTTAAGAAACTGTGTAGATGAGGCCCTCAGTGATATGGTTTTGTGATGGTCTTGGCAGTCCTGGGGTAATGGTTGGACTTGGTGATCTTAAAGGTCTTTTCCAACCTAGTTGATTCTGTGATTTTATAAAATATTATGGCTGGATTGGATTACATGGTGTGTAAATTAGCATTTCTGTGAAGTATGGAGAAGAAAACATCTTTTTTACCTTTTGATTTTCCTTTCTTTTCCTCACACTTATACATCAAACTCTGAATTCAGTTCTGACTGTCCTGTCCCAAAATTAGAAGAGGGTCAGTGATCTACGCTACAGGTGTTAAAAGGGGTACATACGAAGACTGAATGTGCTGAAAGGTGGATGATTCCTGCACTAAACAACACTGCCTCATATGAATGAAGTCTTTCGGGAATACCACATTTTAGACAGCAAAAAGTCTTTCCATATGATGTTCCCTCTTGCCTGTAGCTATGTGCTTTTCTGATTTTATTTGGTCCCTTGAAATTACCTAGATACCTCACACTTCCTGAGAGCTCAGTCTGAAGAAACTTGATTTTTCTGTACTTAATATTCTGTTCTGTAGAACTGATGTAGTACATACCTTTGTCAGAGAGGCAGTGTGTTTCTTAAATGTGCTTGGGGTTGTACACATTAACTTACTGAAGGTTTTTTCCCACAGCTGTCATTCGGTTTACAGTTTCCAATTCAACCTTTCTTCCCAACAGAAAAGAGGTGCTCCTGTCTGTTGTGTTAGGCTGTAGCAAATAAAATGCTGTTACTGAATTCTGCTCTTGATATCTTTGAATGTGATTTCATTGATTGTGGGGGTGTGATGGAATCCCACATAAAAATAGAAGGTTAGGTGGGGAGCTTTTCAATCCCATCTTCTGCAAATAAATCACACTTAGTTTAACCAGAGAAGTCCTCACATAGGAGTACTATTTCTAACCTTCAATTTTACAGCAGTGTTTTATATTCCTCCTTACAATAGTAATATTGGATTAAGTTCATCTTCTCAGATAATTGTTAAAAAATTAATCTCAGTCTCCTGGATTTAACTAGATGTTCTTCATGTTTGCAGGAGTCTTTTCATGCAGCAAAGATGGCCTACAGGCAGTTCAAACTACGTGTAACAGAGACTCTGTCTCTCAGTCACACAGGACCTGAATCACTTGAAGATACTGTCCTAGATTATATAGTTGACCATGAGGATCTGTATGATGTTCAAGCCAGTGTCAATGTAAGTCAAGGGCAGTGGGGAAGTGATGTGTTAATCTATTTCAGTAGCTAATAAATTTGGAGTGTGTAAACTAGAAATGCACTGTTACCTGAAGAAGTAAAAGGTTTATTGCATTAATTTTATGTCTTGTAGCAGTTTATTTTCCACAATAATATTATGGTATGGCTCAGTAATCACTTATTTGCCCGTGACTATAATGTCTCTGTCTGCCAGAATAATATTTTGGACAAGATACACTGTAACTGTCTTAATCAAATGAACGTAAGCTAAATTTCATATTTTTCTTAAATTGTGTGCTCTGCTGAAGAGCAGCATCTCCCTTCTAAGATTTATGTCAATGATATAGCTCGTACCTTAATACCAAAGTAACAGCACATTCTTTCTGAAGCTAATATTTTCTGGAATAGCATAAGACAACATTGCTGGGAGCTTCTTATACTGATTTTTAAATGTAGAAAGTTGAGAGGTGTATTTAAGAGGGCTTTCCATACTTGCAAGTGAACAAAAGTGTTAGTGAGCTCAAAACCTCAATTGTTTATTTTCAGGAAGTAATTCGCTCCATGAACATCAACCCAAAGATTTCATTTCCATCAGAAACTGATTTCATTGTGATCAGCGCTTTGATTCGAGAGTTGTGCCATGTGGCTTTTTCAATGCAGACACTTGTTCCTCCTCTTGATGTTGCCTTTGGGATTGATGGAGAACTTTTCAGTGAGACCAAGTAAGAACTCCTTATTTTTAGTTAGATTTGTACTATTAAAAAGAATTCCATCAGGTTGCATAGCCTCTTCTTTCCTCATAAATAGAAAGGTTTAAGACTGATGCTGAACATTAGGTTTGGGGCACATGTTCATGATCTGTAGTGAATTTGGTATGTCTTTAAGGTTTGTGATGGTGTAAAAATGCCAGGATGTGGACCATTGTTAGCAGATTCTTTTGATGAATAACGAAGCAATTTCCTGGAAAACTTTGGTTTCTGGCTTATATTTAAATTATCATTTAAGAGGAAAATTTTCAGCTCTCCTTTCTCTGTTCAGTCTCTGTCTGCCTCCAGTGTTTAGAAAATGTGTGCATCTTTGTTCCTTCTTTCTAGCCCATTTTGTCAAAGTCATGTTAACTGAGATCTGACAGTTGGTGTCTGATAACAGGACCGTCAACATGTGTGCTGTGACTGCTGTACAACATATGGGTCTTAATACGCTTTTATCTCTTCTGGTTTAGAGCTGAGCAAAAAGAAAAATGTCATTTCAAAATAGGATTTTTTTTTAAAAATCCTCTCTATAAGGTCAGGGCTGGCTGCTTTGTTAGCTGGCAGAGAGCCATAGGGTACTTCCATACCTTCAAGAAAAATAAAGTGATTGACTGCTCAAAAAAAAAAAAAAATGCTTTCAAAAACAAGAAAAGCCATACCAATAAGGAGGTTTATAATACTAATACTAATGACGATGATGATGAAGATGGAACCCAGGTAAAGAAGAGCTTAAGAAGACAGAACTAAAATAGGGAAGATAAAAGTAGCCCATCAACAAGAGAGTGCAAAGTCATGTGACTGCGTAATGATGCTGTCCAAATACTATTTGATACCCAGAGCTACTGACTGAATTAAGAAGGCAGTAATGCTATGATATAGTCTTTGGATGCTTTCTTCACCTACTTGGTGTGTAGGGGCTTCAAAAACCAGCTCGAATGTGCTGCTGCACACATCAATCCATCTGTGTAGGTAAATATGTGGCATAAGTATGTTTACATGTGTAGCATATATATATGGTACACAAACATTTAGCAAAATTTAAATTAAAATAGCTCTGTTAGTTATGTCTGATAGGATTCCCTAAAAGGGCTGGCCAAACATCTCATACTTTATACCTTTCTCCATACAGAGCTTCATGCCTCTCTTTACAACATTGTTTTATATAATTTGCTATTGTATACTCATTACTAATGTATAGATACATTCATATCTTTTCTTTCAGCTATTTGGTATTGAGTTTGAATCCACAAAACCAAATATGTATCATTAGTCAATATAGCAGACTGAGGGAGATAATATATATGTCATGTAAGCACAGGCCTTCAAAATTATTTTTCTTAGCTAAAAAGTCACCGTTTTGTTATTTATGTCTGAGCATCTTGCTAATGAAATTGTCTCTCATGTGTTGTAAGATACCATGATGTAACTTTATAGTTGAGATAGAGTATTTCTGTAATATCCTTTATAGGGGTCTTGTTCTTGAAAGGTATTTCAGGAAGGTGGAATGACTATGCCTTCCAGAATGCTGCTCAGGAGATTTAATGTCAGTGGATGCAAGGGCTCTGGCTTGTGTGAGGCTTAGGCAAGAATATGTTCTAGTGGCCTTCTGAAGTGTGAGATGACTTTATTGGAGTATCTCTCAGTGTAAATGGTCAGCATATTCTGCTATGTCTGGTTTACAAATGCCTTTTTTTCTTTTTTTTTTTAAGGGTTGACTTTATACTGTTGTGATAGGGATATGTTGTCAAGAAAGATGTTTGGGCTGTAGCTGTGATTCTGCTTTTTATCAACATTGATGACTTGAAGCATATTTGTCTTTCGGCACTTACATGCAGACATTTCTTGTACCCTGTGTTTCAACAGGTACCATCGTAGTTTTGACTCTGATTTTACAGCTGCCTTGGTGGCCTATCATGTATGGCCTGCACTGATGGAAAATGATATTGTTATTGTGAAGGGAGAAGCAGTCACTAAGAGAGGAGCTCTGGTATGTACTTTTGTTAAGGAACATGCTAAGGGAAGTAATTGGAATTAAACACTGCCCTAAAGTCTAAAAAATATAGAGGGAACAATCAAGAATTTGACTGGGATTGTGTATATCAAATATAGTTAGGTTTTAGTGCTTTATCCTGTATTTAGAATGAATAGTTCCATTTGCCTTAATGAATTCATTGTGCAGATGTATGATTGTTGGCAGAGCCTGTTCTAAGGAGAAAGTTTGTGTTTACTCTCTGTCCCCAGGCCTTGTCTGCAGCATGGTAAGTCTGCTTCCTGAGTCTGCCTTTGTTAAATGCCCTCTTTCAAAAGGTTTGTCAAACTCTTCTCTTGTAGTGGTCTTGCAGAAGTAGAAGCAGAAACACAAACAGAAGCCGAAGCTGCAGTCGAAGCCGTAGCACCAGTCCTCTTCTAGCTCATCATGTAAGTCCCAGCTGAATGCCTGTAGTACAAACAGCATCAAGTATTTTAAACTCAGAAAGTAGGTCACCTTTTAAAAATGCTGATGTGCCATGTGTACATTTTAACACTGGGAATAAGTAAATGCCTTTGGTGGATCTGGGAGGAGGCAAAGCTGAACTGGCAGCATATTATACAGCACATAGTCCCTGCCTCCTGGAACTAACAATCTAAATTTATACTCTAATGCCTCTAAGGAGCAGAAAATCAGTGTAGGGCAGGAGGGGAAGAACTGAGGTGGTACGGGTACTAACATGATATATGAAACCTTACCAGACTTCTGCATGCATAATGTATAGTTACATTATATATTTAATTATTTCTGTAAAAATCATGTATATTTTTCTGATTCTTGGCCCATCTTATTAAATTGACATCAATTGACACAAAATGTGAGTATTGGAAATGTGAGAGGTTTTGGGTAAGACACTGCTTTGTGTGTGTAGGGTGTGAAAGAGAAACTAAAAAGTTATTGAATTTGGCTTTCTAGCAGAGAAGCTGCACTGATATACATGCAAATTTACTGAATGTTGATGGGTCCCCCGGTACCTTTCTTGGGTACAGTTCTTGAGCACACCTGAGTTTCCTTTTCTGTATGTCTTATAGTTGTCTCGAAGCCGCAATCCTTCACCACTGAGGAACAGATGCCCAAGTAAGTGGGCATAGTAGTTCATGACTCATGGTTTTCACATTAAGCCCTTGAATGACTGAGTAAGAAGACAACACGCTGAAGGTCTTTGACTCTAAAATACTAGCCTGAATGCTTACTTTTAAATTTGGTAGCCCCTTTCTTCCCTGTGTGTGGAAAAAGACTGCAGTTTCTGACCTGAAGAGAGCTGTTTTTTCACTCTACTCAGACCATTGGCATGAGTTCTGTCTTCTGGTTGCATTTATTGTGGCCCATTCTATAATAAGTAAAACTTGTTCTCTTCCCTATACAACAGACAGTCAGATGTATACCTGCTGGCTCCATGCCTTTCAAAATCCAGTGAGGTAGCTAAGAGGTAATAATGAAGTGAGGGATGTCAAACAGTACTGAATGTGTGCCCATCTAGAAGCCAAGATAATTTAGAGGTTTAATAAAAATGAGTTGTACTGAAATGTGTCTTTTTCTTCAATAGGGTGTTAACTGAATATGTTCCTATGATGCAGTACATCCAGATCCAACAACTTCACTGGTGCCTTCTCTCTTCAAGAATACCTCAAATCTCACAATAATGTGAACAGCAATTATCACTCCAAATGGAGTTTGTGTTCAGTGTGTTTTTTAGAGTTATAGGAGGCTTATTTATTATTTTATAAACTATTTTAATGCTTCTGATAAAAAAAAAAAGGTGCATGCAGTACAAGATCATACAGATTTGGCAAAATTTGCAGAGCACTGAGGAACCCACGCTGTAGTTCTGCATATGGAGATAGAATTACTGCATCTAGAATGTTTTATTAACACAGATAGCAGATGATACGGTTTATCTTGATGAATGTTTAATATAGCCTAAATCATTGATGATCTTAAAGGTCTTTTCCAACCTAGCTGATTCTGTGATTCTATGAATGTTGCCGTGTTGAAGTTTGAAAACAATTCCATTAATTGGTGCTTATTTACGATCGTAGAAAATAGCAATAATCTGAAGATGTGCCAGTTTCACACAGCATCCTTTTAAATATGTCCTTGCAGGAAACTGGATTTTCTGACTGCAATGTGAAAGTTGCACAGAACAGTACTCTAGCAATCCCTTCAGTTTTACTGACACTTGTTTATGAAGGCATGGGAGTGTGCATTTGGAAAGCCTTGTTAAATACATTGTTACATAGAAATGGATATCATACAAATTTATAGTTTGCAATTTGAAGTTTTTTGAAAATGTGCCACTTATTATTTGTAAGCTTGAAATATTTGCTTGGTTTGGCCTATTTGGTATAAATTTTATTGGACTTTCATACCAGAGATAGATTAGTAATTCTTGTGAACAGTGAAAAAATCTTGTTCAGTTATATCATCCTCTGGGTGCTTATTACATTTTAAGTGTGAAAATGAGACCTGTATAGATTTTATTCTGGCACTTTAAATAGTTGTGGTTTTCTTTTTCTTCCATTGTAAATGTTTGTTTTAATATCAGCATTTTTGTTTTCAAGAGAACTGATACTGTTTTTCTCAGAGCTTCACCTGTAGGGCCAACTTTAAATACAAGCCACACAAGTGGCTCTCTGGGGCCTTATTCTTTTGCACAGAAACATAGGTTTTGTCATAACCAAGGTGATGTGTAATTCACGAACTCCACTGTCTCATTCCAGTTAATAACTGATGCTTCAAAGGTATGTGGAGCTTTCCTCAGATTCATCTCTGCAGTTTTGGAATATGAACAATCAGAGGAGGACTATTTAGTCCTTGAAATAAAGTTACAGGAGCAGATTTCTGTGATCCTTTTCAGGGATCTTATGCAGATTTACACATCCATGCTCTTTCTCTCTACTTTTTGTGTGGCTTAAGACTTTAGCACGAGGCTTTTTGCACAGGATCATATTTCAGGCAGACTTTAACATCCGTCCCTATGAGCCATGGGTCAGCTGTGACTCTAGCTGTACGGATGAATTTTCATTGGAATTAAGCCCATTAGGAACTGATGAGAGGAAAATTAGGAATAAATTCTTTACTGTGGGGGTGGTGAGGCACTGGAACAGTTTGCCTCAGGAAGTTGTGGGTGTCCCATCCCTGGAAGTGTTCAAGGCCAGGCTGGATGGGGCTTTGAGTAACCTGGTCTAGTGGGAAGTGCCTCTGCCCATGGCAGAGAGGTTGGAGTTGGATGATCTTTAAAGTCGAAGCATCTTCCAACCCAAACCATTCTGTGGTTCTGTGCCCATGAGGTCCTGTACATAAAGATTCATTCACAGAGCTGCTGCTTTCAGAAAGGGGACACAAAGGCACATGCACCTTATGGTATACTTTCTTGTTGTCTAACTCATAAGTGAAAATGCAAAGCAATGTATTTCCTCTTATAAGAGCCTGATTGTTGGTCACAGATATGGGTCTGAGCTTTGAAGTAAACCTGCATATTTCTGCACTGATCTCATGACTAAAACCATCACAGTTCTGGAAAAACTGATCACCTACAACTTGTGTGGCAACAGAAGAAAATTTATATCCTGAGTATGGTTTTGAACAGAAAAATGAAGAATTTATCAGAATTTTATAATTGCCAAGGGCTAAGTGGGTGTAGGGTTTTTAAAAATTACCTTTTGTATGTTTGTCTTCTGCATGTAGTTCCAAAGACATGTCTGTGTAATGATTTTGAGTTCGAGTCAGTTTCCATACCAACTATAAGAAAACTAAGACTACATCAAGGCAGTATGTTTTTCTTGACAAGCATGAGAGGCAGGGTAGTTCCAGACTTGCACACAGCTGTGATGCCACTAGGAACTAGTATTCCTAAAGATTTAAAAGTGCCATAAAAGCTGAATTCTCAGTGCTTGGCAGACCAACTCATCTTACTTCCCAACAGGTACCTGGAGAACGAGTCAGTTCATGCTTCAGAGCAGAGCAAACCATTTTCGGTAAAATAGGAAGTCACTCCACAACATGGTAACACTTAATTGGGTGAACAAACCTTACCATACTCTGTACTCTGCAGCCCATAGTCTTTTTATAGGAATATACTGGTTTGTAGTGGTTTCCCTTTGTGGCTTATATAGAGCTAATTAAATCTATAGGTCAGATAGAAGATTGCTTTTGGTGTCAAGTTAGATGCTAACAGCTCCTGTGCTTCTTTTTATCCACACGACAACAGTGCAGAACATTTATACCAACAAAGATTATATGGAATTAACCAGCAAATGCAAAATAACTTATAAAAAGGGGCTTCTGTAATTGCTTGAAAGACCCTATAAAAGAATGGATCATGAATGTGAAACTGATGATTGATATTTTAGTGAGAGTTTTTAAAACCTTAAGAATTATTTTCTTTCTGGGTTTTTTTTTTTTCTTCTCTGTATCAAAGCCTGGATAATACCACATTGTAAATACAGCGAAGTAGAAACTGTAAGGGTGGATTCCAGTAAGTGACAAATAAAAAAGGCAGCAAAAAACTATTACAGGATAGTTTTTGATCATGATAATGCTGTTCTAAGTGTTAATTTCAGGAAGAAGAATGCTAGATTTTAAGCTAATTTAAACTCTTTGCAAATGGACAGATGGAAGTGAGACTTTTGCACTTCATAAAAAGCCACCACCTTTGGGCCAGGTGTTCATGTAGAACAGCACATTTTTGTGAGGGATTTTGAGATTGCTGGAGAATTTCTCCTGTGTTTAAGCTCTTTGAAGGCTGATTGTATCTGTCTCGATTCAAAGGCTGTCTGAGTCAGTCAAAATGTGTGGATGTTTTGTCACCTATTTCTGGAGAAAATACAATGTCATCAAAATGTCTTCAGTTGTCTTCAGTGTTTGCAGCTCAATAATAGACCCATGCAGAACTGGCAGAGACTGTGGGTAAACAGTTCAGCTATTTTTGCTACTGCACAATGAAGATTTAAAGTTGGAATCAATTTAGATAGATTCTTCCAGCATCCTGATCAGAGAAAGAAAGTTGGGAGCAGGAGGCTGGTGAAGTTCTCCAATCTAATCTCTCCAGCAGTTAGCTTTGGTGCTGATTCAGTCTTGTAGGAGGCTCTGGAGGTTAGTGGCAAGCTAAACCAAAAATACTGTAAAGAAAGTAAATGTGAAGGCAAAAAAAAAAATCACAGTGTTCCCTGGAAAACATGTGCCTGTATTTCTTCCAGGATTTGAGCCTTTTAACTTTACCTTCGTATTCTATGTGCGTACTGCAAAACTTTGTCATTCTGTAGGAGTGCCATCAGAATTAAATATTGCCTTTCAGCTTTATGCAGCCTTTGTCAGCTGATTGTTAACTACACAATGATTTTGTTACTGTAGTATTAAATAGTCTAGCTTTATGTTAAATAAAAATCTCTTCATTATGGCTTGCAGCTACGATGTTCAGATTCAATGTTTCAAGTTTCAAGAATATTGTATTTCTTTTAGTCATACAGCACACTAAACAAGCGTACTAAAGGTACGTATCATTTTATGTAGGTTTTTGATAGTTTAAAACAGCACATGTAAGCAAATCCGTCATGGGCTTTTGCTGATATACATGTGTGTTTATGTGAAAGCTGTACGTTTTGGTAGACAGAGGACAGAGTACTTGGTGTTATTTTACTGTTAACAGATAGAGGCATGAACACGAATGGGTGGTGTGGTTTTACTCCTTCGTGACTTTCAGAAAGCAACACTTCTGCCTTGCTGTTACCTTCTTGAAAGAAAAATGTCAGCCTGAAGGCACCATCTACAACTGTTAGTAGTGCTTCCTGTGAAATTGTTTTTTCCTAAAGGTCTTTGGCCTGGAAAGTTTTATGTTTTAAAATAAAAAAAATATTAAATACACATTTTAGGCTAATACCTTCTTTTCACAGTAGCTGGCATTTAGCTTTCTACATTAGAGCAATATAATCTATCACAAGCAGATATAACACTTCATAATCTGCATTCAGGATCTTCAGTGAAAACCTATCTCTGCTGGTGATACATGCACCTCCAAAACAGCATGGACAAGACAAATGCTATCTGGAAGCATCATCTGCTATTCACAGAAACCATTTTGCCCTGTTAGCTTTCATACAGTTTTAACTTTTTATGACTGACTGTTTTTGGTTAATACAAGATAAAGAGTTTAAAAAGTGACAGATATTTTTAAAGCTTTGACTGTTTTCTGGTAAAGTTGTATTTGGTACCTGAAAATCAGGAACTTTTTAAACGGAAAAATAAGGCAAAATATTGCAGTTTAGAGAAGTGATGCAAAGTTTGTTATATAAAATGACTCTACTAATTCTTTTGAAATATTAGAATAAGCAGTTATGTTAAATAGCTCACAGCAAAGATTTATCAGAATCTTGTGACACACAAGAAAAAATCAGAAAATATGAAGGGCTGTGTTATCAAATTTTGTCTGTTTCTTAAGGTCAAGCTTTGAGATTGCTTTCAGGGTATCTTGTTCACAGTATGATACTGCATTTAGTATGTGCTGTCCTTTTCACAAACCATTATTGTGTGTGCTTTATTGTTTTATGTGTCAACCAGAAATTGAACGTATTATTCTTTAAAAGCACTTTGCATGCCACAAGTATGTGAGTGATTACTATTCAAGTTGAGGTGTGTTGCTTACACGAAGGCATGTGAAGTATTAGGTGCTTCAGTGTGAAGACCTCCTCAAGGCATGTTGTTGCTGCCTTCAACTTTATCCTGAATATCACACCTTTGGCTCAGAAAAGGGAACTCTATTATTTCTACATGCTGCTGTAATTTGGTCAGGAATCTATCCAACTAAACCCAGACACAGGTAGAGCTGTGCCAGTCCTTTAATAGAGAAATGCAATTAGTATCTTCACTTCCAGTCAGTGGATGGTGTATTGCTCCACCTGATGAACTTGTGGTTTCAGTGAAGTACTGTCTTTGAATTCTTCAGTTTTTAAATCAGTGAAATGCATATGAAATTTGGAATTTAACCATTTTCAGTTGATTAACACCAGTTAGTACCTTATGTTTTCCTCACCCAGACAGGAATTTCAGGAATGACTAACTGCAATCTAAATAATATGTTCGTGTCAATTAGTCTGAATAAACAATGTGTTTTACACTAGTACCTCGAAACCGTTACTGTAAATTGGTTATTTTGTCAGAGAATTAATAAAATACCACATGTAAGCTCTTTGTGTGTTAGACTAACAGCACCTGCTCTGTTCTGAATTTAGCTTAAACCAAATTAAACCAGATCTCAATTGCTGTTATTGCAAATGGACATCTGAAGCCAAACCTCAGTGTGACATCTGTTCCTCTGTAAGCTTGTGGCCTGATTTGCTAATACTGCTGTAATATACTGCCACAATTTATTGAGAGTTGGGGTAGATTGTCCATCTCAGGAATTTTAAGCTTTGGAGTGCTTGCCTATTTTGCACTACGTGTGTGACAGTCCAGGGAAAGGGTCTAGAGCCTCATACAGGAAGACAAAATACATGGTTGTGACAGCTTGTTCTCATAATACTGGTATTATATAAATACCAATTTTATAATATTGGTGAGAGTGTACAAATGATAAATGAAATGACAGTTACCATTTTTCTTGATGCTTGGCTTCATTAATAATGCTGAACCAACAGCACCATGGAAGTACCAGCCTGAGATTCATACTTGAGCATGTCTTGAACCACTGCATGCAGGCTGCAAAAGAAAACTTGCTGTGAGCACCACATCCCGTTTAATTCAGTTTCTGGTTAATAGCTATCTGATAGCTTCAGAACTCACCACATTTGCCAGGGATCCAGAAAAGCAAAAAAGTAAACTTCCCCAGTGTTTGGATTTACCTTTATTTGCCCCCAAAGAAGCAGGTTGGCCAGAGCCCGGATGGGGTTACAGCCTGTTGTCATTTTGGCGGGAGAGCCCCCCCAGCCTCTGAGGAGTCATGGCAGAGCAGCATGGTGGCAGGGGGAAAAGCCTTGCAGAACAGGCTTGAGGCTGAAGCAGGCAGCTGGCTTTCTGTTGAGCACCTGCTGTGCGTAAAAGGAAGCCAATTTGGGCTGATCTGGTCCCTTCCTCACCAAGCAGTCGTGCACATAGAGCTTCCTGGTAGAAGCACGCTACTTCTACTGATGGTTGAAGAAACAAATGAACCCTCTGCAAGATGGATGGCATTTTAAACGTAAACAGGTTTCAACTGTTTGCTGGTGCGTGAAGTGCTGTTTGTGTTTTGGTTTTGTAGAGTTGGAAGGAAAATGCCATTAAAAAGGTAAAGAGGCACAAAATCAGACAACATGGACTGAAAATATCAATAGGAGAAGCACGGTTGAGATGTGACTGGCAACTGTGTGTGTTTGTGTAGCACACGTGTGGCACACCCAAGGACTCATAGCATGTACTTACTCAGTGAGGCTGGTTGTGGTGAATGATGCAGAGTAGCGTTGCTCGGCCTCCTACCCATAGGGCTTCCCAGGCTGGATCCAAACAGGGTGCTGGGGCCATGGTTTGTAGGAGAGCACCTCGGAGAAGAGCAAAAACCTTATGAAACCTTACCACAGTGCAGGAAAAGGCTAGTGGGCAAGTTTATGTGCTAACCTGAAAGAGCCAACTTAAAAAAAGAAAAAAAAACAAAACAGAAAAGCCCCTCAAAACGCCTACATCTTTGTTTTTTTAGGAGCTGTTTGTATGAGGAAAGGCTCCAAATTCCTCTGCTCACCACAAGGCACTAGGCAAGAGCATTTCCCACGAGATGGCACTATTGCCTTATGCACAGAAAAAGCAGGTTTTGGCTTCATCTGCAGTTTAAAAAGCTGATTGCCAAAGCGAAGTTTGCAAGTAAGTGTATAAATGTTACAGATCCGTGCAGTATCAACAAATGCCACATGGAGAGGAAGGTTGCTGCTTGATAAGAATATGCAAAGTCCTGACATAGGGGTGATGAGCATTGCTATTGATCCATTATTGGGAAAATGGTTTGGATTTAGGCTTTTTTGGGGTCAATTTTTCAGAATTAATGTGGCTCTCTAAAGTGATTGGTATTTACCCTGTCACATTCTGACTCATCTTCTCAAAGACCTTTTATTACAAAAAAAAGCCCCAAACATAACCCCAAACTGAAGATGACATTGAAAATGAACTACTTTTGCCATTTGTTTATTTTTCATTATTTCTGGTTCTTATTTACTTCAAGAAAATGTCAGCTTGCAAAGTTTTTATGTTGTAAGTGATCACTCAGTTGTGACGGTTGCCTGGCCACTTGCACCACTGGTCCTTTTGTCTATGTCTGAAAGAGGTGTGTTCCTAATAAATTCTGAAGAGTCTTGAATCAGAAACACACTCTCTCCCTTCAGCTGCACCTTCTGTTGATTTTTGCATCAAACACAGGGTCAGTTGCATCTCCTGAACCATCAGGGTACATCTGGAAAGAGCACTGCTGTCACAACAACTCCATTGTTAATCTTATTCATTGCTGCTTTAAAAACAAGCTTGTTTTGCACCAAACTCTATCTCTTTTTGCAGCACTGTTCCAGAATCTCACTTCTCTGATGACTGGAAATTTTTTTCTTACTCCCAGCTCAAATTTATTAACTTCCAGGCTATAGCCCTTTGTTCTTCTGCCAGTATTCTTTATCTTCAGAAGTCCTTGTTCCCTTCTTTGGTATCTGCCCTACTGATGAGAGCAATCGCTTCTCTTAGTTTTTGTTTTTCGAGATTAAGAAAACCAGATCTTCCATCTCCTCTGAAGAGAGAGGCTCTTCATTCCTCCGATTATGTTTGGATGGCTCTGTATGTATTTCTGTTTCAATCCATCTTTCTCATGCACAGATGACTAGAAATGGTGCACATACTCAGCATAAGGCCTTACAAGAGCTTTGTATCATACATATATCAGTTTCACTGTACCATTGTAGCATGTCTGTGGGAAGTGTCTGAATATCTGTGATCAATTAATAGGTTTTATTATCCTCAGTTGTTTCAGACTGAGTCTTTTTCCCCTAGAATGTCTATTCATCCACACACTTTTTTGTGGGCTCTTCATTTTCCATCTCTAAATGCCTTTCATATGGGTGGCACAGTTATTTTAGAAACCCTGAGCTTTGAACATCCATTTGCATGCATATCGTGACAGTGGTGTCTGTGGGTGTTGCAATGTGTCATGGTGTGTTCCTCTATTACTAAAAACTACTACCAAGTTATGCTTTGCATTAAGTTGCCTGAGCAGAGCTTAATGACCAACATCACGGAGTTTCAGTAGCAATAAAAGAAACTGCCCACAGTTTGGTGTTACGAAGGCAGATATCTTGTTCAGCTCTACTTATATCCACTTCAACAAGAGAAGAAATAAATGTCGTTATAAACTTGTTGAAATCTAGAGTTCCAGTAGGTGGATGGAAGACCTGTGTCAGTATT